GTAATTATTGCAGTTTCTAAGAAACTGCAATAATTACTATTGCAGGGTCACATGGGACATTGCACCCAGATCACTTCAATAAGTCTACAGTGTCCCTTTAAGACAGATTTTGTTTAAAATTTGTGGATCTATCTTTTGGAAAAAATCAGACAAATAATTAAAGGAAAACTCCAAGGACCATAACCACTACAGTGAGGTGTCGTCACACCGCCTCATTATAAGTAGTCAAAGGATTATTGAACAGTTTTACGTCTTACCTCGCACAGCACCTGAATAATAATAAAGTATAGTAACAAATATGGGGTCCTCCATCGCTGCTCCCTGCTTCCACCATCTGAGTGAACCCCAGATGCCCATGACTAGCTTACTGAAAATCTGCCTTGTGCCAACCCTGTCCTCTAGTTACTTGCTTGGGCATATTTACTGAACTGTAGTGAATAGAAATCTGGATGGAAAATGAAATCTTCAGCTCAGCTACAGTCACAGCGTGTCTATTTTAGGCTGCATTATGTTATTCGGATCGGATCTCAGTTCTCTACTTTTAACTGGATTTTAATGAATAAATCCCCCAATAAATATAAAGTTAAGCATAGCCCCAAACCTAAAAAAAAAAAAAAAAAGATTACCTGCATGGATACTCTTTCCAAATTTACTATTTTTGCCAAGATAGTGGGCAATTCACTAAAGTGAGAATTCACTGTGAATTCTAGGAGAATTTCACATTTTAGAATAATGGAACTGAACAAATAGCCGACTTATTTTACCATTTCGGTATTCAATTTTAAATCCACTTTGAATTCTCACTTTAGTGAATAACTCGGCATGTCTGAATTTATTATATTTTCCTACAGTTCACGCTTTGGTGAATAATCATCCAGCCTGTAATAATATATGATCAGTATAATCATCCAGTCTGTAATATTATATGATCAGTATAATCATCCAGCCTGTAATATTATATGATCAGTATAATAACCCAGCCTGTAATATTATATGATCAGTATAATAACCCAGCCTGTAATATTATATGATCAGTATAATAACCCAGCCTGTAATATTATATGATCAGTATAATAACCCAGCCTGTGATATTATATGATGTGTATAATAACCCAGCCTGTGATATTATATGATGTGTATAATAACCCAGCCTGTGATATTATATGATGTGTATAATAACCCAGCCTGTGATATTATATGATGTGTATAATAACCCAGCCTGTAATATTATATGATGTGTATAATAACCCAGCCTGTAATATTATATGATGTGTATAATAACCCAGCCTGTAATATTATATGATCAGTATAATAACCCAGCCTGTAATATTATATGATCAGTATAATAACCCAGCCTGTAATATTATATGATGTGTATAATAACCCAGCCTGTAATATTATATGATGTGTATAATAACCCAGCCTGTAATATTATATGATGTGTATAATAACCCAGCCTGTAATATTATATGGTCAGTATAATAACCCTGCCTGTAATATTATATGGTCAGTATAATAACCCTGCCTGTAATATTATATGATGTGTATAATAACCCAGCCTGTAATATTATATGATGTGTATAATAACCCAGCCTGTAATATTATATGATGTGTATAATAACCCAGCCTGTAATATTATATGATGTGTATAATAACCCAGCCTGTAATATTATATGATCAGTATAATAACCCAGCCTGTAATATTATATGATCAGTATAATAACCCAGCCTGTAATATTATATGATGTGTATAATAACCCAGCCTGTAATATTATATGATGTGTATAATAACCCAGCCTGTAATATTATATGATGTGTATAATAATCCAGCCTGTAATATTATATGATGTGTATAATAATCCAGCCTGTAATATTATATGATGTGTATAATAATCCAGCCTGTAATATTATATGATGTGTATAATAATCCAGCCTGTAATATTATATGATGTGTATAATAACCCAGTCTGTAATTTTATATGATGTGTATAATAATCCAGCCTGTGATATTATATGATGTGTATAATAACCCAGTCTGTAATTTTATATGATGTGTATAATAACCCAGTCTGTAATTTTATATGATGTGTATAATAATCCAGCCTGTGATATTATATGATGTGTATAATAACCCAGTCTGTAATTTTATATGATGTGTATAATAATCCAGCCTGTGATATTATATGATGTGTATAATAATAATCCCGTATTACAGTCAGTCTGAGAGCAATGCAGCCCAGCAGAGCCCATTTAAATTGACAGCCTGAGAGAACATCCCGCCAAAGGCACCAGCGATGGGGCTATTCACTAAATATCGAAATCGATATTTTTAGTCTAAACCCATCTTGGACAGTAACTGGTTTGAGGGTTAGGTTTCTTTACTCCGTTATTAAGGTCTGAAAGCGGTTTGTTCTTTTCTCCCATTACATTACATTATTATTATTACTATGATGATGATTTTATTCTTAGTAAATAAGGACAACACATTGTAGACACAGCAGGATAGAGCCGACCCGAGATACCGTTTTAAAGCCGTACCTACCGTTAAACCGCTCTTTGAATACCGGCCGTTGAAGTGGAGCCTGTCAGCGCACACGCTGTTGTGGGCGAAACGTCTTCTTTTTTTTCCCCACGAACCGGCAGATTTCCTCACAACGACCGCGCCCCGCAATGCCTCACGGGTGTTGTAGTTCGAAGTGCTGGATAGACTGCCAAGAAGCGCTGTGGTGTGCCGAAGACGCGGACTACAGTTCCCGTGAGGCCTTGCGCGCCGGAGACAGGTCCGCGCTCTGTGGGTAGTTGCGAACTTTGAATTTTCTAGCGGTCCGCCATCTTGGTGACTGCCATGCGAGGCGGCGTTCTAGGAAGTTAATGACGTCATAGCATTACGCAAGGACGTGGTCATTGACACTGTTACAGCAAAGCCCGTGGGTGGTGGTGTTCACCAGACTCCCAGAAATAATGATTTGAAATCAGAATTGTAGAATTTGGGCTAAAATAGCCAAGCTGTGATTATTGCTGAGTCTTTCTAGGTCAGCTACTTTAGCCCAAACCTTCCCATTGAATGTCAATGTATTCTATTTAGAAGTTTAGTGATTACATTCCCCAGCATAGTGGAAGGCTGGTCCATATGGGCAGGTGGGGTGAACCACCAACAGGTTTTGTTGCAAACATAAATAAATAAAATCTATTATTATAGTAAGGACCAATGGGAAGTGTTGTGTATATAACGATTAGTTCTGCAATTTCCTTCCCTTTATTGAAAAATAAAGGTAACCAGAAAAAAAACTTCAGTTTAGCTATAGTCACAGCTTGGCTATTTTAGGCAAATTTATACTATTCGGATTTCAATTCGCTAGTTTGAAGATTAACTCATAAATCCCCAAGTAAATATAAAGCGAATTACCTAATCTTACCTAAATCAAAAATAACTTGAGAATAGAGTTGACCTGCTTGGATACTTTTTATATATTGACTATTTTGGCCAAAAATTCCAAATACATTTACACAGGGTTGGTTATTCGCTAAATGTTGAGTAGTAGTGGAATTGAATCCAAAGGGTAACATTGTTGCAGGGTAAGATGTTGCAGAGAGGCTGGTCATCTAATAAGAATTCGGGGCACTTTTCAAAAACTCATTTGTTGGTTATAGACTCATCATGCTTGCTTAATATGTCCTAAATGTATTTCTGTCATTAGCTATTGGCTTTCAATAAGGCAGTAATGTGTTGGATGTCCTAATAGAGAAGTCTGCTAATATATATACACTGTATTTATATTGTCCTATAGCTTTTAGTGTTGAACAGAACAAGTTATCCCAATGGGTTGTTGATTGCGTTCACAGGGTTATATGGATTCCAACAAGTCAGGCGGCAGAATTGAGATTCCTGGCCTCTTTAAACTTTCCCATCTGACAATGCCCAAAGGTCTCTATTCTAGGGTTTCTATTATTAATATTATTTTATTATTTATATAGCGCCAGCAAAATTCCGTAGCGCTGTACAATGGGATCTAATATCCTTTTTTTGGGGGGGGGGATTTTTGGCATGCAAAGATTTGTACAAACATGCCTGAGGTACCCCAACGGCATTCCTCCGACTTGGTTTCATGAGTTACAATAGGGTAAGAGATTAGCGTGCACATTTTATATATATTGAAATGTTGAACAAACATATAACAACATTCAGCTTGGTCAAGTAGTTAGTGTGTTATGGCTCAATAGTAGTAAACTGCATATTTTCTACAGGTAACCTGGAATGAGCTAGTAACTTTGATAAACATTGAAATTGGTATACATGTTTAGTGCGTACTATTGTTACGTAGTACCTGTTATTCACAGCTGGTTAATGGCAACATGCATACATTGGTTCTACCAGTGGATCTCACTAAGGTAATGTTAGTCTCACAATTTATATCCCATAGGTAGGCAACATACATATACATTTAGCTGGGTATGAGCTTCAGATGATGGATGCTAGATTTCACCCCCCATCTCCCCACAACACATTCAATCAAGATTTTTAAGGCTAGTTCAGTGTGACAGAGCGACTTGCTTTTGTGTCTGGGATGCAGATCGCTAGCTGCATGACACATTATCCATGTGTCCTCATATGTCTCTGGTTAGTCTCTGCCTTCTGCGGGCTCAGTGTGTTCTCGCTGCAGGTCCGCTGCGTGTGTGTAGTGCGACGTCGTCGTGGTCGATTGGTAGGCTCTGTACGGTAGACTCGGAGAGGTGTGCAGCTTCCGGCAAGATACATCTGGATCTCGGTGTGTCGGGAGAATGACGTGTCACGGTTTATGATCTTGTGGTCTTTTCCATTTGGCTTGCGCTGGCCTTCTGTGCCTTCCTCTCCGCTGCCTGCTGCGGACCTGTCTCTCAACATACAGCCTTGGCTATGTCTCAGGAGGTGAGTGGCTTGTCCGGGTTGGAGGGTGCATGCGGGTGGGTGGCTGCAGTAGGAGTTTGTGCCACTGGTGCCTACAATCCGCCTTTTACTGCCGATGCGGGTGAGTAGCCTGTGGTGGCTCTGGTCTCAGCGCCATCACACATGGCCTCCGCCATCTTGGTTGTAGTGCCTGGGCTGCAGGTTGGGGGGCCTTGCTGCTGCGCCTAGATGCTTTGCGATGGTCGGGGCTTGAAGTTGAGGGCCGGGATCACGCCCGGTCCAAAGGGGGGGGGGAAACGGGGTCAGTTCCTCGCGGGTCTGGCTCTTGGTTGAGCACTGATGGGCAGGATAGCGGGGCAGCGGTCGTCTGCTCCACTCACCGCTGTAGTAGGCCTCGATTGTGCCAGTGAGGAAGCCTTCTCCAATGGACTGAAACCCGTTGGGCCAGCCTCACACTGGATCCAGTGTTCTCTGCCCGATGAGGGCCACCGTTGCGGACGTTTTTTGTCTTAATTCATAGTTTATGGCTTATTTGGTCTTAGGTTGCAGGAGCTGGTCTTACTTGCGACCGTCCAGCTCGGCGGTCCGGACCCGCCCCCTTTTTGTAGATTTCAATAGTTAGTGTGAATGACTTTTAAGGGAACACTTAGGCGTACATTTATTTTTAATGTGTCAGTCTTTTTGGATTTTGCTTCCCACCTGTCCCCATTCCTGTAAAGAAAACATTTTACTTTCCTCTAATCCAGCCTCAAGAAGATCTCCTCATCACAGCTCCACTAAGCCATTTGTGACAATCGCCACTCTTTGCCATAGTTCTCAGAAAAGCACTGAATATCCAATTCGAGTAAGGAGGAGCCTCCTCCTGACTGTCTGACTGACCACAAGGTGGATGCAACTTATTGTATTTGTAAAAATGTCACTTATTTTCTGGTGGTTGGCCAGCTCTGGTCAAATTATGTGCCAGCTCGTGTTTAGCAGAGATGTTTGGGCCCCAGCAGCCTGGCGCCCATTACAAAATATTGGAGGTGGAGCGATGCGCCGCTTTACACCATACCAGTGTAGTAGACAGTGAGGGCATCAGCTGTGCACTCTCAACCAATCATTGCCCCTATCACTGGTATGAGTAGGAGCACAGCATCATCTCTGCCATATTGTAATAGGGCAGACTGCTGGGACATCTTTCCCAAATGCCCACAGACTCCAGGCACCTTAACCACTTCAAGCAGTTTAAGTAGTTATGGTGCCTACAGAGGTCATTTGAAGGAGTGAAGAATAGGGAAATAACACAGGAAAAGAGTTAATGACAGCAGCCACAGTTCTGCAGTGTCAATCAGTCTCTGGCAACCAATACATGCATGTTCGATTAGGGACCCTGCACTACGTGATCAATAAACATAATTAAAACGACAATGGCTATAAAATGACAAAGACAGTTTTAACTCCCAACAGTTCACATTCTAGGGAGTTTTTGAGAATTTAAAGCGAAATTCAAATTTCAGGGCACAATCACCAAATCTGAAAATATTTTCCCAGTCAGAAAACGTTCCCAGTTTTTAGTTTGGCTGCTGAATTTTACTAACAACTCCTACTACAAATAGGGCTATTTACTAATGTGAGAACTGAAAGTGAATATTTCAAATTTAAGGCCAGATATGGATGAGATGTGGAATTTTCCTTGTTCTATTTTGACCTAAAATTTGAATTTTCCTTTGACTGCTCACGTTAGTAATTAACCCTCTGATTGTTAACATACTGGTTGTATTTTCTAATACTGCCAAAGAAACATGTGGCCCATTATCAATACAATGCTGCCTCTTCTGAGCAAATGAGCAGCTCAGCACAGATATCTACTAGGCCTGTAAAATACATGCTGAAACAGGAAGACATGTCCAGCTTTCTCTCTCTAGGACCCATCCACTAATGCCAGTAAGAAGGAGGAGCCTCTATTCAGCTTCAATGCCCTTCCTTGTCTGAGACCTGGAAATGAAAGTAAAGAGGAAAAAAAATAGACACATGGGAGGAAACTGCAACCAAACGACAGTAAAGAGGTTTTTACGACAAATATCGTCTAAATCCTGCTAGAATCCTGTTAGAATATTCTATGTGTCTTACTTTGTTCAGGGCTCAAAAACCAGCAGGGTGAGTATCATGTCCAGGAACTTGTAGATTAAGCTACATATATAAGCATAAACATGCTAAATAATAACTATACAAAGCATTCTATATCCGGAGTCAGGAATGGGTAGCCTTTTGCCTCTGGCTGGCACGGAGGGGGGTTAAATGGGAACATATGGCACATACATTGCACCTTTAATTAGGTTTTGTTGGCACTTAACCTCTTCAGTGCCATAACTGTGTATAACAATTCATCCACTGTGAGATTGTTACTATACAGAGTGTTAAGATAATAAAACAGAACTTAAACCGTTTCAACGCATAGAGTTAAAACATAAATGTACATATACAGAGAAGCACAATTAGAATAATGCAATAGATGTGTATTTGTATAAAATCCTTGCATTCCTATACAGACAAGACTAGACCCACAATGACTAATTTACTGCCTGGGCAGTGTTTATTTTAAAATATCTTCCATTTAGTTTGGAATGCATTAAATGATTTGCTTTTGAGTTTTAATTCATCTTATTTATTTCCTAGTGAATTTGCATTATTTATTTTAGTAGTTGCTGCTGCTGCTGCTGCTACAAATTGTGCAGGCGATCAGCTGTATTTACTGAAAAGTCAAAGACAACCAGAATTATTTACTAAAATATGAACCAGCAAGAATGTAACATTTTTCAAGTTTGAGTGTTTTTTGTTTTTTTCCTGAAATGAGAAATTCTTATTATTACTATTCCTGACAATTCAAACTGTAGTAAACAATGCTGTAAATGTGTCCCCTTTGAACCTTTGTCATGGCAGTGTCAAAACTTGGAATGTGATTTGGTTGTTGTGTTTGTATGATGCTGGAGATGTACAGGCCAAGCAGGCTTGAGAATATTCTGTTCAAAATGTTCTGTTTACTTTTAAAACCACAGCAAATAGACTGGATGAATATCTTGGAGTGAAATGGGAGTGCCCAAATAAAGTTTTGTTTATAACTGACTACCCCACCCTGGGCAGCAGTGTGTAATGTGAAGCACTAAGAAGCATGCGATTCGTCTGGATACATGTATTTTGAGAAGTAGTGGGTTATGTATAAATAATGGTGCAATCCGTAATGATAAGTATGATCTACTTGTCCAGGGCTCAATAATATCCCAGGTCGCCGTGGCGACTAGGAATTTTGTTCTGGTGCCTGGGTGTGTGTTAGCCCGTACCCTCTGAGGAGTGCGGCCAGGCCAAAGAGAGTGAAGGTTGGGGGTAGGGCGGGGACCATGAGCGGTTGGCATGCTGTTGGGAATGGAGGCAGTGAGGGAGTTGTAATTTTCTTACTCTGCTCCCTTGCGTGCCGTCGGGAGATGGAATATGACATCACTCCATCCCGGCATCACAAAGTAGCGCGAGGGAGCATAGCAAGAAGAGCGTCAAGATGACAGCAGCCCCACTCTGCCACAGGGAATGCCTATCCACTCCAGTTCTCTCAAAGGTAGGGAGGCTAGGTGGACTTAAATTCAATTAAAACAAATAATTTGTGTCTGTGTGTGCATCAGTTTGTGAGAATCTGTCAGTGTATGTATGAGTGTCTGTATGTTTAGGTGGCCCTCCAATCGCATGGCTAGCACCGCCTCCATGGTTGAGATAATCACGCTTGATGATCTCAGCTAACCCATTGCTTTGCCATCAGAATGCATTGGGAGGCTATTGCGCATGCGTGGCAAAACGCTGCACCAATCAGCATCTCCTCATAGAGCTCTTTTGAATCAGTGTATCTCTATGGGAAACGATCAGTGTCACACACTGTGCAGCACTAACCCAGGAAGCACCTCTACTAGCCATCTAATATTCAGTAAACATGTGTCCCTCTCCTCCACCTGTCAATCAGAGGTCTATGGCAAGGATTGAGTGACAGGGAACACTGGATAAACCTGCTATAGGTGTCACAATGATGTTGGCATGGGAGGAAATGCTGGGGGGATAAGAGGACACTTTGACACCAATGTGCTCGCAATGAAGCCAGCATGTTGTGATCATTAGAAGCTTGCCCCATTTGTGGAAGTCCACAAGCAGCACCAATCATCCATGTATCCTAAATTAGATAATTAGTGCTTTAGAAGATGTAACTAAATTTGAAGTGAAACTATGCTCAAATTAAGGAGCATAAAATTACTACTATGCATAATACTTAAAAATGTATAGTAGTGTACATGAAAGTCCACACCACATCTGTCAATCTACTATTTTTTTCATACAGCGCCATACTAAAATAGTATGTGAAGGACTGATTGCCAAGGAACAGCAGAGCCCTACACGTAGAAGCAAAAACTTCACAGCAACTACACGTCTTGTGAAGCAATACAATACAGATGCTGTAAAAATGATCTAGTTCGAGACAACAAGCATGTTGGGCATGCTTGAAGAATACAGAAACAAAGTGACAGGCTTCAAACACTAATTCACTGGCAGTAAGCTGATTCACTGGTGGAGCTGTGTCCTGCTTTGGAAAGCACTGTCTACTGTACAGCCTATTGGAGTTTCAAGGAACACTATAGTGCTGGGTTAAATGTTTAGGTGCCTGCCCCCCCTCAGAATAGCGTTAATAGCATTCAGAGATTCCATGCAGACTATAGAGATGCTGAATGTAGGTCCAGCAAGGATTGCAGGACCTAACCCAGGAAGACACTCTAATGGCCATCTGAGTCACTGCCATTAGAGGTGTTCCTAGGCAGCAAAGTAAATGTTGCATTGCTGAACTTGCAGGGTATGCTATAGACACCAGAACAACTACATTAATCTCTAATGGTTCTGGTGACTATAGAGTCCCTTTAATAGTGGGCTTTCCTAAGTCATCACATTATTCCAGAACTTTAAATCACATGAGTGAACAGATACCAGTGGGAACATACCAGAGTGCAGCAGGTTATTACATTTGCTTCCTTACACCAGACTTTGTTGGGTTTGTTTATTGTTGGACACCTGGTGCCTACACCTGGTGCCTACCTGGTGCCTCACTTGGTTTTATTTCACTATTTACTCACAAGAATGGTTCTACGTTTCCAGCTTCACAATATGTGGATCGTTTTATACTGTGTGAGTATCTAGTAGACTTTTGCACAGAGAAACATCTTGTTTCAGTTGAATTGATAATTCTGGGGGGAAAAAAAGCATTTTGTCCATGATATTTATACTAACCAAAATTGCGCCAATCTGCAATATACATTATTTATATATTTAACAGTGTATTGATTAAATGCCATTTGGTTCAACGATCAAGTGAGAAGAGGTAACCAATAGATTGGGGGGGAGGGAGGAAATGCAGAATAATCTACATTTGTTTGTTTATTAAAAAGGCATTGTCACCGTCATGTGAGTTTTACTTACCTGAACCTGTCCCTTGCGGCCACCGCCATGATTTTCATGCCAGTCCTCTTCAGCTCCTTGCACCTTCATCTGCAGGAAGCCAATGTCTGTATTGTACTTTTTCCCTCTATTGGTCAAGTCTCACTTAATCTGTGAATCAAGTCACCATTTAATAGCTGTCCCCTACTATCTTTGTTTTTTGGCTCCATAGGCGGAACTCACTAAACAGATTTAACGTTTAGTCCATTGTCCACATCTTTTGTTTTGTGATTCGTCCAAATAACATTTTAGATTAAACCAGGAGGTTTTAGAATTCTAGAATAGAATTCACCAAAGGAACGGTCCGCACACCTGATTCTTCAAAAAATAAAACAACTGTTATTTGTCAACATTTCAGTTCATGATTAAAAACTTCAGGTTATATTTATCATTTTCATTAGAGGAGGCTCTAGAGTTTTGCAAGGCCTTAGGCAAAACTCGAATAAGAAGCTCTGGTTGATGTTCTCACAGTGACAGCAAGGCTCTCTGACAGGGTTCAGCAACCTACGGCACTTGTGCCATGAATGGCACTCGGGCTGCATCTGCACAGCACTTAAGGTTGCCATAGAAAAACGGATATCTGCTAGGAAGCTCAGATCACTTCCTCCCAGCACTTGTCAACTGCAATGTGCACAGGAGTAGAGCAGACCGGGGCAGCTATCGCAGCTCCTGCCCTAGACCTCTACCTGGCTAGCCCAGTCCCCACAGGAAGCCAGGGAAGCCACCCACACTGCTAGATATACACAAAATTGCTGAATAAGCCTCCACCTCATACAAATTATACGAACAGCCCACACATGCAATACCAAAAGCAGCCCCACTCATACCCACCATCAAACACATATGTGACAAATCACCCAGACACGCAATTCCACAAGCAGCCCCCATACAAAGCCCACATTCATAGGTATCATACACAATATCTCAAACTACTCAAGAACATATACAATATAACAGCCTACAAAATGTACAACCCTACAAATCAACTACAGAAGTCTTCAATAACACAAGCAAAATACAGCAACATACACACCTCAATTTTAAAAACAGGACCGACACAGCAAGGGACTTTAAGAGCTTGTTTCGGCACTGTACTCTTAAAAGGTTGATTACCCCTGCTCTAAGAGGGACATGAGGCAAGGCCCCAAGAAGTATGAGGCCTTGGGCAGTCGCCTAACTGGCTTAATTATAGAACAGCCTCTGTATTTCATTTACCTTTTTTTTTCTTCATATGTTTAAAGCATTAAAGGACCATTATAGGCACCCAGACCACTTCAGCTTAATGAGGTGGTCTGGATGCCTGGTCCAGCTAGAGTTAACCCTTTCTTCTATAAACATAGCAGTTTCAGAGAAACTGTTCTGAGAAACTGTTATGTTTATAGTAGGGTTAATCCAGCCTCTAGTGGCTCATTGGCTCATTGACAGCCGCTAGAGGCGCTTCTGCGCTTCTCACTGTGAAAATCACAGTGAGAAGACGCCAGCGTCCATAGGAAAGCATTGTGAATGCTTTCCTATGGACTGGCTGAACGCGCGCGTAGCTCTTGCCGTGCATGCGCATTCAGCCGAAGAGGAGGAGAGCTCCCCACCCGGCGCTGGAGAAAGAGGTAAGTTTAACCCCTTCCTCTCCATCCAGCTCGGCGGGTGGGGGCACCCTCAGGGCACTATAGTGCCAGGAAAATGCGTATGTTTTCCTGGCACTATAGTGGTCCTTTAACCAGTGAGCATTGGGCCGTTTTCATTGATGGTAGTCAAGTTCATTATTGCTCCTTATGGTGATTTTATTTTTAGTTCTAAATTCCTATTTTGTAAGTCCTTTTTGCATTCTCCACATTTTGTCTTCTAAACTCTAAAGTGTTATACTTTGCATTCTAGCAATAAAAATATTGTAATGTCCTGGGACACTGGTATAACATCTTGACCATTTGATATGCTGTACCTTTGCCAGTCTTACTAAATTTATACCTTCACAACCTCGATCATTTTAGATGTAGGACTACACATCTGCAATCATCTCATCTCAATGGCAATAGTAACCCAGGGATTTAATATTGGCCTTAAAAGGATTTTTAAAGTCCCTAATTTTGATAGGAACCTTTCTTTTGTTGAAGTGTATGTGTATATATATAATTTTTTTTTTTCCACAGGTGTTCTTATGGAAAGGCAAAAACGGAGCGAAGAAATCGAGAAAGGCCTGCAGTTTATTCAGTGAGTATTTTTTTTAAATTTTATTTCAAAGAAGCAAATTCAGTGCAGATGACCTGCAATAAACAGTAGTAGATTCAATGTGTTATACAATAGCATTTGGTTATGTGACAGCATCATTTTTTCCAGTGAAAGAAGTGTAATTTATCGGTAGAAATTGAACAATTAGAGCTAACAGGAGGGGGAGGGAGGAAAAGTAGTAGGTGGATGGAATTGAGAAGTAGAAGGCTAATAAACAGATACAAAGTGCCTTTACTAAAAATGGTTTAGGTGGTTTATTACTAGTAGTAGTAACTTTCAAGTGTTTTTGTTTTGTGTGTTTTTCTTTTTGCGTTCCCCCCCACCTCCCCTTCCCCCTCAAATACAGTTTTATTTATGAATTTCTTGGTGATGTGTGTGTGTGTGTGTATATGATCAGCATCTCTATAAGGAGCGGCTGATTAGGGAGGTGATTTCTGTGCATGCGCAGTATTTCTCCCACAATGCTTCTCTGGGTGAGGTGCTAAATCTAAATTGGGTAGAAGAAACCCTATTGTTAGAAATACAAGTTTATATTTCTAATGTTGGTGTTTCCCCTTAAAGGGTTACTATAACTGTTTGTTTAACAAAGTATTTTTAAAGGAACACTATAGTCACCTAAATTACTTTAGCCTAATTACTTTTACTAACAAAGCAGTTTTAGTGTATAGATCATTCCCCTGCAATTTCACTGCTCAGTTCACTGTCATTTAGGAGTTAAATTACTTTGTTTCTGTTTATGCAGCACTAGCTACACCTCCCCTGGCTATGATTGACAGAGCCTACATGGGAAAAAAAACTGGTTTCACTTTCAAACAGATGTAATTTACCTTAAATAATTGTATCTCAATCTCTCAATCTCTAAATTGAACTTTAATCACATACAGGAGGCTCTTGCAGGGTCTAGCAAGCTATTAACATAGCAGTGGATAAGAAAATATTAATTAAACAGAACTTGCAACAAAGAAACCCTAAATAGGGCTCTCTTTACAGGAAGTGTTTATGGAAGGCTGTGCAAGTCACATGCAGGGAGGTGTGACTAGGGTTCATAAACAAAGGGACTTTAACTCCTAAATGGCAGAGGATTAAGCAGCAGTGAGGCTGCAGGGGCATGTTCTATACACCAAAACTGCTTCATTAAGCTAAAGTTGTTCAGGTGACTATAGTGTCCCTTTAAGTTCATAATGCCCTGTTGGGCACCATAACCATTGTCAAAAATAGGTTTTTACTTACCTGGAATCCAGCACCGGGGGAAGCTTTCCACAGCTTGTAATGACATTAGGGTTGCTGCGTGAAGTACAGTCACTGGCTTTTCGTAATTAAGTCTGTTTGGACTATTTTGATGGCTCAGAGTGCATGTGTGCAATCTGAGCCTTTGAGGGAGGGTGGGAGGATTTTTCCCATTTTTTTCATCTGTGGGAGGAAGTGCACAGTAGTGGGTGGGAGAGAGCAATTTTCCCCTTGCAGGCGCTCTGCCTCCAAAGAAGGAGATAATTACATCTGTTGGCAGCCTACTGTGCGCGCTGATGTCAGACGCAAAATATGCACAGAATTGACATTAGGCAGCCCGGAACAGAGTAACAGATAACTTCGTATTTGCAGTATTTAAAGCTAAAACCTTGCACATACATACTCCTACCACCATCAACACTTGAAATTACTGAAGTGGTCATGGTGGTTGAAGTAACCCTTTTATTGCATTTGATTTGGTTTTGACCACATGTTTTGGTTTTTTTTTTTTTGGTTTGTTTGTTTTTTGGCAAATACATTTTTTTTACAGTAGAATTTCACTCCTACACCTTCTTATTGCCATTTAAGCATTTCCCCTCATTTAAAAGATGTTGCTTAGCCAGTGAGTGATTAGTGGAAGCTGAGTGACTAACGTGACTGCCCCACAGCTCTTATTGTCCATATAGTATGGTATAACAAGCGTTATTATCTGTATATTATAACAATATTAGGAGAAGAATGAATGAAGGCAGTTTTCTCAAACAGGAAAGGGCCGTGCGCGCATTCAGCCAGTCCATAGGAAAGCATTCTCAATGCTTTCCCATGGACGCTGGCGTCTTCTCACTGTGAAAATCACAGTGGGAAGCACCTCTAGCGGCTGTCAGTGAGACAGCCGCTAGAGGCTTGGTTAAACCATATGTAAACATAGCAGTGTCTCTGAAACTACAATGTTTACAGCAGGCAGGGTTAACCCTAGATGGACCTGGCACCCAGACCACTTCATTGAGCTGAAGTGGTCTGGGTGCCTATAGTGGTCCTTTTAAAGTCATTCTTAAAGGTAACTGTAAACAGAAAAAAATGTTTTATTAATATTACTAAAATACTTAGCTCTGTATTAGAACTTACAATGTGTGATCACTGAAATGCAAATTAAAAAGATAAGCAGGGATAAACAGTTGTAGCACAAGAGGGAGGGATAAAGACCAAAAGCACTCAGACCTTCTATATCTATTCTATCTAGGTTACTATGTTGCAACAGTATATCAAAGCTCTATTTGTAATCTGGGAAAGATACATGTAGCGAATTTAGACCGTAAGATGTATTTGAAGTGGAATTTTTTCTTAAATATAAGAACTTGGGACTGCCTTAAAGGACCACTATAGTGCTCTGAGGGTGCCCCCACCATCAGGGTCCCCCTCCCGCCGGGCTCTGGACAGAGGAAGGGGTTAAATCTTAACTTTCTCCAGCGCCGGGCGGGGAGCTCTCCTCCTCCTCCTCCTCTTCGGCTGAATGCGCATGCGCGGCAGGAGCTGCGCGCGCATTCAGCCAGTCTCATAGGAAAGCATTTACAATGCTTTCCTATGGACGCTTGCGTCTTCTCACTGTGATTTTCATTAAGCTGAAGTGGTCTGGGTGCCTAGACTGGTCCTTTAATTTGTTCTTCTCTGGGTTATGCCCTACTTGACCAATTTTGGCAAGAATTTGAGATTTTTTTATATCTCTATATTTTGCTGTTTTTTTTTTGTTTTTTTTCTTCTTGTAACAATATTATTTTGGGTCTATAGGTTCCCTTATTGCGATTTGATCCCTCTCCATTCCACTTTGCCCCTCTTCTGCAGCCTTCAGCTCCTCTTCCTCTGACGTCTGCATCCAACCTCACAATGTCAGTCATTCAATTCTCATAGAGTTAGGAGCAGGTGGATTTAACCCTATAATGTAATGTAAACATTGCGTGGTTATAATGACAGGGCCACTGCACCCAGGCTACTTAATTTAGTGGTCCTTTTATATTAGTGGCACAAGGTTAAAAAAAAAAAATCATTGTCTTGCTTAATTAATAGAATATGGTGAACATTTGACTGTGTAACTTGTTTTTTTGTTTTTTTGTTTTTTTTACCCTCTCATTTAACAGATCAACAATACCATACGGTGGAAGTCGAGATGAATACCAGGTATGTATGTATGTATGTATACAGATAGTGGTGTTTGAACAATTATTTTTATTTTCTTCGAATTGTAACCCTTCTCTGACATGCAGAAAAAATGGAGTAATTATTGGTAATGTAAACTTTTATATAAAACTAAAAGCAGAAATGTTGTAACAGCTTCTCCTTGGGATCTCCTTCTGGCAGTATAGGCAGACTTCTGTACGCTGCAGTCCTGCCTCCATTTGTACAGCTGGGCCAAATGTCAACGTCACGACGTACGTGATGTACAATTACGTCATATACTATGCCCCTAGGCATCTGTAGGTGTGGTTGTGACCCTATTGACCTCACAACCCTTCAAACCTATAGAAAACTCGGTTTAATGGTGTTCAGTGCCCTGGTTTGGATCCTATTGTTTAATAATAGTGCGGTCTTACTGTTGTGTGTATCTTGGCTTTGTTGACCCAGCTATCGATGACTATTCTGTTCTCTGTAATCTCTTCACCCAGCCTCTGTTAATAGCACTAGTGCATTTTTGACCTTGACTTCGTTGACTCTTCTTTTACTGTGTATACATTAAGTCTGGCCACCTTTATGATGCATATTAATCCTAAATATTCAGAATGTAGTTATGTGTACTAAGTGAAGAACCCCATAAAGTAAGCATTAGTAATTCATGTTCTCACATTATGTCTAGTACTGAAGCCTTAAATGAACACGCATTGTACAGCGCTACAGAATTTGTTGGCGCTTTATAAATAAAAAAATAACAACATTCCAAGCACCATAACAACTACAGATGTGATCTAAGCATGGTATTGCAGTGCTTGGCTCAGATTAGCTCATAGAATCTTCTTGCAGGAGCTTCTGGTTAGAAGCAGCAACCAGCTTTGTGGTTCAAGGGCACTCATGGCACCATAACCACTACAAAGCACTGTACTAGTTATGGTGCTTGAAGTGTTCCTTTAAATAGGTAGTTGCAACAAACTGATTATAATTTTATATTCATTGTAAATTTGATACATGTGTATTCTTCTCATAAAAGTGTCTAGAACAGAAATGGTGTAACTGTATCCCCATATTTGTTATCCCGCAATTTTAAGTAGCCTTGCAAAATCTTTTGTGTTTGTGTGCACTGTTCCCTAGTCTGCATTTAGAACAGAAAGGGTAGAATCAACTTATTTTTTTTTAATTTAATTTTTTAACTCAAGAAGCTCTCAGATCTAAAGTGTAATGCTATCTTGCTCACCATAGGCTGAGGTATTCTTTGTGTTTAATGAAGTTTACAATTACAGTTTGCAAAATAATTTGCCCATCTGTTCGTTAATGCCATACTACATTAAACGTTTTTCTTCACTATTTAGTAGATATACCCGCAAAGAAAACATACAGTTTTTTAATTTTTTTTGTGTGCATGTTCTCTTTGGTAGCTCAGTGGAACTAACGGAAGAGGAAGAAATCCTCCCCAGCTGTCTCACAGCCAGGGAGATGTTGCAGTGAGGTTTTATAAATGAAGACCTCGATTTTAATAAGCTTTCAATATGACTCCATACTGTATGAAAAACATTCCATATTCCTCTGTATGTCTTTCTGCTCGTCTTTCTGCTCATGTGCAATATTTTCCCTGCACCTAGTCTAGCTGCTCAAGATGGGTTATAATGGAAGCAAAAATCGCAGAGGTTCTAAGCCTGTCCCCCTGGCTCTCAGATGTTGATGAAGAATTTTTTTTCTGCGTACACAAGTTGAAGGGATTCCACTCTTCCGTCGGGGCTTGGGTTCACGGCAGATCACTGAACAGTTGATTTCTGTGCACAAAATCAAAGCAGACAGTGAATAGCCTGATGGCAGCCACAGTATGATTGCTATGACCTTTTTGAACTGTTGCACTTAGCCTATGTGGTTAGTGGATCTGTGGCTGAGTCATTCATAAAAAAACAAAACAAAAGCCACAAACCTGAATGCGAAGCTGTTGATGGTGAAGTCTCTTCCTGGTGAGACTTTTTCTTGTCATGGGGAAAAGTGTCAACAGAAGATACAGCAAGGTTCCAAATCACATTTTGCCCCATCCTGCACTACCTTTTCCTGTTCAGTTTATAACCATTCACATTGCTTTTTCTCTATTTTGTAGATGTTTCTACGGCAGCTGGTCCTTAACTTGTATGCTGAGGGCAATGACACCTTTCAGGAGACTAACCTTAAGATTGCATTGGGCCACTACACAGAAGGACTGACTGTAGCAGAGTATGCAGAATCTGATGGTCTTAGCATTCCGCAAGAATTGTTGTGCAAGTTGTATGTGAATCGATCCTGCTGCTATTTCTCAATGGTAAGTTTATGGCTACAGATAAAACCATGATTACACAGCAATTTTCTATCAATTATGTTGTTTGTGTGCATGTTTTAGGTTTGTTACCTCTGTATTGTATGTTATATTTTAAACACTGGTTTATTAAAAACATTTAATATGATGTATCGGTCATAGACCTTTTATATTTTTTTTTATGTAACCCCTGCATCTCCTTCTCTCTCGACTGTCCTCTTTCGTACAAAATCAGAATAGTCTTTAAGTTGAAGGGGGACAAAAACACATATAGTATTTAGAAAATTGAGTTAAGTAGCCAGTGTGTTTTCTTTGTATAAACAGCTTAATTTCTCTAAATTTTTTTAAGAGCTTCCAATGATGCTTTCCAAGTATTCTGCCAGAGTGCTAATCACCATAATCAGGATATCTATGCATTCACAGTGTCTCAAAATATATAATATAGGTCTCAATTTAAAGGGACACTATAGTCACCAGAACAATTACAGGTTATTGAATTTGTTCTGGTGAATAGAATCATTACCTTCAGGCTTTTTGCTGTAAACACTGTCTTTGCAGAGAAAATGCAGTGTTTACATTACAGCCTAGTAATAACTTTACTGGCCACTCCTCAGATGGCTGCTAGAGATCCTTCCTGGGTCATGGCTGCCTAAAATGCATCCGAACATTTAGTGTCTCCTCCCTCTGCATGCAGACACTGAACTTTCCTCATAGAAATTCATTGATTCAATTAATCTCTATGAGGAGATGCTGATTGGCCAGGGCTGTGTTTGAATCATGCTGGCTCTGCCCTTGATCTGCCTCCTTGTCAGTCTCAGCCAATCCTATGGGGAAGCACTGTGATTGGATCAGGCTGCCACTTATGATGATGTCAGCATACAGCTTTTTTTTTTTTTTTTCCTGAGGCAAACAGCATGCAGAGTTACAGCTTCAGGCTTGAATACAGTAAGATGTTGCTATATTTATGGAGGCATGAGGGGCCCAGGGGGGCTAGATGGGGGTTTTAACACTATAGGGTCAGGAATACATGTTTGTGTTCCTGACCCTATAGTGTTCCTTTAATATTTTTCTATATGTTTTAAAAGTGATTTATGGGCACATTTTATTGGAGGAGAAGGAACGTGGAAGTTTATTTATGAATAAAAAATCTGGGGGGGGGGAATTCTAAAAGTGGAAGAATTAACAAATGCACAATGGTTTCAATGGCTAGTACTGCGCTAGAACTTTGTCCCAGAATTGCTCTTCATACTGGTCTTATAAGTGAGATTCACAGCCAAGATAAAGGCAACCAGTTCCTTTACAGAGCTATATACAGTTGTGTGGATTACTACATTTTAATTATTTTTCTAGACCCAACAAATTCATATGTTGTTAAATATAGGCGGGAAGCACAGTTCCTTATTTCTTCACCCCGCTAAACAGGTAAATAAAAAATAAAATAAAAAAAAAATATAAATAAATAAATAAATATATATATATATATATATATATATATATATATATATATATATATATATAATATATATATATATAAATAATATATATATATATATATATATATATATATATATATATACAAAGAGGGGGTTGGTTGCACTCACCTTAACATGCATAAATGGGGGTGCTGCTGGGGGCCAAAGAATACAATACACAAGATCCAGCGCACTCACCTATCCACTAAACAGCAACTTCAATGTTGAAAGATTTTGTTTTTTTAAAAACACCTAATCTAGGCAAAAATAATGGGGGTTTAGTTACATTATATGATCTACAGTGCATTTTTTTATATATATTTGGGAGTCTAGCCAACTCCTTGGTTTTGCACCCCTCCCTGTCACAGGTGCCTCATCCTAGGGCCCTATTTAGCCTTGTACTGCAGAGAGCCCCAGATGGAATTTCTTTCCCCAAGTAGGTTAATCTCATAAGAGCAGACATTAGGCTGTTAGTGTAGGACCTGCCAAAGATGGGGTACATTGACGTTGTGGCAGGCTTATGCACTGTATGATCATATAATGTAACTAAACCCCCATTATTTTTGCCTAGATTAGGTGTTTTTAAAAAAACAAAATCTTTCAACATTGAAGTTGCTGTTTAGTGGATAGGTGAGTGCGCTGGATCTTGTGATATATATATATATTACATATACACACCTTGTGCAGGTGCCTGCATACCTTTTTAATGAAACATAGAAATGCTACATTTCTGTCTTACGGAAACCTCTCCATCCCATGATGCCTTGGGCGTGGGCCTGCATACTCAGGAATCGAACATAGAAATGCTGTACACACATGCACAAGCTTTGCATTTTCTCCCACAGTGCCATATGGGTGCATGCAACTGTTAGCTAATTTACATAATTAACAGACTTTGTCCTGTAAAGTATGTAATTGAAAGTATATGAAAACATAAAGAATTGGTATAACCAATAATACATTTTAGTTAGCTAGCTTGTGATAAAATTGAGGATGTGACATTTCTTCAGGCATGTATGGCCTACCTCAGAAATTAGGTTTACACTTCTAAACACAAAGAGAATGGAATGAAAGGAAAAAAGGTTTGTATTTATACATTGATTCCTAGAAGTGTTAAGATTTGTAAATTCATTAGATTTTCTCTGTATTTTCTTTTTTTTTTTTTCTTAAGTCACAAGGTCATCATTTATGCCTTTAGATTATCTCATAATGTGCTATTCATTAAAATAAAAATGTCCACTTTTATAAATGTGCATGTGACAAAAATTTCTATTTTGCTATAGCCTCAGACTATTTTCTACACTTCTTTTTGCATGTGTACTTGTCTTTGTATATAAATTTAAACCGATCATCATGTAAATCTGCGTTTTTATATATATATATATATATATATTTTTTTTTTAGAATATCTAGTTTTTGAAAGTTTCTTTACATTAAAGGAACACCCCAAGCATCATAACCACTTCAGCACCTCCACCAATGAACATAGTCAAAATGTTTGCTAATGGTGATGCAGGGATTAGCTCAGGAGAGCTAATGGAAGCCCCTAGCAGGAGCTTCCAGCTCTCAGTGGAGAAAGGGACTGACACCTGGCAGACCCCCGGTAAGTTATCAACCATGGTTATGGTGCTTGCTGCGTTCCTTTAATTTAATCTTTGTTTCTTGGGCTTTATTTTTGAGTTTTTATTTACAGCAAATCTGTGATCAGTGCCGTAGGGACAACAGCACTTGGTCACACCTGACAACGTGAGAATAGTGAGTGGTTTACTAAAACACCGCTGCTGGACTGCTGTTAGGATAGTAGTAAAGACTGTATTTAAGAGTGCTACCTTGTCACCAAATGACGTGGTCTCATCCCAATCACTTCCGTATTCATTCTTAAATGCCATGCTGTGTATTTGTAGAGTGGTTTATGGTAGATGTAAAGCAATGGTTGTGAGGAATATTGATCCATACAGCAGTTTTTGCACCAAATTAATTGCTGTGTGCATTTAAAAAACAAAAAATAAACACAAAAAAAGGAAACTTCAATGAGAGCTGACTGGAGAGTCCATTAACTTGTGAAAGTTCGTCTCTTTATTGCTTTTTTGTCTCTACCTTGTTCTTTATTAGTATATAGCGTTTAATCATGTTTGCCATGGTCTAATTTTACCAGTTTTACTATTTGTGTGTGTTTATATATTCTCTGTAACTACAAACATAATTAAATAATGCTTATTGTGTAACTATATCATCCAGGCACTACAAATGTTTGTGTACAACACAAATATGGGAGTACGGCTCTAGATATAAAATAAAAAAATATTATAGTGTACCATTTAGTAGATAAACAACTTAAGTAACCAAATTCACTCACAAGATGTAGGAATTGGCATGCGTTAAAGGGATCCTCCCCTGGTGATGTTAAGGGGCCAAGGAACAGCTCCTTCCTTGCTGTACAGAGGTGCTGTTTCAGGAAGGCTTCAATGCACTTTGTTCTTGTTCAAAGCAAATTTATTCCAGCATAAAAAATAAAATACAGATAGCAATTGAAGGTCCTATGTGTCTCGCTCGCAATCTGTGATGCGTTTCGACTTCCTTAGGGACCATGAAAGTAATCAAATAAAAGTAAAGAAGTATATACAAAATGCAACATGAAACCCTCCGACACCATCCCTGTAGGTGGTTTATCTACTAAATGGTGTTATACTATTCTATTGTTTTTCTTTCTTTATATAAATAGCTTAATTCCTACATTAGAGTACATTTTTATATATTTTACAATTGCTGGAAGATTTTGTGTGTGTGTGTGTTCGTTCTCAGCACTCGAGCTCTCAGCCTTTTACTCGCTCCGGTGCAATCTCCAACCAAATATATAATCCAAGTAGAGAGCACTCTGGAGTCTTAATAATAATATCAAACTGTTGCTTAATTAAGCAAATACAGTGGTACATGTAAATAAGTCGATGTTTCAGTCTATTCTTGATAAAAGTCTGAATCAAGACAATCATTGTCTTAAAAAAAGTCTGAATAGACTGAATCGTCGACTTATTTACGTGTACCAATGTATTTGCAACAGTTTGATATTATTATTATTATTAACTCTACTTGGAATATTATATATATATATATACACACACAGTTGCAAGAAAAAGTATGTGAACCCTTTGGAATGATATGGATTTTTGCACAAATTGGTCATAAAATGTGATCTGATCATCATCTAAGTCACCACAATAGACAATCACAGTCTGCTTAAACAATAACACACAAAGAATGAAATGTTGCCATGTTTTTATTGAACACACCATGTAAACATTCACAGTGCAGGTGGAAAAAGTATGTGAACCTCTAGACTAATGACATTTCCAAGAGCTAATTGGAGTGAGATGTCAGCCAACTGGAGTCCAATCAATGAGATGAGATTGGAGGTGTTGGTTACAGCTGCCCTGCCCTATAAAAAAACACACACCAGTTCTGGGTTTGCTTTTCACAAGAAGCATTGCCTGATGTGAATGATGCCTTGCACAAAAGAGCTCTCAGAAGACCTACGATGAAGAATTGTTGACTTGCATGAAGCTGGAAAAGGTTATAAAAGTATCTCCAAAAGCCATGCTGTTCATCAGTCCACGGTAAGACAAATTGTCTATAAATGGAGAAAGTTCAGCACTGCTGCTACTCTCCCTAGGAGTGGCCGTCCTGTAAAGATGACTGGAAGAGCACAGCGCAGACTGCTCAGTGAGGTGAAGAAGAATCCTAGAGTGTCAGCTAAAGACTTACAAAAGTCACTGGCAAATGCTAACATCCCTGTTAGCGAATCTACAATACGTAAAACACTAAACAAGAATGGATTTCATGGGAGGATACCACAGAGGAAGCCACTGCTGTCCAAACAAAACATTGCTGCACGTTTACAGTTTGCACAAGTGCACCTGGATGTTCCACAGCAGTACTGGCAAAATATTCTGTGGACAGATGAAACCAAAGTTGAGTTGTTTAGAAGAAACACAACACTATGTGTGGCGAAAAAAAGGCACAGCACTCCAACATCAAAACATCATCCCAACTGTGATTTATGGTGGTGGGGGCATCATGGTTTGGGGCTGCTTTGCTGCATCAGGGCCTGGACGGATGGCTATCATCGAAGGAAAAATGAATTCCCAAGTTTATCAAGACATTTTGCAGGAGAACTCAAGGACATCTGTCTACCAGCTGAAGCTCAACAGAAGATGGGTGTTGCAACAGGACAATGACCCAAAGCATAGAAGTAAATCAACAACAGAATGGCTTAAACAGAAGAAAATGTGCCTTCTGAAGTGGCCCAGTCAGAGTCCTGACCTCAACCCGATTGAGATGGTGCGGCATGACCTCAGGAAAGCGATTCCCACCAGACATCCCAAGAATATTGCTGAACTGAAACAGTTCTGTAAAGAGGAATGGTCAAGAATTACTCCTGACCGTTGTGCACGTCTGATCTGCAACTACAGGAAACGTTTGGTTGAAGTTATTGGTGCCAAAGGAGATTCAACCAGTTATTAAATCCAAGTGTTCACATACTTTTTCCACCTGTACTGTGAATGTTTAGATGGTGTGTTCAATAAAAACATGGCAACATTTCATTCTTTGTGCGTTATTAGTTTAAGCAGACTGTGAGTGTCTATTGTTGTGACTTAGATGATGATCAGATCACATTTTATGACCAATTTGTACAGAAATCCATATCATTCCAAAGGGTTAACATACTTTTTCTTGCAACTGTATGTATGTAATATATATTGCCAGTGAACTAGAGCTTGGCTCTGTTGTAGTAATACTTTTACATAATATGCTCTGTAAATAAATATAACCTGTAAAATGGCACAGCACGTAGCTAACTTATTGGTGGTACATACATCTGACTTCTGCCAACTCTGCATCCAGTCTGTTGCATGTATCCCCACTGTTATGCAAGTTACTTTTTTACGTGTATATATTCAGAGTAATATTTGAGTTCTATTTATAAAAGAACAAAAACATTCGGTCCTGATTTCACTCTGAAATGTTTTCTCCACTGATTAAGATTATACATGTCGTTGTGCAGGGTCTGTTCGAGAAGTCGTTGGATGATAGTGAACATGCTCTGAGTTTGGACAAGGAGAACATGCGAGCATTATATCGCAAGGCCAAAGCACTGTACAAGCTTGACAAGCATCAGGAGGCTTATAGTTGCATTAGCCACAGGTTGCTAGTGCTAGTGCAGGTATACCAACGGCACCAGATAATTGTCTTTTGTCTGTCTTCTAGAAGGGAAAAATAACACCTGCTCCAATTTGTTCTCTAGGATGAAAGCGTGACGGAACTGGCTCAAGAGCTTGTGCTGAAATTGGGTTTAAAACAGCGGAAAGCATACAAGAGACCACAGGTATGAATCATGGATTTTCCATCTCTTACAGTCCCATAGGTTTAATGTGTGGTAACAGACAGCCTTTATAAAATATTGGATACAATGTGTTCAGTAAGCTTTTTACTTGTACAAATCAGAGTTGAGATGGACCACCCTCCATTAATTACAGTGGAGTGGATTTACAGTCATTTCATTTTGCTAATGCTGTATGTTATGTTAGATATGCATACACTTCAGTGATTGTCTACTAATTGTACCAGAAAGTTCACCTATCATCATTTACATACTATAACCATACCAAGCTGTACAATTAGTTTTAAAGAGGCACTCTAAGATACATAACCACACTCTTTGTTATGGATGGTGCTAAGAGTCTGTGTTAGTTCAGCTCTGTTATCGATGTTGGATAGATTTGCAGTAGATTCTGGCAAAATCAGATTTTTTTTAAAATTATCATTATGGCGTTCTACAGATTCCCCTACTGTTCTCCATCTATACTGCCTCCCTTGGTAAACTCATTAGCTCATTTGGCTTCCAATATCATTTCTATGCAGATGACACGCAGATCTACCTGTCCTCCCCTGATTTCTCCCTGTCCCTTTTGACTAGTGTCTCTGACTGCCTCTCTGTTGTTTCTAACTGGATGGCTGCCCACTTCCTTAAACTAAACTTGACCAAAACTGAAATTCTGGTCTTTCCTCCCTCAAGTGTTGTTACTCCTGTGTCTGTCTCCCTCCAAGTCAACGGTGCTACCATCAGCTCGCTGCCTAGGTGTTCTCTTTGACTCCTACCTCTCCTTCAAGCCTAATGTTAAATCTATCGCCAAATCCGGTCATTTCCATCTCAAAAACATTGCGTGCATCCGCCCCTACTTAACGCCAGATGCAACTAAGATATGTAACAGGGTTGATGTTCCAGGAGGGATAAGCCAAATGACAAATGATTTAGGTAAACTAGAAAAATGGTCAGAATTGTGGCAACTGACATTTAATGTGGATAAGTGCAAGATAATGCATCTTGGATGTAAAAACCCAAGGGCAGAGTACAGAATATTTGATAGAGTCCTAACCTCAACATCTGAGGAAAGGGATTTAGGGGTGATTATTTCTGATGACTTAAAGGTAGGCAGACAATGTAATAGAGCAGCGGGAAATGCTAGCAGAATGCTTGGTTGTATAGGGAGAGGTATTAGCAGTAGAAAGAGGGAAGTGCTCATGCCATTGTACAGAACACTGGTGAGACCTCACTTGGAGTATTGTACACAGTACTGGAGACCGTATCTTCACAAGGATATTGATACCTTAGAGAGGGTTCAGAGAAGGGCTACTAAACGGGTTCATGGATTGCGGGATAAAACTTACCAGGAAAGGTTAAAGGATCTTAACATGTATAGCTTGGAGGAAAGAAGAGACAGGGGGGATATGATAGAAACATTTAAATATATAAAGGGAATCAGCACAGTAAAGGAGGAGACTATATTTAAAAGAAGAAAAACTACCACAACAAGAGGACATAGTCTTAAATTAGAGGGAAAAAGGTTTAAAAATAATATCAGGAAGTATTACTTTACTGAGAGGGTAGTGGATGCATGGAATAGCCTTCCAGCTGAAGTGGTAGAGGTTAACACAGTAAAGGAGTTTAAGCATGCGTGGGATAGGCATAAGGCTATCCTAACTATAAGATAAGGCTAGGGACTAATGAAATTATTTAGAAAATTGGGCAGACTAGATGGGCCGAATGGTTCTTATCTGCCGTCACATTCTATGTTTCTATGTAACTAAGGTGTTGGTCCATTCCACTGTCCTTTCTCGCCTTGACTACTGTAATCCGCTTCTCAGTGGTCTTAAGTGCTCCCAACTTGCGCTGTTACAGTCCATAATGAATGCGGCGAAGCTCATCTTCCTGTCCGCCCGCACCTCCCATGTCTCACCCTTCTGTCAGTCCCTACATTGGCTTCCTATAAAATATAGAGCTCAATTAAAAATTCTGGTTCTTGCTTTCAAATCTCTACATAATGCTGCTCCCACCTATCTTTCCTCCCTTATACACAAGTATGTCCCGTCTAGGCCCTTACGATCTGCTGAAGACTTACGTCTATCTTCTGTCCGTACTCCCACCTCTGATGCTCGCCTTCAATATTTCTCAAGGGCTGCACCGTTCCTGTGGAACTCTCTTCCCTCCTCCGTTAGATGCTCACCCTGTCTCTACTCCTTCAAAAATTTTTTAAAAACCCGCTTTTTCATAAAAGCGTATAAATTAAACTGTTAATAGCTCCTGACTGATTCCTCTTCTGCAACTTTCACTAGACTAATACTATCCTTACCTTTTTGTGTCTTTTTTTTACCCCACTCCCTCTAGCATGTAAGCTCATTGAGCAGGGCCCTCAACCCCTCTGTTCCTGTGTGTCCAACTTGTCTGGTTACAACTACATGTCTGTTCGTCCACCCATTGTAAAGCGCTGCAGAATTTGACGGCGCTCTATAAATATCATAATAATAATAATAATAATTCATGATGCATCCATAAAGGGATGCTTTAGTTTAATGAAGCAGTCTTGTTGTATAGATGATGCTCCTACAGAGTCTCTGCTCAGTTTCCTGCCCTTAATGAGCTAAGTTACTTTTTTTATGCAGCCGTAGTCACACTAGTTACTCACACAGCCTCCATGAAGAAGGCATAATTTTCAATCTGATCTTACAGCACAGTGTGTAAGAAGATATTATCTAATGCTATGGTAATTGAATTCAAATCACAAACATAAGACTATTTAATGCTCTAGCAGACAATCTACAAAGTATGACATTGGGAATTTCTACATTAAACACACTGTGCAGTTGTGAGTGGAGTTTGTTTAATGACCACACACCTGGTTGGGGGATGTTATTTTTTATTTTCTCTCCATTCTCCATTTGTTCTGAACTCCATGTCTTCTATGTACCTTTGTAATACTTGTTCTGTGATTGCTGTACCTATCTACCTTGTCATCATCTTTTGAAAACCCTCAATAAACTCTGATTGCCAAATACACCCTGGGCAATAAGTGACGTTTAAAAATTTTGATTTCTTTTTCATAAAGTGTGTATGGAGGTGTAGCTAGGGCTGCTTAAAAGAGACTTAACTCTTGAATGACAGCGAGTTGAGAACTGAGGTGGGATGATCTATGCATCAAAGCCACCATAATCTGTTAAAGTTGTTTTGGTGCATAGTGCCCTTTAATTTATGTCAAATGCTTCATAACAGTTTGACACGGGGGCGGGACCGGACCGCCATGCTGACCGGTCGCATGCAGGACAGGCTCCGGAGAAATCTGGCCTGTTAAGCTAAAATTTACAGTCCTGGTACTCGACATGAGTCCACAAGACACTCACTCAGTGGTGGAAGAGGCGGTGGACACCGAGATCGGGAGTTTTGGGTCCCCTGAGGGAAGCACGAAGCTTCGGGAGCTGCGGGGTGGACGGCCACTGCCCTGCCTCCCTTCCCAACTGCCACACACCGCTTTCTGAGAGGCTTACCGGTCCTGTTTCTCCTCCCTCCCCTCTGTGGGCCGGGGGGTCAACCCTGTCCCCACCGCGGAAAGCTTGAGATAAGTGGAGAATAGGCAGCATGAGACCCCCAAGGCCTACCTTACAAGATGGCGGCAACATCAAGCTATGTGCAATCACACCACCCACCGCGACGAACGACCGCAAAGCAAGTCCAGCGAGACCTGCCGGATAAAGCATGTAAACATCGCATGCCGTTCACGTAGCTACATCGCAGCTCAGTTGTGCCTCACAACAACCGCGGAGGGCTGGTCCGGGCAGGTTCACGGATCCCTGGTATCCTCCCAGCCTAACAAAGAGTCCACCGACCCGGGAACCTTGCTCTAGCCATGCATGGCGTCAGATGAAGGGAGAACAGGACTTTGTCTCTGGAATGGTGCCTGACTATCACATCTGACTCCAACACCTGCTGAGTACTTGTTTTGTTACTTGTGACTTTCATTTTACGTCCAGATCAACTGAAATTACTATTAATACATCAGCAGGGGTGACTATGCCATGTAATTACCAAACTGCCCCTTAACTAATCGAGCACTGGGGACGGGCAGGCTTGGGGTGCTATGTATTGTTTTGTTTTTGCTTTATTCTCTATTTTGCCTACTCATATGCATTCTCTGGTCTATGTCTGCCACCTCACGCTTGACATATACGTTCAACTAGCATGCCCAGCCATTTATGACTACCTCTCATACATAAAACATGACCGCAAGTTTTGGCTTGCTCACAGAGGCTCAACTAGTACTGTTAATCGAGAACGCGATGTTGAATGTTTAGATGTCGTATATCTTCTCAGCATACTCAGAATTATAGATGGCATATGTAGTCTGGAATCTCTAGCACAACTAACTAAGGATGTATAACCTGTTACGCACACTATACACAAACAACGTATCTATATAAGTACCACGCTACGGAATGCTACAGAATAGATAACCTCACTCACATAGTCAGCCAGTATAGCCTGAATGTCTACCACCCGATGTGCTCTCACACCACTGACTATCGTTTTACTCTCTCTTACTCACCTTTACACAGAAATGCGCATTTGTTCATTTTGCCGCAACTGTTATGCATTGTCTACTTCGAAACACGTTGATGCTGTTGGGGCATGGCGTGACTGTTTGTTAAACTAACCCATGCACGAATAATAAAGACTTATAAAAAAAAAAACCCAGTTTGACACAAACCAGGCATACGACATTGAAAGAACGATAGCACCCGTAAATGAGCTGTAGTCGTTATGGTGCATAGTGCAGGACTTAATAAATACCCTTATAATCTAGGAACAGCAGGATTTTTTTTTTTTTTTCTTCTTTGTGCTGTAACGTCAATGACTAACACTTATTTTATGGTTGGAAACATGCACACTGCTTATCTTTAAGTGTCCCTGTACATCTCTGTTTATCTCTAAATGTGTGTAGCTGCATGTACTAGGCGAGAGCAATCAGCAGGTCTACCCCTCTTATAATCTTATCAGCTTGATGGTACTGTGTGCACAGTCCTGGCTGCTTACGTTGCAGGCTATGAAGTTCATATTTCAGTGTGTCCACTTTAACTAGTGGACCACCTTAATCTTTGCAGGGAAACTATGGCTTTTAGCTAATTAAATCTGAATTGTAAAATTCAGGCTAAAATAGCTGACTTGGAAAAATTCTCTAACTCTGCTACAGTCACAGTTTGACTATTTTACCCTTGATTTTACAGTTTGGATTTCATTTTGCTAAAATGTGTTTAGTGAATAATCCGGTTTGTGTGTCGGGAAGGCAATCTGCGCCATGCAGTCACTGACTGAAGGGGTCAGAGTTGCATATTATATATAGCCTAACCCTTTCACTACCGGGAATTGATTGCACCAATTATTAATATACAGATATAGCCAAAAATATGGTACCCTGGCATTTTTCTCAATGCTTTCCTATGGACTCTCTGCGCGATGGCTGGATTAACCTCAAATGTAAACATAGCAGTTTCTCTGAAACTGGTGTGTTTACATGTGAAGGGTTAAAACCTGGGGGACCTGGCACCCAGACCACTCCTTTAATAGAAATTGACACTTTTTTTTTTTTTTTTTAAATATAAATATACTGGTTACACCCCCCTGGCTTTTCAAGCAGATATCAGGCCCTGTTACTTCCTGGTTTGGTTAGAATTGAACTCAAGAGACATCAGTTGCCTCCTGCACATGCCTTGCAAAGACCTCTCATTGAGCTGCATTGGGAAGTCTGTGATTGAACAATCACAGAAAGTTTAGGCGAGGTTAGAAGAGGAAAGCTTGCAAAGGCTGCAGACAAGATATCTGCCATTTTTGCAAGGTGTTTTAGATCTAATTCCAATGAAAAAAATGCGTAATTAATGGCATGCAAGTTTTCATTTGGGGATCTATCTACTAAACAGTGATTTTTAATTATTTTGTATTTGGACAATGGAGTGTCCCTTTAAAAACACTATTTAGCCCTCTTAAATAAGTTAATTCACCTTTATTCCAGAGCCACATGGGTCCACCGGCGCTAGCCCAGCCCCGGCCCCAGTCTGCCTCTCACGTACAATCCAGGTGCTCCAGATCCAGTGTTAGCAAATCCCAATTTAGCAGAAATGAAGAAAGTCTTGTCCAGGCACTCAGGATATTGCAAAAATCAGATTTATTAGAACAAAGGAGTAGTGTTTCAACCTGCACAGAGGCTTTTGTCAAGCTTGAAATCATTGGATTGGCTGAGGTTGTCAACTCTGATGATCACAGCCAGGGGCAGAGCCAAACCCCACCCTGGCCAGTCGGTATCTACTCATATAGATGCTTTGAATCAGTGCATCCCTATGAGGATTGTTCAGTGTCTCCATGCAGAGAATGGAGACGCTGAACGTTGGTGCTGCACATTGTGCAGTTCTGACCCAGGAAGCACCTATACTGGTGGTTTGAGGAATGGCTACTAGAGGTGTTACTAGGGAGCAATGTGAATACTGCCTTTTCTTGTAAAAGACAGTGCTTACATTAAAAAGCCTGCAGGGACTGGATATACTCACCAGAACCACTACATGAAGCTGTATAGTGTCTCTTTAACAAGCCACAGTCGTACTTGAAGAATGTCCTTTGGACAGCTGAAACAAAAATTATGCCTTTTGGCAAATCACAAAATTTTTGCAGAATTAAAAAAAGAAACTTTCAAATAAAAGAATGTGCCCCAACCGTGAAACATAGAGGAGGTTCTTGGTGATGTTTTTGGTTTGCTTTGCTGCCTGTGGCACTAGGTTCCCAGAATCTGTGCAGGATAGGATGAAATCAGAATACTAACAAGGCATTCTGGAGCAAAACGTATTGCCCGGAGTCAGAAAGCTGTGACTTAGTCATGGATCCTCCAGCAAAATAATGACCTGAAACATACATCAAAAGCACCCAAGATTGAACAAAAAGAAAACATTGGACTGTGTTGAAAACCAGATGCTGCCGCAATTTACTTTATTTCTCATTTTTATTTAAACCCTTGATACTTTAGTTAAATCAACACATGTAGCCAGTGGTGGGCAGTGAAAGGGTTAATCAAAGCTTCAGCATGTGGGGCTGTATGATCCACTGAGTATCCAGCCCATTACATAAGCCGGTCACTACATAAAGTCTAATAGCAATGGTGTGAGTTTTTTCCCCCAACTTTCAGTTGTCCAGGGATACAAAGAGCCTCTAGGAAAGAATAATCGCTGTGTCAGATCTCATTTATTAGTTGCTATGGCCTGCCTTGTCCATGGAGGCCCTGGAGCTTGATTTATCGAGCAGCGGCTTAGGGTCCTATTAACGTTTCTGAAAACAGAAGCACAGTATGTCTCAACTTTAAACCGTGACCAGAATGCTGGAATATTGTAAGTATGATTTTTGGCGCAGTCTGCTGCAGTAACTACCTACAGAGTCCTCGTTTGTGTAGTTAGTTTTACCCCAGTGAGAACAGAGTGGAGGAAAATGTTAGTGCTGCAGTATTTTAATTTGCATTTTTATTTTTTTATTTATATTTTTTACTGCAAATTCTATAAAGTTTCTGTTTCCATAAATGTCCAAACTAGAGGTTAGAGCAGTGATGGCTAACCTTGACACCATTAATTGTTTCTGGACTACATTTCCCTTGATGCTCAGCTAGCTTTAAGAGTCTAAAAGCTAGCTGAGCATCATGGGAAATGTAGCCCAGAAACAATTTATAGTGTTAAGGCTAGCTATCACTGGGTTAGATGATGGGTGTAGGTCTGATTGAGACTCTTTCTGTTTTTCCAGTTCCGCTCTAAAATTACCATTCACAGTTTATTGAATAACCTTGACAAATCTAATTTATTTCAAGCAGACCAACTAACTTTATACCAACACAGCTTACCTTTTTACCTCTGTTAGGTTGTCGAGTGGTATAAGGCATAAATTATAGAAGTCTGGGCTAGCAGATAGGATGAGTAGCATCTGTAGTGTTACTGAGTATTTGGTATTAATTGGGAATCTGAGACCTAAGAACATAAAGTATAAAATAAGAAATTTAGAACAGGAACACATGTATATGCATTGAGTGTCCAGATATTGTGAAAGACTCAGGAAAAGTCACCCACCGTGTTCATCCAATGCCACTGCTGGGCCACTGGGTGAAGGGCCAGTTCCACGTAGGCCTATCTGCTTTGAGGCCATGTTGTTTCCCAGTAAATTGAATCCGTAGTAATGCTGCAGAAACCTCCAGTCTCGGCTCAGTGCCGTAACGGGGACCAGAACCACGTGTCCACTGATTTTTTTTTTTCCCAACCCCACCCCCCTTTCCCACTCCATGGGCCCGCAAGCTCTCAGAGGTCGGAATTTCCTCACGGGTGTATGGATGGTGTCTCCAGGCAGCCCCCACCCCAGAGTGAGATCCAGTGACTAAGTATGCATTACGCGGCAAACAGACAACAGGAGTGATGATGCAAGTAACTCTACTGTTAATGTGTTCCCAGAATTTCTGGCAGAGTGACTTGGCTCCATATTGGGCCCTGCAATCGTGACCCTCTGAACCTATGCAGCCCTGCGATTCCAGCGTAGCGGCCATCTTGGTCTCGCCACACGTCCCTCGATGTGTTAAGGCCTTAGCCATCAGTAAAAGAGTCCAGGTAACTCAGTGTAGACTGGAATATCACCCACCGGTCCAAAGGGGGGACAAGGTGGGGTATAACGGGGCTGTTGCTGGTCAGCATCAATGTCTGCGCCCAAAGTCGAGGAATCTGACGCTTTTCCCAACCACAGACGCCTCTGTCGCAGATGGCCTCAAGCACGGACATGATGTCTATACTGCAGAGCCCCCCAAACTGGGATCAGGAAGGTGTGCTAGGCTGCAGCTTTGTCAGCAGGTAATGCTGATGCACGGACTACAAACATTTTCACTTGAAAAGCTTGTTTGTATCCTGATCATCCAGGAGCTAGAGAAAAACATGTCCGTTCAATTTGACTCACTATATGTATACATAGCACAATATTAAATATGAATAAAATATAAAAAAAAATATTCCCCCCTCCCCGTTTTACATTTAATAATTTCTATACAAGTGCAACTAAAGAAAACAAACTCACTGTCCTGATTATTAAAAATTACCCATATGTCTAGGATTTCAATTAATGTTAAGTTATAAAACAATTATTGCAAGGAAAGAATTACTGTTTTTGCTAAATTTGGCATGTTGAGATTGCAACTTTAATAGTGGTAACAGAATCCAAAACTGCTACATAAGTATATATTTCTAGAAAGTACATCCTCCACGCTATTTAACTAAACATTTTGACACTTTCCATTTAACCATTTTATCATGAACTTTGGTCAAATATATAGATTTTGTGTTTTTCACACACGTGTCTTAATACCACACATGTCCCACTAATGTAAACACCCCATATTTGTATTCTTCTCGAGTATAATGATAACCCACTTGTATACAAATGAATGTATACATTTCCCTATGATCTAACTCATAAGGATTCCCCCTGGCATCAGCAGAATGATTTTCCAGCTTATACAATACAGAGCACTCTGTAATGCACGATTGCAGCAGAGAGGGAGATCTGGCAAAGCACATCGATCACTCAGCAGAGGAGACCTGGCCCTAATCTTTTGGAGGCTCAGAATTGCTGCAGCTCAGCTTGATTGCTCAGCCATAGTGCTTTGAGTGCAGCATGTAGCTCATGTGGGTGTTAAGGGGTTTAATGACTGCACCTCTCCCGTTAATACTATCATTTATTTGTTTACTGACATTCTTCTTGGGGTGTTGGGATGGAAAGATGGTGTTCTTCCTCAAAATCAATATATTTATTAAAAATACATATTTTATGTCTCCTACAGCAAGAATTAGAGACGCTTGGCATAGTCAGCAATGGTACCTCAGTGGCAAACCAGGTAATGTCTCATGTATTTTTCCACATTTTGCATCTGCTAAGGTTTTGAACACAGTTCAATTTCTGATTAGTGCCACACATTCATAGTGGAAGTTCTAAAACCCATGTGTTTATTGAGAGTGGGGTTAGTACAAAATCCCATAGTGGTTGAGACCTGTCCGCTTGTGTGTCCACCATTAAAGTAATGATTCCAGTGATCACCTTGTATTATCAGTATTTTATTTATAATATGATGCATTTAAAAATTAAAGTCAATAAAAAGGTACAATTAAAATTTACAACAAAGTGCAAATCCGGATATGTGCGCAGTTTTAAATCCTGAACTGCTTTGTTAAGGAATGGATTGGCATACACAACCCTCTGTGTCAATCAGAATGCGTGAATAAAAATCAGAGACTTTTATTGTAGTTTTAGTCCAATACATCAATGGCAGAACTCCAAAGGAGTTTGACAACTCTGCTCTCTGTACTGTTATTTAGATTTTGCTAACTGAGAATGTGTTAATAGGATGGCAAGCTATATTATTTCTTCTTTCTTTCTTACTTTATTTTCGACAGGCTTCCTCAAATAACCTAGAATCTGTAGACGATATTTATTCAGGTGAGTTTCCAATATTCGCCTGAATTTGACATTTTTGGATACTCTTTTATAATTGAATATTGTGAAAAATATTTTGATATTTATTGATCTAGTTTTTTTTTTTGACTTTTTTTTTATTTTATATATTTAAGAAATATATATATTTTTTTCAAATTTTACCCCCCAAAAATTAATTATTTGAAAAGATTATCCAAAATGATGAAATTTAGGACATTGTTTGAAGAAAGTGACTTTGAATATATGCCATCACTATGGTATTTTCCATCTTTCGTTCAATGTTCAAAGATGTAGTAGTTTTTATTACAGCAACATTTTTTATTCAATTTATTTAGATGATCGTTTTAGCCTTGTTAGGCATCATCAGTGAGGCATAGCTGATATCTCTCTAGACACTGTGAGGAAGGGGTCCACGTCTGGATTACCCTTTAAACTTATGGAGAGCAAAAAAAAAAACAAGGTGCAACTTGCTGGCATTTCAAATCTGGACTGCCCGTATGGGTGGTACCAATCTATGTTTCAGAGATGTTCTCTCTGTAATGGCACAAGATGAGCTAAAACCAGCTTGAGATCTGAGCTATGTATACATAAAGTGAAATAGCAGGCTATTTCAGCTTCTGCCCGTTCTCGGTATCTCTTGTGCCCCGTTTTTTTGCTCTCAATAAATAATAAAAAATAAACGTGTGCCCCGGTTTTTTTGCTCTCCATTAGTTTAAAGGGTAATCCAGACGTGGACCCCTTGCTCACGGTGCCTAGAGAGATATCAGCTATGCCTCACTGATGATACCTAACAAGGCTGAAACGATCGTCTGGGGTTGCTGTGTCTCTCGTGCAGCGGGAACTTGCTGGCATTTCGGATCTGGACTGCCCGTATGGGTGGGACCAGTCTGATATGTTTCAGAGATGTTCTCTCTGTAATGGCACAAGATGAGCTAAAACCAGCTTGCGATCTGAGCGGGGACCCACCGAAGAGCAGGCTATTTCAGCTGCTGCCGTTCTCAGAATACTCTTGTGCCCCGGGTTTTTGCTCTCCATTATTTTATTTTATTTTATTTTTTATTTATTTTTTTATTCTTTATTTTTGTTATGCATAAGCATATAACAGTCGCTTGTGAGGTACCCCAAAGGCATTTCTCAAGCGCATTTTAAACAGTTGAGCATAGAAGTACGTGATGAATCTAGCACATATTTTATAAATACGGGTAAGTCGAGATATAAACGGAGTATATTTTAGCTTAATCTCTTCTATAACATATAATGGCATTGTTATGCCAACTAAACATTTGCTGGGTTCACTGTGATTTTATCTGAGGTCTAGCCTACATGTCACTCTTGTGCCAGTGCGTAGTCCTAAGATTAATGATGGAGATGGCATCCGCTTAACACCCTTACTTTAAAGGCACAGTGATTAATTTATCAAGGTATGGGACAAGCTTAGACAACATTGCTTTGTATGCTGTTATTCAGTCGTTTCAGTGGATGTCTATATACGAGATGTGAGAATAGATTTAAACGGAGTGCTGCGCCTGAGCGCTTAATGTTTAAACATGCTAGGGGTGTATAGTATATGAAACTTTTAAGTAATAGCCGAGTAGGAAGGTATAATAGCTAGGAAAAATAGCACCTTGGTTATAGACTGCCTGGTAAAAACAAGCCTTATCTCCGCATTTGTGGTTGCAGGAGAATAGCCCTTCTTGGGTTTAGTCCGCTTTGATCAGCCGATGCCGGCTCTGGATGCCTGATAGGTGGGCCATGGATAGTGGCAGGGTTGGTGTCTCGCTGAGATATCATCTCCGCTGAGCTCTGAGGAGGCTCTCTGTGTGTGTCTCCTGTGTGCAGGAAGCCTTGCTGCATCTCGGCTTGCCTCATGGCCCCCAGCGTGAGTTCTTGTTTGCCGGGTTGTGCCTTGCTGGTCGGTGGTCTCTGATGCTGCTGGGTGATGGGTAGGTCGTGTGTGCTCAGCGGTCTTGCTCTGATGTGTGTGAGTGTTAGTGCCCGCAAGGCATGTCACTGTTGCCCGCCAATTAAATCTTTGGTGTTGTCTCCTTCGGGAGGTCGCTTTGGGGGCTCACGGTGTGTACACACATAGTTGGCATAGAGTAGCCGGATGGATCCATGTTGCTGCCGCTTGCCCTGCCAGCCTGAAGGGCTGGTTAAAGAACTCTTGGGTATGCCTGGGTGGGGTGGGATGGGTGCTGTTTGTTACAGGTTGTGCCTGTGTCGCCATAGTCGTCGATTTTGCTGTGGGGCCTTCTACGCTATGTTGCAGTTGATTTGGGCCACATGTAGTGAAGCCAGGCATGTCCACCATTTTGGGCCTCGTTGCTTCTATGCCGCGAGAGTGTTTACCAGCATCTGCTGTGCTGTCTGAGTTTGTGGCCTCCCTGGCTGGCGGGAACCGGGATAACCCCCTCCGGTCCATGGGGGGGGGAAGCGATGTGCGATTGTCCCCTCTTCAGCCTGAGAAGTGGGAGAGCGGCCGTCTCTCCACGGCTCCCACCTGTGTAGGCCGCAGATTGCAATTTGGACATTTTAGAGGCGGGGAGCCTCGTGTCGGGTATCCCCGGATTCTGCATCCCCTTCTGAGCTTGAGGATAGTTGTCCGAAGTCGGTGGTCGGGCGTAATGCCACGAATCAGGGCTTCAGATGCCATAGACGTCTGGCTCGCTCGGCAGGTAAGCTCCGCCCCCTGCTCTCCATTATTATCATTTATACAGCACTGAATGTTTAAGCTGTTTCCACGTGCATAATCCATTTTGTGTTTCTGTCATGTAATTTCCTTTCCTGCAGATAATTTGTCACTGGATACAAACTTTTTAAAATCTTCACTTGAGAGTGATGTCCTCAGTGATGGCTTGCAATTGGCTGTTTCTCAATCCTCATCCACAAATTATACTCAACCTGCTGCAATTCTTAATGACTGTGATATCATTGGAGATGATGTGGACTCTCTATTGGACTCTGAGATGGTGAGAATTTGTTGTTCATTTTGAGGAAATTGCGAGCAGAAACTATAAAGTTTGCATTTAATTCCATTAAATTATTAATAGCATTTACGTTTGTGCCTTTCTCTTTAGCTTAAAGGGGCACTATAGTCACCTGAACAACTTTAGCTTAATGAAGCAGTTTTGGTGTATAGATCATGCCCCTGCAGCCTCACTTCTCAATCCTCTGCTATTTAGGAGTTAAATCCCTTTGTTGATGAACCCTAGTCACACCTCCCTGCATGTGACTTGCACAGCCTTCCATAAACACTTCCTGTAAAGAGAGCCCTATTTAGGCTTTCTTTATTGCAAGTTCTGTTTAATTAAGATTTTCTTATCCCTGCTATGTTAATAGCTTGCTAGACCCTGCAAGAGCCTCCTGTATGTGATTTATATTTCAATTTAGAGATTGAGATACAATTATTTAAGGTAAATTACATCTGTTTAAAAGTGAAACCAGTTTTTTTTTTTTTTTCATGCAGGCTCTGTCAATCATAGCCAGGGGAGTTGTGGCTAGGGCTGCATAAACAGAAACAAAGTGATTTAATTCCTAAATGACTGTGAATTGAGCAGTGAAATTGCAGGGGAATGATCTATACACTAAAACTGCTTTATTTAGCTAAAGTAATTTAGGTGACTATAGTGTTCCTTTAAGCAGAACCTAAGTGATTGCAAAATATTACGTAGATCAGTATAGATGTCAGACACACGTCGTCTGTCAGTGATTGAATCATATATCTGGATATGTTATATAATTTCTGTTCTCTTATGGTTTGTTTGGGCCTATCTTTTGACATATCTTTCCCAGGATTGATGTTTTCTTCATTTAGACAAAGTCCAAACAAAGCAAACTTTTTATAATGCATGATATTTATTTTAATAAGGTACTTGTACACATACTGCATTTGATATCGGCTCTGTGCAGTCCGGAGGGAGGTCCCATAAACTCCTGTGGGAACAGGGGACCTCCTTGCAACATAATTTAAGAGCAAAAGTTATGATACAATGACCTTGTTAAGATGTATGGTGCAAAGCTAATTATCCCCTGTAATGAAAAGGAAAAGTGTATAAATGACTTTTAACTAGGTGGCTTTACTTCTGTGCATTAATCAGAATCCGTGCATATATTATCAGATCAGTTTACTTCACATTATATTTTACTTTTAAAGATCTCTAAATACCTGCATTTTTTTTAAAGGGCACCTGTCATGCCCAAAACAAATTATGCTCATTAGATTATGCATAACATTTTATCTATACATTGTGCTAGCAGTTTTGCTAGCTATACATTTGCGAGAAATTAGGATTATTATTTATTTATTTTTTTAAATAGGTTTTTCTGCCAGTTGTCAGTCAATGGCTCCGCGTGCCGAGGCATTGACTGACAAGGGAGAACAGATAAGTCTTCCACTCTTCACCCAGCTGTGGTTTCAATGTAAACTCCCTAGCAGGAGCTTCAAGCCATGCCGAAATTGCTGATGAGATTTGCCCTGCTTGGGAATGCACCCCAAATTTACTTTGAATTCTTGTTTTAGTAAATGTTTATGTATGTCTTCCAAACTAAACATTTGCTGATACATGTCAAGAAGTTCAAATTGTGTTATTCTGTTTTAATGCATGACAGGTGTCTCTTTTTTTAGTTTCAACCTTTTTAATGAATGTACATCAGGGTAGTAGCAAATCATAATTTCTAAACAATGGGTGATCCATGTGAATTTACCTCAGAGAGTAAGGTACATAGAGTTTATACGTTTTATCTAAAGTAACAAAAATCAAAACATTGCAATTCAACTGTCATCACCTCTCTACTCGAATCTAGAATTGTTGTATAAGCATTAAATAATAGTACCCTAGCCATGTTTAAATGATAAGATATGAGGCAACCCTGTGAAATATTTTAGAGAGAAGAGGGGAATTGCTAGTAGTCTGTTTGGTGAGGTACCAATTTTTAAATTTGGATGTGGATTTCATTTTTGTTTTTAAGGATGAGTCCAATGAATGCATACAGGGAATTAAGGTATAGAAAAGGAAGGTACTTTTTAAAGAACATGAAATGTTGGAAAGCATGCATGAATGCACAAGTCCCTGTCAAACATGTTTGAAATATTCAAAATTCTATCTAGATGTCTGCTTCCTACAGCTAGGCTAGGCCTTGGTCTGTGCCCACCTAAAATGTTTTCTTGCTCCCGTGATGTCTTGTGCCCTATTTTATACCCAAAGCAAAACTCGTCATTCCCATATTTTGTCCTCATTAACATAGGCTTTAATCGGAACCTTTGTAAATGTAATATTCCATCTTGCAGATGCAGCAGCAACAAGCATCCATCTTGTCAAGCCAGATGACTCAGTTAATACCAGTGTTTCCTACTATAACCCCCTTGCTCTCCAGCATGGGTGCCAATAGGCTACCAGCACCTTCACCGTTGCCTCCAGCCTCCTTCGGTTTGTTGGACTCTAGAAAAGCAACCGCCACAAATTTCAAATCTCCCTTCAGTATGAATATCCTCCTGCCTCCAGAACCACATCTAGACACTTTGGACAGCTTTGAGGGGAGCCAGAAGACTTTAGATTGTTTGGACACCTTCACAGGTAGCAATTAAATCCATATTGATGTAGCATATTCTGATAATGCTATGTGTCTGTAAAAAGATTGCTGGCAGATCAGCTTTGTAAAGATACATGGTAAGTAAATCGTTTTGTAAATATTTTAGATGGGATTGGGAGCCACTGATGGGGGTTAATGTGCAATATGTATGAGAGCTGTCACAGACATTGACAGAGTTATTCACCAAAAATTTTTCTGAATTAAATCAAATTGAAAAAAAATGCTGATCTGTAAAAACTCCTTAATTGAGCTACTCAAAACCTTTTGCCTCAATTTTATTCAATCAGATTTAATTTGTGAAAATTCAGAATTTAGTTATAAACTAGGAGATATTTGCACTCTGCCCCTATAATGTGTGTGTGTGTGTGTGGTGACTGTGTGCATGCCTGCAGGCTGTGTGTGGCGTGCGCCAACTCTGTTTGGTATCTCTAATTAGCACTGTATTGATTATAGAGCTTAGAATGCCTCTTTAAGTTTTCATTGTTTTGTTTAGAACCTGAAATGGCCAAGTTGTCTAAAACTAAATCAAATCTTATCCAATGCACCAATCTATGTTAACGTTTTTATTAGGAGGAAATCATATTAATGTCACAGTAATGTTAACTTTATGCTTGCACTGATTATTTTCTGTTTGTTTTGTTTGTGCAGATCCTAAACCGTTAGATTCTTCAGTATTGAAAGGAAGCCAGAATCACAACGTGAGTACAATTTATTCTCCCATTTCACAAAAAAATGTTTCTGCGTGTCCAAGAAATGGCTACCAAACGCAATCCATAAATAGTGAATTGAAACTCAATTTAGGCTAGAATATCCAAGCTGTGACTGTAGTTGGAATTTTTTTCTAAACTATTAAGTTTGGCCTAAAGTTGGCAATTCTATTTTCAAATCATTCAATTTGGTACTATAAACATAAAGTGCAGAGACAGACAGCTCAAAAAGCATCCTGCAATGCCTTAGCATGCACCCACATGTGCAAGTCATTTTTAGGGAGGTTTGCTGCATCTTATGCTAAACTGTCCATTCTGAGCTGTTGCGTAGTATCAAGAGATGTTTGGGTTTTTTTAGGCCAGGACTGTACTGTAGTACATGAGATTTTGAGCCCTGAGCTATACATAGTGCTTGCTAAATTGCTTGCCAATGAATAGATGAAAGTATTCTTTCCTGATGCTTGCTTTTCCTGCCTCCTAGATGGTTCAGCAGTGGAATTAGAGCTGCAACTACAATTATCTGTATGCTACACCCCTTTGTTTCTAAAGTGCGTGGGTGCATTAAGCATTTCGAGATACATCTGCAGCATTAGGAAAGTGTAGTGTGTGTGTGTATATCTGCATCTGCCTGTGTGGCAGTACGTGTGTGTGTGTGTGTATCTGCCAGTATGGCAGTACGTGTGTGTTCACATAATTGTGTTTTTTTATTTATTTTTCTATTCCAGCCTTATGCTACAGTTGTTTCATTTTTTTTTTTCACATCAAACTACACTCAGTACCCCATAATGACAAAACTGATTTTATTACATAACTGCAAATATATGAAAAAGAAAATAACTGAAATATCACATTGACCTAGGTATTCGGACCCTTAACTCAGTACTTAGCGATTACAGCCTCAAGCCTTTTTGGGTATGTTGCAACAAGCTTTGTTTACCTGGATTTAGGTAGTTTCTGCCATCTCTACAGATCCTCTCAAGCTCTGTCCGGTTGGATGGGGACTGTTCATGGATAACCGTTTTCAGGCCTCTCCATAGATATTTGATAAAGTTTAAGTCTGGGCTTGGGCTTTCGTTAGGCCACTCAAGAACATTCACAGAGTTGTCCCTAATCCCACATTAACGTTTTCTTGGCTGTGTGCTTTAGGTCATTGTCCTGTTGGAAGGTGATCCTTCAGTCCATTCTGTGGCTTTGAGCACTCTGGACCAGGTTTTCCTTGAGGATATTTATGTATTTAGCTGTGTTCATCTTTCCATTATCACTCAACTGTTTTCCAGCCCCAGCAGTGAAAAACACACCCAAAGCGTGAGGCTGCCATCACCATGATTCATGGCTGGGATGGTATTGCGCAGGTGATGAGCAGCGCCTGGTTTCTTCCAGAAAGGACGCTTTGAATTGAGACCATACAGTACATTCCTCAGTTCATGAGACTATAGAATCTTGAGTCCTTGAGATGCTTTTTTTTCAGATTTCAGATTTGTGTCTTGCTGTAATGATGAGCTTCAGTATGACCAGTAGTCCAGATCAAAAAAGCATTGCAGTGATGGTTGTCCTTCTGCAAGTTTTTCACATATCAACACCTGTATCTCTGCAGCACACCCAGAGCAACCATTGGGTTCTTGCTCATTTGTGTTATCAAGGCCTGTCTCCCGATTGCTCAGTTTGGCCAGGTTGCCAGCTCTTGGAAGAGTTCTGGTTGTTCAAAAAGTTTTCCATTTAAGAATTATGGATGCCACTGTGCTCTTGGGGACCTGCAATGCAGTCAAAATATTTGTAGCCTTTTGTATTCTTCCCCAGACCTGTACCTCGACACAGTGCTGTTTCTGAGCCCTGCAGGCAGTTTCTTAGCCTGCCATGATATGCATTTGTATAGACTGGTGTGTACCTTCAAAAAAAAATCATGTTGAATCAATTGAATTTGCCACACGTGGACTAGAATCAAAGTCCAGAGAAATTAGATGCATCCGAGTTAAATTTTAAAGGATCACTATAGGGTCAGGAACACAAACATGTATTCCTGACCCTATAGTGTTAACACCACCATCTAGCCCCCCTGGGCCCCTCATGCCTCCATAAATATAGTAAAAATCTTACTGTAATCAACCCTGAAGCTGTAAATATCCATGCCGTTAGACTCAGAAAACAAGCAGTCTGCTGACATGTGGTAGCCTGATACAATCACAGTGCTTCCCCATAGGATTGGCTGAGACTGACAAATAGGCAGATTATGCCTACAGTGACTCCAAAGTCCCTCTGGTGGCAGTCTGAGTGACTGCAACTGGAGGTGTCCCGAGCTTTCAATGTAAACACTGTGTTTTCTCAGAAAATACAGTGTTTAGATGGGAGAGGCTGCAGGGAACTATAGTTCTCACCTGAACAACCTCATTAAGCTGAAGTTGTTCAGGTGACTATAGTGTCCCTTGAAGCTAATGATTCTACTCACCAGAACAAATTCAATAAGCTGTAGTTGTTCTGGTGACTATAGTGTCCCTTTAAATGCTATATCAAAGGGCCTGAATACTTATGTCCATGTGATATTTCATTTTATTTTTTTAAATTGGCAAGACGTGAAGAAATGAAGGGTCTCAATACTTACTGAGTGCACTGTATATCATTTCTTTTTCCTAAATCAAAAGTTGGATAGACATATTTAGTTTTTATTTCTACCTACCTTGTGAAATCCATAATTACTTTTTTGCTGCATTTTCAGCCACTTTATATGGAGTGAAATATTGCAGGTAAGTGACTATTGCCTAGATTCGATAGGGCTTTGTAAATGTCAGATTTTGGACTCTGTCAGATTCAAATCCATTCTGTAAAAGTGTTCTCACTGTGTCCTTTTTCCATGGCCCCTTGCTATGTTGTGCCCAGAACTTGTTACTTGTCCCCAATGCTTTGATTGCATTTCCCTTGGTTGGCTTCTTTTCCCAGATGCTTTTTGGTGATAGTCTTTGCTGCCAGTGTTATATGTGTGAGGCAAGTCACTTGGAGATGCAGTTAGCTTCCAACCTACCAAAGTTCTTACTTGTGATCAATTAGGAGAATCTCCTATAATCGTACCCAAGCTATGTCTGTTTGCTTGAGAAATTGGAATATTCTCCTGATCGGTTAAGGGTATTCCCCCATTAGACTCTTAGAGGTATACATATGTAAGTGAACATGCTACAAGGACTGCAGTTAAAGGAACACTCCACTTCTCAAATGGACAAAAAAGAAGAGAAAATCACTGTTTAATAGATTTAGAACCCATGAATACATGCATGAATTCATTGGAGTGAGATCTTAAGAGCTTGCAGTGGCTGCCGATCTTATGAACTGTAGCCTTAGCAAGTACTCCCTTTTTTCCCACAGGTAAATAACCAATCAGATGCTTTTCATTGGAATTAATTATTTTCTCAGGTCCCTATCTTTATTATGGAGAACCTGTTTTTAAGGTGTTAATGTTATTTGGTTGGTTGTTTACCAGGTACTAGCAATTTAAGGTGGCTGAAAATGCAGGACAAATATGTAAAATGGCGCAGGGTTTAGCTATTTCAAAAAGTTATTAAAGTAAGTGGCTATACAATCGAAGGTTATTCTTCTATGCTTAATGCTGTCAGACATTGCATTTGCTCATCAGCCTAACATGATAACACCCAGGCTTTGACCTTTTTGAAAGCATTATATTACCCTCTTAAAGATGCAGCCTGTAACAATGTGCTGATAATACACCAAGCAGGCACAAGGGGGCATCCTAGTGTTAAACCTTTCAGACTATATTCCTGAAAACCATCTTCTAAACAAAGGAAAACCTTTACTGCAAGGCTTATCACAGGGCTCCTCTACAGAGCATCCTCTGTGGCACCCTAGAAAGTGCGCGATCACCAATCCAAATAGCTATCCAAATTCATTTACAGATCGGGTTTAAACTTCATAAGAGTTAAATGCCAAGGTGGATTCATTAAAAAACATAGCCTTTATTTTAAAAAGTTAAAAACTATACAAAATATGCACAATGCCTACAAAGAGAGAGAGTAAATGCACACTATAGAATGTGTACGTGCACATGGTCTTTTTTACTTGTTCCAATTGTAGCTATGCACAGTGCTGTGGAATGTGTTGGTGCTTTATAAATAAAGTTTTATAATATAATGCACAAAATGCATTATTTTTGTTTTCTTTTGTTTTTTTTGGATAGCCTTCTCTCCTTATAGGTCTTGTGCATATTTTGAAATATTTTTTTTAAAAACTCTTTTCAATGATATATGTTACGTTGATCCGGTTTGGCGTGCAAAGTCTAATCCCGATGTGTACCTGTATAGCTATATTCATGAAAATGCACAATTATCAGGTAAAACATTCCAACCATAGCTGTGTGCCAGTTGTCTAAGGCACACTTTGATGTTGGACCCAGCTGTTGTCCCTGTGTGCATTGCTAGGCATCACTTTTTTGGCTTTCTTTAACCCCTTTAAGGACCAAACTTCTGGAATAAAAGGGAATCATGACATGTCACACATGTCATGTGTCCTTAAGAGGTTAAAAAAAAATAATTTTATTTATTTATTTGTATATTTTTTTAATTAGCTGTGACGAAAAATACAATTTACATTTCAGTTGAGGGACACTGCTTTTTGCTGGACATATTTGGTTACCAAGTGATTTCTATTCTGGGTCTGCAGCCCGTCACATCATTTCCATAGGTCTTCATAAAACAAAATCTTTGGCTTTGTGTTAAATACAAGCGAGATCAAAATGAAGAGGTTCACCACAAATAAAATAATACTTCTATACATGGATTTGAGTGCAAGCAATCCGATTTCAAGATCTCAATCAATGTTGTTTTCTATCCTACAGCTCAGTGCAACCACCTCAAACCATTTGATGCCTCTAAAGATGGACATCGTGATGCACAGAGGAGCTTCTCAATTTGCCGTGCCAAACCCACTGGCCCAGACGTATGACTTTAAACAAGCGTGTATGCAGTGTTATGTGAAGACAGGTACATGTTGTTATCTTTTCCTTTCTATAATTTCATGGGCAAATCCTGAAATATTATGTGCCTGCATTTCAGGTTAGGTGTACAGATTACAGGCAGGATAGTAAAGTCTGAAAATTGTATGCAGTACGTTTCTTGAATTTTTACTGCAAGAATCTATGTCCGGATCCCCGTCGGGTTCCTGATTCGAAGTGTGACCTCTAGGAGAGTACAGCCCCCCATTAACTTTAGGGGAGGCACCTTGAGAACGTGTGAATTCACATACATTTGTAACTTCAACTTTATACGGCGTGATTATTTTATATTTTACAATATCACACTATGTTGTATTTATTTATATTTTATTAGCTACATCAGGTGTATCCCACTTTATCTTTGTATTTCTATAAAGTTTCTGCAAGACCAGAAGCATAAAAAGGTTTAGAGATTGAGTGGAAAGTCCTGGCACCATAACTACTTGTTCTATTTGTGTATGCTATAGTACAAGGATGTCTCCTGTCATTGCATACCTGCATGAACTGTCTGTTTGCAGCAACTGGCATAAATCACTGCAGCAAATCACTGCAGCAAATAACACAACATCAAGCTTGTGCTTCCATCATTTTCTTTGTAAATATGATTGTGGCCTATCTCTGAAAAGATCATAAATAAGTACAGTACTTGAAGGGGACTGTGCTGTGTAACATTTTCCTTGTTTCACGTTTTAGTTCAGCTGTTGGCAACCCGGCTCTATTCACTATTTTGTGCTGGCCCTGTCTTCTCTTTAGCGGTGGTGACCGTCTTTTTATTGTTTGTGTTGAGATGGGCATTGTTCATTACACTCTTGGTTCCGTTACTGGGGCAGGTACTTTATGGAGTCTGAGAATACTCCGTAAAGTAATTCTGGGGTTAACTACTGTGTGTGTTTTCAGTCAACTGTTGTCTTGTAAGCAATGATGTGAGCATGTCTTTTGTTCTTCTACTTCCTAATTATATTGGGATATGCCTGCACTATATTATTTATCCTTTATTATAAGACTTGTGTGCCAATCAAGTTCCAGTGTCACAAGTGGAGTTCTTCTACGGTTGTCCCATGCACATCCTATCTTCTGAACGGGTTTGTTAGTTTGCAGTCTATGAATGAGGGCTTGTCCTGTTTGTTGTCCTTAACTTACTCCTCCGAGAGTTTACACTCCTTTCACTTGTTCAGGCTACATTGACAATATTACTCAAGAGCCCATATTCATCTAAACGAGTGAAGAGTGTTTGAAGATAGAGGTTATCAGAGAGAGATTTGTGGTAGTCGCAAACATAGGGATCCAGGAAACCTCTACATAGTGCCATAAAAGAAGGTCAATTGGTATCATACAAATAACCAGCCTGTGCTGAATATGCCTATTTTTATACTGTATGTTTTTTTTAGTGCATGTTTGTATTGAGTGATCCTTTTTAGCTATTGGTACATACTATGCTGTGGGAGTTTTGAACATGTCCTAATTGCAGGAAGCATTGGATTGGCTGAGATAATCAGTCTTGATAATTGATCCCAAAATTGGTAAGGGAACATTAGTGTTGGGAATAAATGTTTGTATTCCTAACACTTTAGTGTTCCCTTAAGATTGGAGTGACCATATGGCAATAACATTAGGTTCGGTCCGATCCCTACTAATACTGCACTTCACATCACTTGTTAAAATTGGATTACATTTATTTCTGTGATGAATCTGTTGATTTGTCTTGCATATCGGTTTGGTTGAATCTACCAATCAAACAACATTTATTTTGAAAAACAAAAAACAATGCCATAAATTCATACTGCAAAGATTTGCTCTAAAGTACCATTATGATAATTACAATAATGTTTAATAAAAAACATCCCATGGGGTTTCCCTCTGTTTATTATCTAGTTCCTTTTAATTTTACATATCTGGTCTGGTCTGCTATCTACCTAATGTGCGCAATGGAGGCGATGATAGAGCTGTAATCTTCTTGGTCTGCTCCCCTACGCGCCGTCCTGTGATGCCAGGAAACGGAATATAACATCACTAAACGCCACAGCATCACTAAACAGTGTGCGAGGGAGCAAAGCAAGAAGAAGATTACAGCTCCCTCGCTGACTCCATTGCACAAACACCCACCTGCCCGGCAGTCACAGGATCCACACTGGACCCCAGGGACAGGATTCACTCCAGCTCTCCCAAATGTAGTGAGGCTGGGTGGACATGCATTCAAAAACAAATAAAGAAATCATTTGCGGGGAGGTGTGAGAAAATGTGTGTGTCTGTCACTGTGTGTCAAATCAGTGAGAGATTGTGTCTTTCAGTGAGTGAATATGTATCTGAGAGTGTGGTTGTGTCACAGTGTGTCTGTCAGGGAAAGTGTTGATTGGTTAAATAGTGTGTGCACCAATGACTGTTTCTGTCAGCGAGTGTTTGTCAGTTTGTGTATCAGTGACGGTGAGTTGTCAGTCCGTGAAAGTGTGTGTCGGTTAAACCGTGTGTAAACCAATGACTGTGTGTGTGTGTGTCAGTGGATGTGTATCAGTAAAGGTGAGTAGTTAGTCCGTGAAAGTGTGTGTTGGTTAAACCGTGTGTGTGTATGAGTCAGTGTGTGTGCTTAAAATAATGAGGTATGCAGAAGTGGAGTTCTAAGAGGAAAGAGTGTGGCCTAAAGAGGAAGAGGTAGGTCTTAAACAACAAATGGTACTGCCTTGACAGGCAGGGGTGGTGCAAATTAGGTTAGGAGTGCCCAAGTTTAGTCATGCTTAGGGCAGCACAAAACCAAAATACACCACTGGGTATGCCTGTAAAAACATGAGTTTAAGTTCAGGCCAGTGTGTGGCCCAATATTTTTGTTATCCTTCCAGGTGATACTCCCTGTTATGTACATTAGGGGCATGAACAACTACACGGTGAAGCCGCTGGTAGTAGAATCTCTATGTATGGCACTTCACCCAGAGGTTTTTGCTCAGCTTCAAGATCGGTTAGGCAGGATATTGATAGGAATGACTTTCCATTTACTATGCCCTCCTATAATATTACTTCCACAGATCATGGCTCTGATAATGCCAGTAATCAATGTTGATCATTTTTATTGGCATGGTATAGCCTCTCAGTATGTGCTATCGGCATCAAGGTCTGTGTCCTTTTGTTAACTATGCCATTTCCTTTCAAACCACTTACTTTGTTGCCAACTCTTTCTTTGCCTGACTAATGCCTCAATTTAATAATTTTCATAAACTTTTAAACTGATTTAAAATATATTTGATGGATGTGTAAGGGAATCACACTGAAGTCTTCCCCCTGTTCTACCTGTTTAAGGCAAAAAAACCCCACCTTTTTTCCATTACTTTTGCTGCAGAGCTCCACACTTTTTTCTTTTTCTTTCTTGTTTCATTCATTAATGTTGCTGCCTTAAACTGCCCTTCTTTGTTCCCACTTTCGTTCTTTTAGTCTTTATCTCCAGAAGGGATGGAATTCTCACATGCAAAAAAAGGAATGTATCTGTACGAAAAAAGTGTTTTCCTCTCCGAGTTACGATAGAGGATTTTGGATTAATAGTACATAGTGCATAATTATAAAGGACAACCTTCCAACATGAGCTTGTGTAATAATACTATTTTAGATGCTGTATGCCATTTTGTTTTTGCTTTTATATTTAAATTACAAAGCATTTTAGCTGCAAGAAATCAGACTCCAATTTGTGTTACAGTTCTTATTAATGTAAAATTGTTGAAACTATCTGTCATCTGTCTTTTCCTCCCAGGTCCCAAAGCTTTAGATTTCGTTCACAGGGAGAAACTGGAACACAAGTGTAAAAAGGATATGTTGCTGGCACGAGGGAAGTCCTCTGAAAACAAGACTTGGCTAAAGATACGTCCAAGACCAACAAAAGTCAATTTTAGTGGGCCTTATATTCTGTGCAAAGGTAACAAAAATAGTATGGCATAATCCAGTTTAAAATATACATCAAAGGAAAAATGCAGCTGAAGCTTGTTGGTTAGTGTGGCCGAATCATTAAAATTCATATTTACAAGATTCTGTTTCATCCTTTCACACCCAGTGTCATTGCAGGACTGAAGGATTTTATTAACTCAGACATCATGCAGAATAAAAAAACTAACATGTTTTTGCAAAGAAAATAACACGTGATTGCCAAATCTGTAAGACTTTGTAACGGTCATCCTCTCTTGTTCTACATTGTCACTGAGCTACTGCTGGCTATGTGACAGCCACAAGGAGAAACTGTGAAGCCTGCTCACTGTGTTTGAGATTAGAATTCTGTGTGTGCTGATGCCAGACACAGACATTGCACAGATATTGCCACGTATTCCAGTTGGCTGACTGACAGCCTTACACACAGAAGAAAAAAAAAAAGTTTAAAAATCAAAATAAAAAATTCTGAAATGAAACATTTAAAGAGAGAGGCTGCAAAGATCAGTAAATGAAGTTCTTAGAGCAACCCTTTAAAAAAATACAATGACATGAATTATAATACTATGAATTATGCTTCTGCGTTTAATTACAGTTTTAAACAAATGATACCCTTTTATGAAAACGTAGCTTAAAGTTCACCTTAAAATTGGTATAAGTCCTGCCCACGTGCACATAAAGGTGTTCTTCTGAATATTGTATACATTTCTTCTTAGATATCTTGACTCGACAGGACTGCAAATATGGTGAAAATTGCACATTTGCGTATTATCAAGAAGAAATAGATGTGTGGAATGAGGAGAGAAAGGGAAATCTACACCGTGACCAACTTTTCCATGCCTCTGGAGGGGCTAAGCCAACCAGTGTGGGCTGGCTACTTCAGGAGCATAAAGGGATCTTTATCTTCTTGTGCCAGGTAATAAGATAAAGGAAAGACTTTAGCAGTGGCTACTGTTTAAAATGGAGAACTTAAGTGTTAAAAACTCATAAGTGAATGTCAAAGGTTTTGGGTTTTTTTTCATAAAAAATATACTTTTTATCCCCTCCCTTCCCCCCCACGTCTGGTTGAAGTGAAAACGTTTTGAGTAGTTGGATCTTCTTGGAGACCGAAACCTTCTGCTGTACTTGGCTCATGAGGAAGTAAACTTGTGCACTAGCCTGTCCACCGTTGGGCAGCACTGATCGGCTGAAAGAGCAGAATGCTGGTTAGGTACACCACTGGAATGGGAAGTGGAATAACAAACAAACAAACAATAATAATGATTTGGTTTTAGTCTAGATCCAAAGTGCAGATCTTTTTCTTTGTTTTATATACGATAGGAATAAATAATACTAGTGGCTAGTGATGTCCTGAAGGGTTCGACGAACGGTTCGCCGCGTTTAAGTTTAATGTACCATGACACATTCCAGCCAATCAGCAGCAGACCCTCCCTCCCACCTCCTGGACAGCATCCATTTTACATTCATTGTGAAGCTGCATTCTTAGTGAGCTGTCCAGGAGGAGGGAGGGTCTGCTGCTGATTGGCTGGAATGTGTCTGTTGACTGTGAGGTACTGGGTAAAAGTTTACTCAATGATGAGTCCACGGCGAACCGTTCGGGACATCACTACTAGTGGCATATTCAATGTATCAAAACAAAACAAAAAAGTGTACTCTTCGGTATTCCAAATGTCCTTTATTGTGTACCTGTCATGGTACATTAAACTTGTGCTCAGATTCCAACATTTTGGCAATGAGTGCAGAGTGTCTGCATCACAGACAAAGGAGGTTTGCAGCGCAAATCTAACAAGAGCAGACAGAGCACGGGTGGAACTGAGGTGGGTGCTACCAAATATTAACAACCGTGAAGTTGAGGGCATGGCCGCACCGGATCGGAGGTGAGGTGAGTTTTTATATTAATATAATTTACGTTGACTAATGCATGTATCTTTTCTTTTTTGATATTTAAGGGGGATCCATGTTTGACAGGTTCACTTTAAGTAATAGCATACAAACAATCAGTGTTTGGCAAGTGCACGTCTTATCTGGAATACATAATTACAAATTTTTAGGAGATCTATTTCTTGCTTTTGTTATTGCATAAGCTTCCTAGCAGGGTATATGTAAAAAGAATAAAGAAAGCTCTTTTGACTCCATAAGCACTAGTTTAAAGTTTATATTTCTGCCACAAAACATGTATAGGGATAGGTTTCTGCCCATACAGTATACGTTAGAATGTTCTACTTGTTGAATTCATTTGAATATCCCTTTTTTCTTTCCAGACTTGCTTTGACAGCAAACCCCGGATCATCAATCAGAGAAGTTCTGAGAAACCAGATTACTGCACAAACGCTGCAAACCAACACAGGTTGTCTGATCACAAGTACGTACACAGTATACTTGGTTTGCAGCGTAATCCCTCTGAAAGCACAAAATTATATAATAACCTTCATAGAGTTAGGTCTGCAAGTCACTGGCAATTACTTTGTTCTCCTCTGTTTGTTAAAGCTGGTTTGGGGGGATTTATTATATAGTTTTGTGGTGCAATGGACGGGTTTACTGACTGTTTATTACTGTATTTTCACCAATCTGCTCTTCCCACCTGCAGGTGTCTTGTTCATGTGCTTAACTCTAGCACTGTCCGATACTCCAAGATCCGCCAGCTACATCCGCGCTTCCAGCTGGACATGTGTAGACACGAGCTTCGTTACGGCTGCATCCAGGAAGACACCTGCAATTTTGCACATAGCCACGTAGAACTGTGTGTCTGGCTGCTTCAGCGACAATCTGGTATTTACCACCAATCCCATATTCTACTGGTGACTAAATCTTGCAATATAAATAGGGGGTGTTATAAATCCCTTACATTTGATATATTTTTCCTCTTTTTACTTATGCAAAGCATCAGGTTATCTTATGTTCCGTGTGCAGGACTTTGGATCAGACCCATTCCTTCCACACATATGTCACCTATAAGACAAAAAGAAGAAAAAATAAAAAAGCGCTAAAACTTTAGGGTAAATAGAGACATGTTAAGAATTGGTTTGAAGAATGCCCTCTTCATTGTCACAAACTATCTGTCTGTCTGCCATTGTGTCCCCCATGTGAAGTTCACACTATACTAGTATTATACTCTCTTTATACAAAAGTTTGGAAAATAAAGGGTTAACCCAGGAACCATAACCACTTCAGTGACTTGAAGTGATCATTGTGCCTGAAGTCTGTATGTGCAGCGTTTTGCTATGAAATACTGCATATACTGAGTTTAACCCCTCTGCTGCCAGTGGCATAACTCCATCTTTGCCAATGCCTTCTGCCTGTCTGGAACTAGAGCTCTAGGCTTGCAAATATCAATTCTGTGCAACTTTCAGTCAGCTGATGCTCTTAAACAATGAATTACAAATGCCACAACTCTGCAGAAGCTAAACGTTGTCACCAGAGTACCCTGGTGCCATCCCAGTATAATATGTCAAACCCTTTTAATAAGTTTTGGCAACTTACCTGGAACCCCCAGGCTCCCATGGCTGCAACCACTGCTTCCAGTCTTCTCCTGCAGGCTTTGGTTATTCAAAGTACCTGGCTCCCTGAAACTATTCTCAACCAGTTGGATAAATTACACTGGAACAGTGCCAAGTCACTTCTGGTGCCATAACCACTACAGTGGGCTGTAGTGGTGATGGTGCATAGAATGTTCGTTTAACACATGTTATCTATTCCTTCATTAAAACCCCTCTGTTTTTTTTTGTTTTTTTTTAAAAACATAAAAACTAAAACACTTGTCAGATCCCGGGCGTCCACCCCACTCACTAGGGGGGTGCCTGGGGCAGACTGCATTGCCCCTCCTGCACCCATCGATGAGACCATTCTGCAGCTCTGCAGTGTGCAGAGCTGCAGACCATGTGTCTCGCGAGCACTGCGCAATCAGAGTGTTGCCACAGGTTACCACGGCAACGCTCTGATTGGGTCTCGCGAAAACCATGGTCTGCAGCTCTGCGGAACTGCAGACCAGAAATTATGGCCACCGGACCACCAGGGAGCCCCCACTGGACCACAAGGGATTTAAGGTAATTTTGTAGTCACCCCCCCCTGCATCACCAGCCCCCCTCTCCTCATCACCACCCCTCCTCCTCATCACCACCCCTCCTCCTCATCACCACCCCTCCTCCTCATCACCACCCCTCCTCCTCATCACCACCCCTCCTCCTCATCACCACCCCTCCTCATCACCACACCCCTCCTCATCACCACACCCCCCTCCTCATCACCACCCCTTCCTCCTCATCACCCCCCTCTCCTCCTCATCACCCCCTCTCCCTCCTCATCACCCCCTCTCCTCCTCATCACCCCCCTCTCCTCCTCCCCCCCTCTCCTCCTCATCACCCCCCCTCTCCCATCCTCCCTCCTCATCACCCCCTCCTCCTCATCACCCCTCCCTCCCTCATCACCCCCCTCCCTCTCATCACCCCCCTCTCCTCCCTCATCACCCCCCCTCTCCTCCTCATCACCCCCTCTCCTCCTCCTCACCCCCCCTCTCCTCCTCCTCACCCCCTCTCCTCCTCCCTCTCCTCACCCCCCTCTCCTCCTCGCCCCCCCCTCTCCTCCTCGCCCCCCCTCTCCTCCCCCTCACCCCTGTCCTCATCACACCCCCTCTCCTCATCACTCTCACTTCAACCCCCACAATCACCCCTCCTCTCACAATCATCACCCCTCTCAATCACCACAGCTCCCTCTCACATCACCCCTCTCACAATCACCCCCCCTCCCTCTCACAATCACCCCCCCTCCCTCAATCACCTCCCCTCCCTCTCACAATCACCCCCCCTCCCTCTCACAATCACCTCCCCTCCCTCTCCCTCTGTGTCTGTGTATGTGAGTATATGTGTGTATATGCATACATCTCAGCATTTCGCCTACACTACACACAAATACAACCCTGCATCCAAATGTCAACACTACAAAAAAAAAACAACCACCACCATATTCAAAAATCACACTACAGAAAAATGCACTCCTGCATTCAAATGCCAATACGTGCAAACACACCCATACATTCACTCACACATACTCCATACAAAAACATGCTTACATTCAAACACACAAACAGTGCTTGGTGCTAAATACATAAAAATAAAAACACTGCTCAGTGCTAAAGGAATTAAAAAAAATTGTGCTTTTTTTTTTTTTTTTTTACATTTTTAAGGGGGAGGGTGCCAAATATAGGATCCGCCCCGGCTGCCAAATGCTCCAGGTACACCCCTGCTGACAAGGGCATAGTTATAAACTCTGATCTAAATGTCAGTCTTTCTATTTTGCATGGAACTCATTATCATTTGTCTCCATCCTTAGATATCTAAAATTCTGAGCAAATTGGGCCATTAAAGACATGTAAACATGATTCCAAAGCAATCATTATGATGTCTGGGTTCAAGATTGAATGGAGGCACCTCTATTTCCTGAACACTGATAGGTCAATTAGTGCTTATGTGTCATAGGAAGGGGCAGAGCAAGGGACCATATGGCGATAACTGCATTATAATAACCCATAAACAAAAATCTAGATTGCACCATATTTTTAAATAGCCTTAAATTGCTTCACTGCTGATTTTTCCTTTTTCCTTTTTTCTTTTTTTTGAAAGGCAACATGGACTTAATGCAAATGTCCAGACTCTGGTACTGCAAGCAGTAAATATTTATTTTGTAGGGAGTCCTGTTTGCTTTGCATTGAATAAGCTGAACTGTGCTGTCTGCTTCTTTCAGGCATTTCACAGGAAACAATTGTTCAAGAATCTGAACGAATGTGGAAAGGATCTGAACCAAAAGCCAAGGTAAATACACTAACGGAGATTACACTCTTGCAGAGTGTCACCTGACACAGCCACCTGTACAGTCTGTTTTGTCTGTGCACCATAAAACCACACTCCAGTCTCATGTTGCATCACCACTTGACCACCAGTCCAAACCACAGACTGCGCCTTGCTCTCAGTCACCTACTAGGGCTTCTCTCAGCTTTCTGTTCCTTCTCTAGAAGCCACTGTTCTTCTTTCCGTCACCCCAATAAACACTCTTGAAGGATTTGCTGTAGTGAATAATGCAGTGAAGGTAGGTTCGGGGAGCTTTCGCAAAGAATTGTTCTACCCACACGGCATAATAAGTGAGATTGGTTCATGAGCATGCTCAAGCTACTGTCTCGTTTTACAGTGCTCGTATCACAGCATTGCCCATATTGAGTATACTCCGACACTTGCAACAATTGCACTTTTTTTTTTTCTTTTCTTCTTTTCAAACCAGACATTCCTGTTTCACCAGATCACCTTTCTAAATGCCTGTGGGGTGCAATTAAAAATCTCTAGAACAAAAGCATGCATCCCCTTTTCTCCTCTCTTCCATCTTAACAGTTTTTCTTGTTTGTATTGAATTCTTGTAAATCTACATGTACCTTATGTCTCTTATACAGACGGATTATTTTACACTGTTACCTGGAAAAAAAACAAAACAATCCTGTTTCTAAAGCAAAGATTTAGTAAAGTGTCCATAAGCCCCACCACATCTTTTCTGATTAGCTTCTACTTATCAGCTAATCCCCACCTTTTGTTCTGGGGCCATAGGAGTCCACTCAAACTATACTTCTCGCAAGCACACCTACATACAATAATTTTTCATGGATTCATATGTATTGTCTGCACTAAACAGCATTATTGTTTCTGATGCTCAGCGTTGTATGATTTGTCCGGCATTATTGCCTGTGATTTAAATTAGCTTTAAACTCCTAAACAATTTCATCTTGTTCAAAAATTGATGGTCTTGATGTTTGGTGTCATCATGTAAATCATGGTGAGAAGTATTTGATTGATGGAGTGCACACATACCATCTTTATGGATTTATTTTTTACTTTAGAGTGTTTCTCACATTTTTGACAGGTGTAGAGTTTATCATCTTAAATGTACGCTGGTTTTGTCCTGCAGGCATGCGATGTGTGAAATTACATGTTGTAAGGTGTTCACAGCCTGTTGCACTCTGCAGGGCAGGGAGTGTCTTGCTCCACACCCATTGTATTCTATTTCACATTGGAGAATAGACCGTAACGAGGACAGGACAATATTTGGCAAACAGAAAGTATTAACCCCTTAGCTTTAAGCGGGTTAGGTTTGTATGGACAGATAAAAAGGGAGAAAGACATAAAATGGTGACAAGTGTATTATGGGAAATAATGCGGTCTATTTGTTTCTGGAAAACTCATAAACCATAATACCAAATATAGTTTGTTTGTCTGCAGAGCCTTGAGTAGTCTTTTGGTGATTTTTTTTTTTTTTTCTTTTTCTTTTTCTTAGTGTTCAGTTATGCAATATTTATAAAAATAATAACATTAAGAAGCTTGTGTAATGATGCAAAATCAGACACAGCAAAAAACACATTGACATTCAAGACATACATGGGCTAATACACACCAATATGCCTTCTACAGAAGAGGTGCTCACATACACTTTGACTACGCAAGAAAAGAGAATTGAGCCTTGTTCCTCTTACCATGATTATTCTTGCCAGTAACTGCTGTTAGGCCAGATTAATCGACCACAATTATTTTATTCAAATTTGAGGATGGTTGCATTTTAGTTTGAAGTTTAAGTTGATGGTTTCTCTGTTGCAATTGGTGATGTTTATATTAACTGAATTGGCTACTACCGTGTTTCCCCGAAAATAAGACCTACCCCGAAAATAAGCCCTAGCTGGATTATCGGGGTGGGCTGCAATATAAACCCTACCCCGAAAATAAGACCTAGGCAGGGCCGGCGGCTGCCGGCCCTTTAAATGGGTGTGCACTTCCTGTCAGTCCGGCCGGGTCGCGGACCGGAGAGGAGCTCGGCCACGCTACAGGGGAGGTGAGGAGAAGATTGGAGGGAGGGGGGATAATATTACTGGGAGGGAGGGGGGGAGTATTACAGGGGGAGGAGGGGAGGGGAGGGAGGGAGGGGGATAATATTACAGGAGGAGGGGATAATATTACAGGAGGGGGGGGGTAACTGGGAGGGAGGGGGAGAGTATTACAGGGAGGGAGTGGAGAATATTACAGGGAGGGAGGGGGAGATAATATTACAGGGAGGGAGGGGGGAGATAATATTACAGGGAGGGAGGGGGGAGATAATATTACAGGGAGGGGGGAGATAATATTACAGGGAGGGAGGGAGGGGGGATAATATTACAGGGAGGGAGGGGAGAATATTACAGGGAGGGGGAGGTGAGGGTCTCTGGGGGGTTACACAGCGCGGACACCGGCTGACAGACTGGCTCTAAGCCCTACCCTGAAAATAAGCCCTAGTGTGTTTTTTGTGACTAAAATTAATATAAGACCCGATCTTATTTTCGGAGAAACACGGTAGTTTACACTCTTTATTAAAAGATTACCCTACACACAGTGGGTTGACCACACAAAATCTAATATTGTGTGACCTTTCCTTCTTCTGAAAGGCATAAATGATCACACTTCAGGCACAGTAGATTGGAACGTTTCACACAAAAACTCTGAAAAATGCAGTTTACTTTTTCTTTACCATCGGCAGGTACCTTCCAAATCACTTGACATGAAGATGAAGTTTGTCTGCAGCCTATGCCTGCGCAGTGGGCGTGAGATTGAGGCAGATCGGGATGGAAAGTACTGCAATGCAAAAGCTAGGCACAGGTATAATGCGCTTCTTTGTTTGCCACAGTGTAAATAGGTGGCATAAGGCGTGCGTCTTTTTGTTATCACTTGGATTACAGGCATTGGGCCCAATAAAAAATAATCAGGGTTTTGTTTTCTGTTTTTTTTCCCACATTGTAATGAATGAAAATAAATTCTTTTGTTTATTTTTAATTTAATTTGCTTTATGGTTGCTGTAGATACTGTTCTTCTGTTTCAATAGTGTTTTGGTGGCTAAGCATGGTTATTTAACAGATCTTTTTCAGCACCTTTACTCATGAACTACTATGGAATGACTTGTGTGTATAAAAATAAAATAAAAAGTCTTACTGATTGATCTTCCATTGTTTGACAGCTGGACAAAAGACAAGCGAGTCCTGCTTGTGATGTCAAAGTCCAAGAAAAAATGGGTTCCCATCAGACCCCTGCCATCAATTCGATTGTTTCCACAGCAATATGAGGTAAATGTGTGGTTGGTAGCAGATCTAAGGTGTTATATTAAAATAATACTGCACTTTGCAATAGTGGTTAGAGCAATGCTTAAAGGAACATGCCAAGTACCATAACCACTATAGCTCACTGTAATGTTTATAGTGATAGAAGTGCTTTGGCTGCCTTCCCAGTGTAATTTGTCAATGTTTTAGAACATTGTAGCTGAGAATGTTCATTTAAAGGGACACTACAGTCACCAGAACAGCTAAAGCTTAATGTAGTTGTTCTGGTGAGTATAGGAAGTTCCTGTAGGCTTTTTGATGTAAACACTGTAAGAAAAAGGGTCAGGAATACATGTTTGTGTTCTTGACCCCCTGTGTTTCGTAAATAATACAATACTTGTACAGCCAATACAAAGAATGGGTTTCTCTTGTGATGTATTTGGACAAGGAGGTGGGCTTATGCCTGCAGATATTTTGGTGGTTGGTTTGTTAATTGTGGCTGTAGGCCAGAAATAGAAATCTAGATGGAGAAACCCCTATGCATGTACATGTTTAAGTTTTTGAAGATTCAATTTAATTGTATGTTCATGATGAAACAGATTGGGGTTTTTTTTGTATTTAGCTGTGATATTTTTGCAATTTCTGCTGGGAGTTTTTGTTTGTTTTGTTTTTTCTTCTTCTGCTCTGTATTTCAAATGTTACTACAACTCCACACTTCATTCTTGAGCCTTTTTTGCTGGCATTAAGTTGTTTCTCCAATGATAAGGATGTGCAGAATTAAATTAGAATCTGAGAACATGTGTTACAACAATACATCACTATTAACTCCACATCTGCATTTTTTTCTCTTTCACTCAAATAGATCTGTGTTCATGTACAGAATGGGAAGAAGTGTCAGTATATTGGCAATTGCTCGTTTGCACACAACACAGAGGAGAAGGATATCTGGACATTTATGAAGGAGAACAAAGGTTAGACATCTTGTGAATGTAAACATTTAAGCGAGAAACTCGTAATTCTAGCATTTATTACATTGTGAGCATTTCAGAACTCCCTACCTTACAGTGAGGAAAAAAAAGTATTTGACCCCATTTTCTTTTTTTTTTTTTTCTTTTTTTTTTTTTCATTTCTTTATTTTTATTGTGCACGAGAAGGCAAGTAACAGTCTTCTCTGACTGCCTCTCTGCTATTTCTAACTGGATGGCTGCCCACTTCCTTAAACTAAACTTGACCAAAACTTCTGGTCTTTCCTCCCTCAAATGTTTTTACTCCTGTGTCTGTCTCCTTCCAAGTCAACGGTGCTACCATCAGCTCCACCACGCAGGCTCGCTGCCTAGGTGTTCTCTTTGACTTCTCCTTCAAGCCTTATGTTCAATCTATTGCGAAATCCTGTCATTTCCATCTCAAAAACATTGCGCATCTGCCCCTACTTAACGCCAGATGCGACTAAGGTGTTGGTCCATTCCACTGTCCTTTCTCGCCTTGACTACTGTAATCCGCTTCTCAGTGGTCTTATGTGCTCCCAACTTGCGCCGTTACAGTCCATAATGAATGCGGTGGCGAGGCTCATCTTCCTGTCCGCCCGCACCTCCCATGCCTCACCCTTCTGTCAGTCTCTTCCTATAAAATATAGAGCTCAATTTAAAATTCTGGTTCATGCTTTCAAATCTCTACATAATGCTGCTCCCACCTATCTATCCTCCCTTATAGACAAGTTTGTCCCGTCTAGGCCCTTACGATCTGCTGAAGACTTACGTCTATCTTCTGTCCGTACTCACACCTCTGATGCTCGCCTTCAAGATTTCTCAAGGGCTGCACCGTTCCTGTGGAACTCGCTTCCCTCCTCTGTTAGATGCTCACCCAGTCTCCACTCCTTCAAAAAATCATTACAAACCCACTTCTTCATAAAAGTGTATCAATTAAACTGTTAATAGCTCCTGACTGATTCCTCTTCTGCAACTGTCACTAGTCTTATACTATCTTTACCTTTTTGTGTCATTTTACCCCATGCCCTCTAGCATGTAAGCTTATTGAGCAGGGCCCTCAACCCCTCTGTTCCTGTGTGTCCAACTTGTCTGGTTACAACTACGTGTCTGTTCGTCCACCCATTGTAAAGCGCTACGGAATTTGACAGCGTTATATAAACATAATAATTATAATAATATGCCACAACAGCAGTAACAGACTACGAGAGAAAACCAGCACATTTTTTAGTAAGGCATTCAGGTTAGGTTTGCAAGAGTACACTTCTATGAGATGAACAGGCCAAAAAACTTAAAGGAAACAAAGATAAATAATCCGTCGTGATTCAATGGAATGTAACATTAAGAAAATATGCCCCCGGTGTGTTGTATAACAAGCAGAATATGTGAGCACCACATATTAAAACACCCCAGCTAGCAAATTACATCCACAGGCTGTGTGTAGACATGTAAAAGGGGTCTCCACTTTCCCGTTATAGGAATGGTGCAGTGCCACACGACATTCAGCTTGCCCAGTGTCAATATAAGCTGTGAGTTCCCTGTGCCTAGCTGCTGCCATTTCCGGCCTACTTCCTTCTGTGCGGCCACATGCTTGCCTTGAGGGTAGATGTAGCTGATGCTGATCTGCTCTTCACCTTCCTTGAGGTAGGTCAGGAAGGCATTCACCGTCTCGGACTGGTTTTATGGCGTCGGGAACTGTGGAGCGATCTTTAAGGTGGTGCAGGAGCCTTGGGTTTTCCTGTCACTCAGCTTCCTCCAGAAGGCGGCAAACAGTGCATCTAGCCTCTGTAGGATGTTGGGCACCTCTCCCAGGGGATCCGTGGTACACGCGGCTTCCGCCATCTTGGAAGATTTACACTGGAGCCGTCTGTAACTGAGGAACAGCCACGGAGCACTGATATAGTAGGGCAACTATTGGGGTGAGGACTGGGATAAACGCCAGGAACAGGGCTGAAGGTGGGGGTCAACGTGTGTCCAGCAACTTGCTGTTTGGGAGAGCGTCCACCTCTCCCAACCGCCTTCAGCACTAGGCTGCAGAAAGCCCCCCCCGGATCACCAGCAAGATGTCAGGGCACTACAAGTAACCTCCGCTCAGCAGGTGACTAGCAGGATTGAACTTAGACAGAATAATTGCCCTGAGAAGCGATGGAATCAAAGGATTCCTTGACTAGGCGAGGAGCTCTAACCGAACGCGTTCTGCCACCATAAGTCAATGAGAAAAAACTGTTAAAATACACCTACCATTAAAATTATAGACTTATTAATTCTTTGTCAGTGGACAAACGTTCAGAATCGGCAGGGGATAAAATACTTTTTTTCCCTCACTGTGTATTCCTTGTATGCTCACATCATCCCTGTGTTGTAGAGCCAGTTAAAGTGGTTGATTTGTATAGACCAAAAATAATGGACAATCATTAAGGGAATTCAACCTTTAAAAAAAAAAAAAAAAAGTCAACTGTGGTGTGAATTGTTAATTTTTACCTGTTATGACATGTCTCCGAATGAAATGATCTTCCCATAATACATTGCTCGGTGTTATGCATGCACCCTTTTTTCATAACTTGCTGTGAGTAGTTGGTTCCACTCCAAACATCCCATTGTTTAGTGCATAAACTCAAGAGTCCATCTTCACAGTGCCCTGCATACTTCTAGCAAAGTCTTTGTAAACGTTGAACAGATGAAAAGGGGTAGGAGGATTATAAATCTGTTAAAAATGATCTAACCAATTTAACTTAATTGTGTAGACTTAATGAATATTGGGTTCAGCGTGATTGGTGTTGCTTTTATAAGCTTCAGTAACATTTACCACTGCCTCTCAAACAGTAGCATATTTCCGTGCTCTCCACTGTTTTATGAATACATTATAATATAGGGCTATCGAGCAGAGTGACTTGCACTGCTATATTTTAATCATGAAAAGATTGTGTAAATGTGCTGTGTGTCACTGCAGTGTTTAACCCTTTAAAGGGATGCTGATAAGCCCTAGAGCACTTAAGCTAATTGTATGTCCCAGGTTCATAAAAGTGACCATTTTTAATCTGCAGAATTCAGCACTTTTATTGATGATTTGTGACAATTTGGGAACTGCCCCCCATGGCAGTCAAGCTGACAGCCAAGAGGCTTCCTAATGTGTGTTTGTGTGTGTCTGTGTCTATATATTCACATAACGTGTCTCTAAGTGTGCTGTGAAGTCTCAAAAAGGTACAACTCAGGGATTTATTTATTTACCATATGCCTTTTATTACTCTAGGTAATTTCTAACGTAATAGCCACTTTAAAAAAAAAAAAAAAAAAAGTGTCTTCTTACAATGTTTCAGCATATATTTAGTGGGTTTATTTTTGAGAAATATAAAACATTTCCCATGATTGTATACGTATGAGAATCTATTAAGGGCACTTACATTTCAAAGTGATGGAAAAATTGTGAAGTTCAGCAGTAAATTTGTATGATTCATCCCCATGATAACACTGAAATAAATAAACGTAGGCACTCTCTCCGCATGTACTTCCTTATTTCTAAAGATACTGTATAATTATCATGACAATAGAGAGTGCAAAGTATATCTCTCATACTTCTATGATATAGAGCCTTTAGGTGATACTGTAGGCCTAAGGAACACTCCAAACAGAGTGTCACCTCCTTGTCGCCCGGGGGGCTGTCCCTGCCGTCCAGTGAGGACCCAGCCACCAACTGAGCCCTAATAGCAGGCTCGTACCTCAGCAGGGGGGGAGATATGAGAAGGGGTATGCCAAAAGGGGTCATTAGCGAAACACTGTTATAGAAACAAATGTTTGTACTGTTACATATTGTCAAACCACAAAACTAAATAAAGAATGTCAAAAAAAAAAAAGTGTTGATTTCAAGAGAAAGCAGCACTTTTTTTAAACTTGCAAATTTGCACCCTACCTTCTGCCAGACAGCTGGGAGTGTGCTCTTCCTGATTGCATTGTGCCATAGCACAAACTTGAAGCATATGCTTCTCCTTGCGAGGTATTGCAGATACCATGCATGAGTCCTGCCACGCGATAATGCTGTGTGAGAATTATCGGGCTGAAGATCTCCCGGGAGGTTGAACAGAGCTGCATTGTGGGACAATCTCACCACTGGAGTAGAGGTCAGGGAACCCTTAATTTATAGATATAGAGAGGAAGAAGGTTCAGAAGACACCTAAACACTCCATTGTTATAAATCGACAATGTGAAACTTACAGATTGCATTTCATTGCCTTCTGCCCACAAGTGGGATTAAGCAAGAAATAAAAAAACTTATTCTGGAGTGGTTAATTTATTACAATACATAAATATGTTCTCAATAAAATGAGAACTTTTTAGCAAAATCCCTTTAAAAATCATCTTATGATCTGATGTTATGTGGTGTATCCCACTCCAAAGAGCGGGGGAACCGAAGCCAAAATATGTATCCGCTTTTGCCAGTTATCTTTCTGAAAGCTTTCTGCATGTTATGTGCATCCATGGAAACATTTGTTGGTGATACCTAATATGAGACACTTGGGAGTTGGGATGCACACATCCTGGGGCCATATGTGATTCCTCAAATGTATCTAATTCTTGTTTTGTTTTTTTCTTTACTCCCTTTTTTTTTATTTTTGCATTTTGTGTCATAACCATGTGTTGAAGATTTTAGATTTTTTTTAATGGTTATTTAGAGAATGTACTCCATCTTTTTTTGGTTTTGTTTTTTATCATTGTAATGTGTTATCATGCTGAGTCAACCTTGTCTCTCTCTTTAAAGTCCTGGATCTCCAACTGATTTTTGACTTGACTATGAAGAACAATTGCTCAGCAGACAAAGCTGCAAAGGGGGCATCAGCACCTCAGAAGGAAACAGAGAAGCAGATCTTGATGCCCACCGATTACGCAGATCTTATGGTAATTTTCCTGATGGTCCAGCTCACCTGTATATACTGTAAGGCAGGACATGCAACCTTTAAACCAGGAACACGGGCAGACTGCTTAAATATAAGCAAGGTTTATTTAAGATTTATGCATATATCGCTTAAGTATATTTGCGACAGAAGTTAAAATAATCTGAAGAATTCTAGATTCTAGGGTAGTGGATTCCGACTACTCGAAGCACACCAAAGATCTAGTTTTTCTCAGTATCCTCCCTGGAACAGAATTGGGAAATGCAAAATGATGGGCTGATGTTTCTTAGAGAGTAATTGTTACTTCCTTAACTTTAGCACAGATTAATTACTAATTAGAACATAACTATTGCTTGTTTTTTTGTTGTTTTTTATTATATTTTATTATTTCAATTTACATGGCAACCGGCAACTGCGATCGGAGTTATTCACTGAGTGCAAGTGACGTGAGGGAGCTTACCGCAACCTATTCCTCTTTGGGAGGTGCAGACCACATGCTCCCTTACTATAGTGAGGTGGTGCCTATTATGGTGCTGCAGAGTAACCCCAACTCACGTACACTGTGCCCATGGTGCATATACCCCCAGGGACTCTTGAATCAGGGCAATAGAAAGCATTATGAGGACAGAGGAGAATACATACTTTGATTAGCTTTTAGTTCATATGTTTCAGCAAAAGGAATGGCCTGGATGCATTTATAGTCCTAAAGACAGCCATACTGTATTGATGTGTGCTGTGGCAAACTGAACTTTCTAAATACACGACCATACCTTGATCGGAAAAATAAAATTTGAGAGTGGAGCAAATGTAGTATTTACAACCTGGATTTAAATCTTATGCACAAACCAAATTAAGGGATAGTTTAGATAGTCAGATATGTATACATTGTGCTCTCTAGAAAAAGTAGTTTTGTTGCTTGTAATGTGAGTTCCAATAGTATGTTACTATATTTAATACACACTGTTGCCCATTCTAATGAACCTGAACAATTCATCCAGCAGAGTCTAATATTTTCTTTCTCTTTCATCTCTTCCGTTAAAGGCTGGATTTCACTGCTATCTGTGTGGCAAAAACAGCAACAGTGAAAGGCAATGGCAGAAGCACATCCAGTCTGAAAAGCATAAGGACAGGGTTTTCACACTGGAGAAAGAGGAAAGTACCTGGAAGTTCCGTTTCCCTGCCGGAGAGTTCAAGCTGTGTGAACGGTGAGCCTATGCACTCCTACGCAATCTTTCCTTTCATAAAGGACTTTAACACAGCTTCCCAAACCGTTTCAAATTATCATCATATTGGCAAGCTATAGTAAATTTAGCTGTAATGCTAAAGATCAGAATGTTTTTTTTTTCTTTGACATTGCATTGCTTGCTTTTACATGCTCCGTAACCATTTCTGATTAGAACATTAAATATATGTAACTGAGTTCAGTAATTCCCATTATCTCTTTGTCCAGAGTAGAACCGGTTGTTAGTAGTGGTTGTTGATTTTGAATGTCCAGTATGATGAAAGCAATCTGGATTTTCAAGTTTGTCTGCAAAACAATCTATACACCAAATATATCTGTATTAAACATGCCAGCTATGCATCCCATGCTTAGATTACTTATTATGCTAGTATTATTTAAATCAAAAGGTGCTTGGGAATGAAAGGGTTAAGATGTAGTGTGTGTACGTTTCCTGCTCAGGGGACCAGTTTATCCATTGATCCTCCTGATCTGCTTAATTTACAAAGGAGACAGCTTGTAACTCGTGGGAACTACATAACCAGTCATAGTCTTGGTTACTGGGTCACCAAAGCATTTATTGTTTATCATGTTTTGTGCTGGCAAGTAGACCTATTATTTTACTTGTAATAAATAATTTTACTAATAATAAAGTCTGTTCACTGAGAGAGAGCTGCTTGATGCCAGAGAGCCACATGGAATTACCTACAATTAATTGATCAATCACATCTTCTCTTCTGCCCTCAAAGTATAAAGATCAATTCACCCTGGCAATGCTTGATATTCAGTTAGTGATTTATTTTACCAGCTACCTTTCAGACCAAAAACAAATGATGTATTGGTTTTGAGCAATTTAAAGGGACACTATATTCATCAAAACAACTTCAGCTTAATGAAGCAGATTTTGTGTATAGATCATTCCTCTGAAATTACACTGCCAAATTAGGAGTTAAATAACTTTTTTTTTCTGTTTATACAGCCATAGCCACACCTCTCCTGGCTGTGACTGACAAAGCCTGCATTAAAACAAAATGGTGTCATTTTTAGTCAGATGTTACTTTAAATGTTTTTATCTCCTGCTCAGTAAATTGAGTGTTAATTGCATACAGGAGGCTCCTGCAAGGTCTAGCAAGCTATTATCAGAGCAGGAGAAAATAAATTTGAAATTAAACATACTTAGCAAAAGGAAGTGTAAACTTTAGATGACCATCTGCAGCAGGGGTAGTCAACCTGGTCCCTACCGCCTGGTTTGGGATTTCAGGTGGGCGGTGGTGGGTTCTGCAGAAAACGCCCAGTGGACCTTGATGGCCGTGGACCAAGGCCGGCAGGGGAGATCATTTCATCTCCCTTGCCGGCCCATGCAGAGCCAGTCTTGCTGTAATCACTTAGTTTCAGCAGAGGGAGGGAAGGGCCTGGGAGGCTCTGTATTCCTCCCGCGAGCAGGCTGGTCAGAGCGTTGCCGCGTGTTACCATGGCAACACTCAGATACAGCCCTGTGCTCACAGTAGGACAGGCGAATAAGCCTGCAGCTGGAGGAGCTGCAGGCTAAAGTGAACATGCCACCACGGAACCACCAGGTCTGGGAGGGGGAGGCATTAAGATAGATTTTTCACATCTCACAAACCTACACACAGCATAGACCCTATGCACCCTTCACACACAAACACACACTGCAACACACACCACCTCACAAACACACATCGAAAAAAGTAGAATAGAAAAATCGAAAAAAATACGTACATTTAAGTATGTATTTAAAATAATAATAATCGCACTTGCGCTATAAAATTAGTTACTGCGGCACTGGTGAGCGGTAAGGAAATGTTACCATCAGCAAATATACAAAAGGGGGCAGTAGGTATTAAAAGGTTGACTACCCCTGCTCTACAGGAAGTGTATAGTGTCCCTTTAAAGCAAATTAATGATAGACAAAAAAAAAAATCATGCACACACTTTAGTTTCCTAAAGTGTTCTTAATCTGGCTTTCATGTCCTCATATGTTGTATGATGTCTAGAATAGGTGCTGTTTATATTGTAGGACTGTATTTTGTATCATGCCCATAAGCCATTGGTTTTATATGACACTGTGTGTTTTCATTCGTGAAGAATGACCATTCTTTACTGACTTCATGTTTTAGGTACGAAGAGACCAAGAGTTGTCCAAATGAGGCCAATTGTCCATTTGCTCACGGCCAGGAAGAACTGAAAGAATGGCTGGAGAGAAGAGAATTCTTGCAACAGAAGGTTACCAAAGCACGCAAGGACATGCTGCTGGAGCAAAGTGACTCTGACTTTGGCAAATACACTTTCTTGCTGAAGGATGTGGCCTGAGGAGTAGGGGACATGGGGTAAGGGATTATGTATGGAGTCAAGACAAAAAGAAATATGCATACTCCCTCCAGAACACCATCTCTTAAGATGCTCTCCTTCCTTCCTGTTGAGTTTCATGTCTTAATGTCCCATCACAGATCTTTACAGCAAACTTCATTCGTGTGACCTGATGTCAACTTTTTAAATGTATTGCTTATAAAAATGTCACCCTGCAGAGAATCCATGAATTTAACACAGTATAACACACATTTCTGCAGTGTGCATTTTCTATAAGCTTCCCTGGTGTAAAGCAACTTAATGCTTTTCAACAAAAAGGTATTCTTCCATCTCTGGGCTGCAAGCCAGCAATTAAATAATTTTTATGAAAATTCACATCAGTGTTCTCTTAGACTTGAACAGTGCAATTTGTAATTCTGTAGATGTTTGGTTAATCACAAGTATTCATTTTATGTGGGCTTATATATGCACTTTGTAACCTGTCAAAACCCTTGACACCACGGTGTAATTACGTAAGAGTGCTAGCTTAAATTACTAGCATATATATCTTTATCTACAATGGCCTGCTATTGTCTGTCTGGTGTTAACATACATATATGAAGTAGAGTCATTGACTGGGCTGCACATGCTCTTATTGCAATAATATAATGTGTTGTGCCAGTCATGAATTGCGATTGACTGTCACCTGGTGAATAATATCACATTTCCTAAATCAAGTGGACCAGTCACCAGGAATTCAGAGTGAATTGGAAATTTAAGGCCAAAGTAGCTGAAATGAAAGCCAATGAATCCTTTGCATGCCAAATCATTTGTGCATTAGCAAATTATATTTTAAGTATTATGAAGATCTGGTGTGCTTGTGGCCTTTGAGGGCTAGCGCTCAATGCCCCTTCCTTATAAAAACCATGGTTTAATCTGAATGCCTGCTATTTTCTTGTTGGCCTTTGCATGTACGGCTTGGAAGCACTCTACTGGATTGGCTTTTTGTGTTTTGAAAAAAAAAAAAAAAGACTAAATCCGTTTTCTCAGAGGAACCAGGTTGTCCACAGAAATACCTATTGCACTGAACAACTATAGAGCCAATTCATGTGTATGAAATGTAATAAGGTAATTGTAGAGATCTCATGCTAATTCAAATCCATTAAAGAATGACCCCATAGTTCCCTTTTTATTATTTTTGTTTCACAACTACTACCCCTGGACTAAATATGACCTTTTTTTTAGCATTTTGTTTTCATGTTTCACTAAAATGTACAAGCTGAATTCAGAAGTGGGACTGGTCACAGTGTTGCCTGTTTTACAGATCCGTGTGAATAAATAATCAAGAAGACAAATTCTTGGTGTTGGCTCAAAAGTGTGTTGCATTAACATCAGCTTGAAAAGTCATTAAATAGTTTCTTTTAAAAAGTAGGGGGCTGTTTTTTGTTTTTTTTTACCATGAAATAAAAAAATCTGCATTCTGATTTGACCACTATTATGTATAATGTGTATTTCCTCTGCTTTGTCCGTGCTAGAATAGTCAGTGATTTCCAAACAGATGTGATATTACCCACAAGGTGGATTATTTTTACAAACTATGTGAAATGCTTAACTGTGTTTAAGTAAAATAATGGTCTTGAACAATGGTTGTTAACCTGTTGGTTGGGAGCCAAAATGTGGTACGCTTGCTGTTTGTCAATTCCCACTGGTTGAACGAGGCACGGCATATTGTTCTGGCAGCAGTATTACATTAAATATCGTACTATATGGCAGGACTTTCCAAATTTGTTTGGAATCTAGGAGCCAGCAAAAAAAAAGTTAGGAGGTAAGTTATTTTTTTATTTATTTTTTTAAAACTAAGTAAGTTTCATTTTCAACAACAAAAATAAAATTCTTGAAGGGACACTATAGTAACCAGAACCACTACAGCTTAATGTACAACCACTAGATTTGTTCCTAGTCCAGGGTACAGCTCCTACATTCAGCGTCTCCATGCTCTGCATGGTGCCACTGAGTGTTCCCCATAGAGATATATTGATTTGACGCATCTCTATGAGGAGATCCTGATTGGTGCAGTGCAGCATTTTGCCGTGCATGTTCAATATCCTCCCAATGTTTTCCTAGGGCAAAGCATAGACTTGGCTGAGATAATCAAGATTGATAATATCAGCCATGGGGAGGGGCCAGCCGAGGCATGACTGTTACAGCGTGGAGGAAAAAAGGTAAGTAAAATTAATTTTAAAAAAAACCTTTGCCTTGCGATCGGAGGGGGCCAGTAACCCAAACAGACAAACATACTCACACATTTTCTCATACACTCACAAATTATTATTTTTAATTTAATTTAAGGCCACCCAGCCTCCCTACCTTTGGGAGAGCTGGAGTGGATCCTTTCCCTGGGGTCTAGTGTGGCAGCTGTAATCATCAAGCCCTTCTTGCTCTGCTCCCTCGAACGCTGTTTAGTAATGCTGGGGCCATAATGATGTCATATCCCAACTCCCTGCATCCCTAAACAGCTCATGAGGGAACAGAGCTAAAACTGCAGGAAGCTTACTGCTTCCTTTCCGCCTCCATGCTCCCTGGGCTGTACGCCTCCGCTGACCGGGCTGACAAATGCCGAGGCGCCAAGACAAGACTTCTGGTTTGTCAAGCCCTGCTATACAGACACTGTGTTCTCCAATTAGACTGCTTTGTGTCTGGGAGGGTCTAATGAAGGTATTTTGCAGAATTTATTTTAGAATATATCCTATAGTACATTTAAAGTGTAACGGTCATGACAAACACCCTGAGGCAGACATAGGACAGACTGGACAAAGTCTGTTAAAATCTAACCTATTCTTAAGACATGTTACTGTTATTTGTTCCAATGATCAATTTGTAATTTATTCTTTTTTTTTTTTATATATGTATATATACTTTGGAGGGGAGTGGTATCACCTTGCTTGAGTGTCTTTTGAGTGTGATATATTCAGTTTTCTTGTCTATTCTCTTTTCTTCTCGGGCCTCTGCACAAGCACGCTGATAACGTTATTGTTTAGTTTAAAAATTGGTAACCAAATTTTCATTTAAACTACTGTACTAAATGCCCATCTCTGTAGTACCGCCCTAACAAATAAACATATCAAATAATTAGAATATTTATACAAATAGAGGGAAAAGGAAGCATAAACAATGTTTGATTTAAAAAAAAAATAAAAAAATTATTTTCTTTCTTCAGTGATTACAGATTACTACAACAAACGGGTGATATCTGTAAAGTGAGCCTTTAAATTCCTTTTCAGCATATCACTTATCTTGTGACTAAAGCGTTAAAATCAAATGTGTATTTGGAGCAAGCCCATCCCTTGGTAATAAACTATGATTTTTTTTTTTTCTAAACCAGGATTTGTGGAGAATTATGTATTTTAAATTATTAAAGCAAAACTGCACTAAATAAAATATTAAGAAAAGTCCAGTTTATGAACAATACCCTAATATTACATTAAATGTGCCCTGATTGCCTTTTTGGAATATTGTTTGCAGACAGAGGGAGAGCAAGAAGCCATATTCTACATTGCTGTCTGCTTGTGGTTTAACTCTGGTTATTGTCTGTGCCGGATATGCCTGAGCTATGACACTGCATATAGAACAGACTCAGACATCGCAATGTTTAAAGGGGAACTCTTTATTCTGATATTTATACCATTGAAAAATACATCTTTTTTTTTTTTTTCTTTTTTTTATGAGATGCTCCATTTGAAGAACTCTATTAAAGATTTAATAAATAACATTAATATATATATTTCAGACATGACAAAGCCAGGGGAAACAAAAACGGGTATGAATCTACATGTCAAAGGGCTTGTAATATTGTTCTCTTTTCGGCCACAGTACCGTATCTTAAGCTTTAATCCTTGGGTTCTAGCAGCCATTGAGACTTTTCCAGTAACCATCATATTATAGTAATCAACTAGACTAATATCAACAATAGGAAGGCAAAAGGTCAGAACTAATAGCACAGTGTCAACAAAACCCATATTCCATATCAGGAATTGCTAATGTTTAACCCTTTTTATGATAAGGAGTCAAATTCTTCAAGATTGCAGCAGGTTAATCAGAGCTCCGTAACATGTCCAAATGGAACTTTAGGACTTTCTCCTATATCACACATATCTATGCTATGGAGAGTCGGAGTTTTTCTCACAGTTAGAGGCAAAGGGTTAATCTGGAACAAATTGGTTAGAACAGGAATATTATTACAAATGATACAGTTCATTTAGGATATTTTAACCGCTGGGCAGGTCTTACAATGGGATACAGAGTGATTGCCTGCTAATTACATTGTTAACCAGGTTGGTGCAGGTATACATCTATGTGCAGTTCTGGAGACTCTTCACCAGATGTCGGAAGACAAACCTGTGTTTTCTTTATTCTCGTGCTATGACTTTAGATGAATCAAGGTGGAAGAGATCCTGTACTGTCTACATTCAATTCATTATAGCGGTACAGGTTTGGCCCAGTTGCTACTAGCTTCCCTCTATCTGCAAAAGTTTGTATGTCAGGCGTACCCCATGCCAATTCTAGATAACTTGCATTGGGTCCCTCATCATTATCTATTAAAGAGCCTGAATAGTAGGTGCAGGCATCTACATTTCATGGCCATGGAATCAATTACTTATACGGTTAAGCTCCTCTCATTACTCCATCAGTACTGAGAGTCAAAATAAATTAAGCAATAAATGTTTTGCCTAAGAGAAGATAAGCTCTAGGAGTCTGGTGGAGCTTTATTTTGTTGTGCTTCTTTCTTATTTTTATTAAAAGGATAGGATGATGGGAGATAGTTTCCAGCAGTCCACAACATATCGAGTGCCCAAGGTAGTTTAGCCCTGGTCTAGCCTTAGTTTCTTAACGAGGGAAACCAATCTCTCACTAAATTTTAGGGAAAATAAAATATAGATTGCTGATTAGAACTGCCATGTGGTCAACAACCCCTCAACTATGGAGCGTAACCCATGAGTCCAAAATCATAGATGTCACGTCAATTAACCTGACCAGCGTCAAGCAGATAGGGTTTTACCAGTTACAGTTGAATGTCCTTTTTATTGCCACGAGAAGCAACTGTCCTGAGAGATCAGTGGCAAATCCTCACGAGCAAACTATAAGTAGGTCCTCTGACAGCCACTTGCAATTAGTAGGGTTTTATATGCCACCTTTGGTGTAATTGTTTCTTCCCTTGGCTTGTCATTACTGTGCCACACTAACAATATGATACCACAGTGATAAACACACAATTGCCATTTTACAGCCACCTGGCAACAAAGCCATACTAGATGAATCTTTAATCACTTCCTCATAATCATTGCACCAAAGCACTGATGGTTGAATGTAAATTTGGCTTATTAATAACTAGTTTTGTGTGTGGATGGATGGACCTCTTCATTAAAATCCTATATTATCTAATAAAGTCTATTGTATAAGTCTTCATTTTATATTGTATTCTCAGCACTTCTATGAAAAAAAAAAACCTGTTAGTGGAAATATGTTTGAGATAGCTCCGTCCCTAGAGGAGAAGACAGACTTATACAGGAATATTTCACATGTAAGGGTGCCAAAGACAACCTTAATTAAATGTTATACCTTATTACATCCAATGAAACTCTCACACATAATGGGGTATTTCATAAAGGTACTGGATAGCACCTTGTGGCGGACCTCTCCTAGTCAGCCGGAATATCGCCACCAGGGATTTCCTTTCCCCTCTGGAAAGCCCCAGAGTGCTTCTAGCTCTCCCCCCTAATCATCAAGACTTGATGCAGGGTAAAACAGACACACTTTATTGGTGGTAAGCAGCTTATTATACAACTGTCCCCAACAGGGGGTCATCATCTACACAATGCATGTCTGGGACATAATTTACTCACAGTAAAATTATTTAATTGGTGGGGAGACACTGGGGCACCTAACACACTGTTACTTGAAAACATAGCTTCCTCTCATAGTATTCCCAAATATCCCTGTGAAGCTTTCCTCCAGAGGGCTATAAACAGCCACAAAAGCACTCCAATCAGATATACTACAGATTTAGTAATTTGAAGAGAAAGTTTTAGCTGGACTGCAACTATCTTCTAATACACTGTACAGTTACAGATGGCTGGGTGGAAAGTCCCAGTAACAAAAGATAGCTTCTAATCACTCCACTGCATGGAGCTCCTTTAAGTCTTTGGTATTGTTGGGTTAGCGACCTATTTGGAGGTCCTGGGGCCAAGAGCTTCATCGATGAAGATCACAGCACTACTGCAGTCCAATCCATAGTTCCATGAAGTTCCTGGGTAGCTTGCGGTCAAGCCTGCTGTACCTGTATTAGCTCTCTAACTGGGAGGCACTGGAGGGAAGGGGTTTGCACAGTGAAAATAGCTATCTTCAGGGAAGGTCTGCCCGAGTGTCCTGCACCAGTTTATAGTGACCTGATGGTCCGTCACAAATATTTTTAGCAACCTGAGTCCCATTACACAATATAAAATGTCTGCTAATAGATGTGTGTATGTGTGCCTTGTGTTTGAAATATTCCCCCCTTGAGAATTATGTAGAGCAGTGTTCCAATTAGAAAGCTACTTCTAAAGTCACTGAGACTTTAAATGCACCTCTGAAACTTTGTGAATGCAGAAGTGTACCTTCAAAACATATAATTGCTTCAAGCCAAACCTCCAGCACCAGCCGTTTATATCTTTCCATTAGGCTAACATATGGCTACGGCGTGTCTCCAGAGCACCGGTTTAGCAGCATCTGGATGCAGGAAACCTCAAAGAGAAATTGTTGTAGAGGTTTCAAACCGGAATGAGGTAAAACCATAGACAGCAATTTAAAATTCTAAAATATATTACAAGGCTTGTTGGAAGGCCAGGCAAGACCTAATTCATATTTCACATTTTGTTTGAGGAAGCATACTTACTTGTAGTTATCATAGTAAGGGCTCCATAAGACCACAGTATGAAAGAAAGGTAACAGTTACCAATCCATCGGTGGGGCCTACGTGGTAGAGAATGTTTCAAGTCAGCTATTTTATTTTCAGATACACCATTTACATTTCAATTCATTATGATTTAGCGCAAGCATGTCAAACTCGCGGCCCACAATGAATATCTTTGTGGCCCAGCGAGCCGCATGTTTGACATGCTTACAGATAAGGCAGAGTAGGCACCTGCTCTCCCCACATTGCAGGTGCCTACTCTGCTAAAATGCACCTGGCCTGGGGGAGAGGAGGCTGGTAGCTCAGTCTGTTCTTCCTGCTCCCTCGCGCATGCCCTCAGTAGTGATGACCGGTGCCGGAATATTATGTCATACCGGAGCGGCATCACTAAACTACGTGCGTAAGGGAGCAGTGAGGTGCAGGACGGGGGATCTCCAGAGAGAAGATCCCTACTGGACCACAGGGAGAGGCCCCACACCAGCTCCCAAAAGGTAGGGAGCAATAAATAAAATTATTTGTGAGTGTGTGCAAGAATGTGTAAGTCTGTCAGTGTGGGTCTGTCAGTGAGTGTGTGTTGGTCAGTGTTGCGAAGGCCGTGGCTGGACAGTGGAGGACCTGGAGGTGCACAGAGGCACGCAATACCACGTCACATTCCGACGAGACATCGTGCTCCACCTTCACAGGGTTTCAAGGAGTAGCGGGAGGATCCGCTTTGGCACAGGGTGCGGACGGCGCCATTGGGTGTGTACCAGAGGCTGGACTCCGGAGTTGCATACTGGCAGCGGCAATCTGAGTGGAGTCTGCTTGTTGGCTAATGTTTTGTGTTTTGTTTAAACAGGGGCCAGGGTTTAGTAGAGGGGGGTGCTGGGATTTAGTAGAGGGGGTGCTGGAATTTAGTAGAGGGGGGACTGGGATTTAGAATAGAGGGGAGACTGGGGTTTAGTAGAGGAGGATGCTGGTTTTTGGGGGGCGGGGGTTTATACTGTATTTTTCAAAATAGACCTACGTTTCTATGAAAATTTAAGTTTGTTTATTGTGCGGCCCGAATAAAATTAAACCTTGAGACTTTCGCTTTGGATATATCAGAAAAGGAGGCCAGATTGTAGATGCCCGGTGGACCCAAGTAAATGTCACACTGAATAAAACAGATTGACTACTTACCAGGGGACAGTGCCAGCCAGACTGTAGCTGCTTTGATGACTAGAGTGACTCTTTAAATTGTGTTTAATCTTTCTGTTAATTTTCAGTTTTCTGTTTGTGTTTAACACCAAGCCATTTTGATCACCAGCTGTGTTCCTGATAGTATAAATGCAATGATGCTGACCTTCCTTAGCTCTTAGTGTAATTGCAAGTTTAACATGTCACACATGGTGCTCTCTTTAATTGAGAATATGGGTTTGAATTAAATTACCTATGTAAAAAAAATCAAAAACATTTTTCTCTTACAATTTTCCATTGCAGTCTGTGGGATATGTGATTTTCAATATCCTGATCTATTTATCGCAGGTAATTGAACAGAATCTGCAGAGTGTGGTTAGCCTCTAAAGTTCAGATAGAAAATGTGGTTAGCGATAATAATGTTTATCTACACTGAGTTCATTTGCTCAACTGGTATATGTGGAGATTGGAACAGTGATTTGCAAATACCAACTACAGATTATATTAGAGGCTACAGTGCTATGAGTTTGGGTGCCGAACCCCTGGTTTTCTGTTATACTGTTTTAGAGTGAATTAGCCAAAAACCAGGGCACTCACCATCACCCAAAGTCCCACACCTGTCCTGTGATAATGCTGAAGTTTTACTTTAGCATTACCTGTCCAAAGCCGCCCAACCTCAGTGGTGATGGTAGTGAATGGCTGAGTGCAGTGGTTATGGCTTTTCTGGTCATCCTGATCGATGCTGTACCCCACCCCCATTTAGGCTTAACCCCTTAAGGACACATGACGTGTGACATGTCATGATTCTCTTTTATTCCAGAAGTTTGGTCCTTAAGGGGTTAAAGGAACAATCTAATGGTTATACAATAAAGTTAGAAAACTGCCTAAATTTTGCAGTTTTGTCTTCCATCATTCATAATATCATCTGTGATTATTCCGCTCAATACACTGCAGGGTTTTTTGCAATCTGACCCCAAATCCTGGCATGTTTCACAGTGGATAGAGAGACTCGATTATAAAGGAGTACTGGTTCTGACCTGTTTGGTCATTTGAGTTGTTTTTCTTTGCAAGCTGTGTGTACCTTGGCCAAACCTTGTGTACTGCTAACTAAACCTTTTCTGCCATCTTCTGAATAGACTTACAGAACCTCATGCAGTCTACTTTATTCTGGCTGTTGGTCTATAGAGTGCGCTGGGCAATAGGCATGATTCAAATGTGGCAGAGTGAAATGAAATGGTTTGAAAAGATAGAATGTCAATAAAAATCCAGCCATCTCATGTGTCTCCATTTTGTCTCCATCTCATTTGGCTCTCTAGTTACATAATTGTATAGGCTGAAAAAAGACGTGTCCATCTAGATTCTCCTCTCGCCAGTAGCTCGGACTTCTTTCTCCCGGTCTAAATCTTTCATTTTCTCCAGATCCTCTTTCACCGATAACTAACTGCTCTAGCTTTTCATAACTCTTTACTGGTTTGTTTTTTTCTTTCACCTTCTTCATTCATTTTTCCTCATAACTGCAACAGTGAATTCTCTTTCTCTACAGCATTTTCAATTTTATACGCTCCTTTAGATTTTTCCACTTGGTGATGTACTGTGTACACTTGAGGAGGGAGCTTGAGGAAGATTTTGGACCCAATAAGGAGGCATGGGGTTGCTTGTAGTCTGTACGGGGAGGCTGGGTGCCTTCCTTGCCTTAAAGGGACACTCTAAGGTTCAAAGTAACAATTCTAATAAAGTAAATCTGGTTATAGGTGTTGCCCATTCTCTGTCACAGTTTAAAACAGTTCTGTTACCGAAAAGACAGTTCTAGTTACATTTCCCACCCCTCTAATTGCCTTCATTCATACAGCCACAAGAGACTTCATATTTAAAAATGATTCATTTATATTTTAAATCCATTGTCAGGGTGTAAATTATATTGATGCTGGAACTGTGTGCATTCAGTGGTCCTGGGTAAGAGGTGAATTGGATTCAATACTTCTCATAGAGAAGCACTGAAGTGACAGACTACAGAACTTTTATTTACCTTATCAGTTTCCAATAGTTAACAGTTTAGTGCAAAATCCTGTCGTGGTTTTATACTGTCACTTATTGTATCTCTGGGTTGGGATACTACATATATTTTAGACCCCAAAATCTATAGTTGTTATTGAAATTATTCAACCCCCATTGAAAATCAGGTTTATTGTAAAAATTTTACAGACTTTCAGCTGTTTGCAATGAACTCATCAAACAAAAGCAATTGAAATAGCTCAGCACAATGAATGGCTCTATTGGTTTCCCCAAATTCAACTGAAAATGCAACTTATAATGACTTCTCATAACAGGTTGAATGTCTAAAATTCCCCAGATAAACATAATTTAAAAAATGATAGTAATTGATACAAGATGAGCTCTCTCTTTCCAAAATAAGTAGGGGAACCAAGACTGATGGACAAAAATACTCAATAAGACTTAATTGACAAGGTGGGGGGGATTGGGAGGGACACGGGGAGTTTAATAGAAACAAAAAATACAAAGAAACACTTAATACATTTCAGGACATGTTCATGATGACAAGAGTACCAAGGCCTGAATCACAGATGCACCAGAAAAAAATAACACCAGGCTGGTACACGTCTAAAATGTGAAAAAAAAAATATAATGACTTCTCAAGTCTCAAAATTATTCAACCCCTTCATGGCAAGCATGTTTAGTACTTAGTAGAGCCCCCATTTGCTGTTATGACTTACTGCAAATGAGAAGCATAGCCAGACACCAGCTTCTGGCAGTGTTCCTTGGGAATCTTAGCCCATTGCTTATGAGCAATGGCCTCCAGTTCAGTGATATTCTTGGGTTTGCATTCTGCAACTGCCTTCTTCAAATACCACCTGAGATTTTCTATGGGGTTCAAGTCAGGTGACTGCGATGGCCACTGTAGACATTTTCCAAGACTTCTTCTACAACCAAGCCTTGGTGGAATTTGAGGTATGCTTGAGATCACAGTCTTTCTCCTAGGATTTCCTGATACTTCAATTAATCAGTCTTGCCTTCCACACAGTGCAGGTTTTCCGTGCCAGAGGATACAAAGCAGCCCCAGAGCATCACCGAGCCACCACCATGATTAACTGTAGGCAGTGTTCTTTTCAGAATATGCTTAATTCTTCTTCCTCCAGACATACCACTGATTCAGTGGCCCAAAAGTTACAGTTTTGCTTCACAGAACCAAATCCCAAAACCTCTGTAGCTTATTTATATGATTTTGAGCATATTGGAGCAGGCTTTTCTTGTGCTGTTAAGTCAGTAGTGGTGTATGTCTTGGAGATCTGGCATGGAAACCTTCTGCATTTAGTACGAGCCTTACTGTACTGACTTAAAACTGTGCCAGTACCAAGTCTTAGTGCTGGTATTTTGCAGTCACTCAAGGGTTTTTCACAACCTGCCTTCTCAGAAATCTTGTAGCAGCCAGTGTAATCATTGTTCCTCCAACTTTGAACTTACAAACTCTGCTTACAATGATGTCTCTAGGAACATTCGGTGACTTTGCTATCTTTTTGTAACCTGTTCCTTGTTTATGAAGAGCGATGAAGACCATTCTTTTGACTTAGACATATTTCTAGCATGCAGTCAAACGTAACACTCAACAGACCCCTGGCCAGTTCAGGTATTTCAAGTGTTCTGGCTCAAGCACACCAGGTGCAACTAATAAAGTCCTTGATTAGTTTTATCAGGTTTGCTTGAGACAACACCTGTTTTGCATATGTGTGCTGTTGTGAGGGATTCTATTCAGGGGGTTGAAAAATTTTGAGACTGGAGAAGTCATTATACGTTGCATTTTCAGTTGAATTTATGGGAAACAACTTGAAGAATTTGTTGTGTTGTGCTAGTTCAATTGCTTTTGTTTGATTTGTTCATTGCATTCAGCTGAAAGTCTGTAAAGTTTGACGCTAAATCTGATTTTCAATGGGGGTTGAATAATTTTTTTTATTTTTTTATTTTAAATTCTTTATTTTTGTTATGAGCTATAGCGAACAATACATACTCTTAATTACAGCTAAACAATATTGTAAGACAATTAACACATTGTAGGTTTTTCATAGTCCAAACTAAACAAGACAAAAAACCTGAAAGAGTATACAATATTCTATAATCTTATTCAACGATCTGATGTCCCCTATCGCTCACATGTTTTTAACTGATTAAAGAATCAAAATATAAAACAAAATATGGGTGAAAGGGGAAGGTTAATGGAAGGGGTTACCCTTTGTGATACAGGATCAAAGAAGGAAGAATGTGCTCTATCCTCAAGACATGATGTATTCTTGCCATTGTGTCCATACTTTTTTCCGAAAGAAGGGATCTTATAACAATGAAGCCAAGTGGTCTATTAAGTGGGCTTCTTAAATTTGAACTCTCACTTCACTTATAGATGGAACTGTAATTCTCAGTCAGGCAGCTGCCAGGGTTCTACTTGCAACTAACATTATTCTATTTAAGAGCTTCTGGACTCTTTTTTTTATTCTTTATTTTGGCTGTGCATAGATTTTACAAACAGTCTTGCCATGCCACAACAGCTAGTGCAAGCTTTTCAAAACATAGACATTCGTATGGCATTTGATAAGTCTGCACATTTTTATGAAATAAAAAATGATATTACAAGAGTAACAGGCGTAACTTTTTGTAGGTAGAAACAGGGTGATGCTATGATGGAACATATAACATGAAAACATTAATTTTGTACGCCATGGGTGTTATTTCCCAGGATGCTGAGTAAAATAATATGCAAGACATTAATGTGTTATACTGCTAGACAGAATGCAGGAGGGAATAAAACAAAATAATATAATATAGCCACTGGGGAGCTAGGCTGGTAAAATTATTGCTTATAGTGGAGCAATAGTCTGTGATCCCCAAGCCCTGAGCGGAAGCTTGACCACATGGGACCTGTGAGAGGCAGTTTAGCCGATGCCTATCTGCGGCAGGTTATTGTCCTTGGGTGGTATGAGTTCATTCTGGTAACAGGTACTGACCCACTTGTAATCGCGGTAGCCATCATGAGGCTGCAGATTCCCGCGCTGGGTGTGTGGCTGCCACTTGTGATGATCTTGTCTGGGATACAGCTCCCTTGTGGGTCGATTTCCAGGTGAGTGCTGTATGCTCTCTTCAGTCCCCCTCTCCAGCTTTAGGTAGGTCGGGCAATGCTGCGTGTGTGGTAAGCATGTGGTTGGCTGATCGCCACGTGGCAGGTCCCTGTCTCTACGGCTCCGGGCTGTAAGGGGAGCCAGTGCCCTTAGTCCGTGGATTCCCCTTCTCCCAGCGGCGGGATCGTGAACCCCCGGGGCTTCTGGGTAACGGTTTACCCCTTGGGTCAGTGGACTGTGGCATGGAGGAGTCTCCGGTTGGGCCCCCGGCCTGGAAGAGAGACAGGTAGCGGTGGCTGCTTTACTTACAGTTGCCATTTCGGGAGGGGTGTGAGTGGGTCTCCGCTTGGCGAGGCAGTCCCAGAAGGCCTGGCAGATCGCCTCGAACCTTGCATCGAAGGCCTCTCTCCAGCTCTGTCCCGTCAGACTTGTTTGGTGGCGTTGGGATTTCAAAGTGGCGGCCATCTTAGTTGAGCCGCGTGGCTCACAGGATTCTTTCTTTGAGGCTTTACGGAGCAGGCTTAGCTGGCCCTGTGGGGACTGGGATAACCCCCACCAGTCCAAAGGGGGGGATAGCGGGGCTGTGAGCGGTGTGTTATGCGCCTCCCGGTAGGAGCTCGGCCGCATCTCACCACCGGTGGTCCACCAGCTGCAGTAGGCCTCAGACGTGCTGTCCCGCGGTCCGTCCGACCCGGGCTCCCCACGGCTTGCTTGCCTGTGGGATGTTAGCTTTAGAGTTGAAAACTTGTTTTGCTTTTTGTTTTTGCAGGATTTGTGCTGTTTTTGTGGCTCATATCGTGAGGAGCTACAGGCAAACACGTCCAGCCATGTTGGAGATCAGGCCCCGCCCCCGGGGTTGAATAATTTTGATTACAACCTCATATATAAAGAAGACTCTCATATCTCATTCAAAGAAGAAGATAATTGGAAACAGCCACGCAGGCTCACCTATACAGTACAATAGTGTATTTAGTTGAAGCAAAGGACAAAGCAGGCGCAGTTTAGTAATGTATATGTGAGGATGACATGCAAGTTTTAAGAATGCCATGTAGGGAGCAAAGGTTTATTTGTGCTTTCTGTGTAATCAGCCATTATTGCATATATACATTAGTTAAAGGAACATTCCAGCAGAAACTGACCCCTTCATATTTTCTTCACGCTGTAATGATATAATGCATAAAAATATATAAAACATATTCAGCTCTCAATTATCAGGTTTTGTTGTTAATCTGTACCTTCAGCAGACACTGGTAAAAGCCTGAATTTCCCTGGCCATGCCTGGTGTTTTCAGATGCTCTGTTCGCTCAGATATCACTGCAGGTCCCAAATATCCAGGAGAGGTTTGTGAAATATAGCAGCTCTAGTTGTTATAAAATAAAGAGTTATTATATATAGTTCTGCCTATATGGTAAGTAACAGGAAATATGTGTGTGTGTGTGTGTGTGGTTTTTTGTTTTTTTAAAATCTAATAAGTGATTAAGTGAACAACTGCCATTGTCATTATACAGGGTTGGACAAAATTCATAGTAGGATGTGATAGGTGAAGAACTTAGTTGTTAGTAGTTCAGTTTTTATATTGCACGAACATATTATAACGGAGTCTTAGGAGATTAATTATGGGTAATTTCATGAAGGAACATACAGTTTAAAAAAGTAATGGAATTTTATTTCCAAAATGGCAGGTATTTTGACGCAAACAGAAAATCATCCAGAAATGTTGTTTCAAGAGGTTGGGACTACTGCCCATAAATCCGGGGCTACAATGGACCTCCTGAGACAACTCTTCAGCTAGCGGATAATTAACCCCTTAACGCCGTTACGGCGTTCTATGCCGTCCCACATTAAATGGGCTTTAAAGCCATTAAGGCGCCATAGAACACCGCAACGGCTTTCAGCCCCAGGAGATCGGAGGTACTTACCTCCGCCATGATCCTCTTCGGGAGGACTGCCTGACAGCCCAGGCAGCCCTTCCCCGGCAAATTAGGCCCCCGGGGGACATGTGATTGCTCTCAAAGAGCGATCACATGGCCCCCTATAGTTGGCTGTGGATCTGCCTGCTGGTGGGAAGTAGTAAAAAAATATATAAATAAACATGTTAAAATAAATTAAATGTGTGTATATATATATATATATATATATATATATATATATAATATATATACATACATCTTATATATAAGTAACGCCATACGTAGTGTATTTTAATATTAATATAAGTACATATATTAGTATTAAAATACACTTAGAATGACATCACATATATAAGATATATATATTATATATATATAATATATCTATATATATATTTTATATTTATTTATACACGTATAATTACATTAATAAATAAAATAAAATAAATAATTTTAAAAAATTTAAAAAAATTATATATACATATGTAATTTCATTCTAACTGTATTTTGTTGTTAATATATATATATATTGGTAACAAAATACACTTAGAATGACATTCTATATCTATCTATATATAAAATACAAATAACCGCAAATTTAAAAAAAAAATTAAAAAATATATATACACAGATAAATATATATAATTACATAAATAACTACATAAGTGTACACGTAGACTTTAAATACATATATATGTATATATATTAAAGTTCTACGTGTATATTTAAGTAATATTTTAACATAATTATATGATTTAATTAATTAAAATTTGATTGACATGCCTGACAACCCAGGCAGAAAGTGCAGAGAATTTGAATTGCAAGCACTGTATTTAACCCTGTAATTTTCCAAGACACCATAAAATCTGTACATGGGGGGTACTGTTTTACTCGGGAGACTTTGCTGAACTCAAATATTAGTGTTTCAAAATGGTAACATGTATTACAACAATAATATTTTTAGTAAAAGTGACGTTTTTTGCATTTTTTCCCACATGAACGGCACTTTTCCTGACGATATTATTGTTGTAATATGTTTTACTGTTTTGAAACACTTATGTTTGTGTTCAGTGAAGTCTCCAAAGTATAACAGTACCCCCCAGGGGTACGGGCTTTATGGTTTTTGGAAAGTTAGAGAGTCAAATATAAGGCTTGAATTTCATTTTTTTTTTCACATTTAAATTTGCCAGACTGGTTATGTTGCCTTTGAGACCGTATGGTAGGCCAGGAATACGAATTACCCCCATGATGGCATACCATTTGCAAAAGTAGACAACCCAAGGTATTGCAAATGGGGTATGTCTAGTCATTTTTAGTAGCCACTTAGTCACAAACACTGGCCAAATATTTGTTTTTTTCCTTTTTTCACACAAAAACAATATGAATGCTAACTTTGGCCAGTGTTTGTGACTAAGTGGCTACTACAAAAGACTGGACATACCCCACTTGCAATACCTTGGGTAGTCTACTTTTGCAAATGGTATGCCATCATGGGGGTAAATCTCATTCCTGGGCTACCACACGGTCTCAAAGGTAACGTTACTAATCTGGCAAATTTCAATGTGAAAAAACTGAAAAATTGAATGTGCTATATTTGACCCTTTAACTTTCCAAAACACCGTAAAAACTGTTACTGTTGTACTTGTGAGACTTTGCTGAATCCAAATATGTGCCCTTTTTTTGCAGTAAAAGCTAACAGTATTATGACATTTACAGCTAAAATGTGAGACGGAACTACAAATTCTGTTAAAAATTTAAATTTCTCACAGTTTTTTTGATTTTATTCATAATAAATTATTTTTCATATATAAATATTTGATATGAACTGAAAGCCCTGTTTCTCCTGAATAAAATTATATATAATAAGTGTGGGTGCATATAATATGAAAGAGGTGAATTACGGTTGAACATACATATAGCGCAAATTCCATTTTTTGTTTACATTTTGTTTTGATCAGAACGTGTACTATTGACCCCGTCCTGAAGGGGTTAAAAACAAATCCCAAATTAATGGTCCACCATGTTCGTCAGGCCTGTCATCTCCCGAGTACTTCCTGTGGGGATATCTGAAGAAAAAAAAACAACAACCGCATACACTTGAGCAGCTCAAGGAGAATACCCCTGCATCAATTTCAGCACTAGAACCTTAAACATTAACTATTCATTTGAACAATGCAATCGAAAGACCCCGAAATTGCGAGGCGGCAAATTGAGCTCATTTAAAAGATGTCATATTCTGTACTTCGTTAAACAAATTTCATTATGTTCAGTATTCATTGTATGATATATTGAAATGGGTTCATTAATAAAATAGTTTTTGGCTCCTCGAACCCTACTCTGAATTTTGGCCCACCCTGTAGAACATTTAAGAATGTGTTGCCCCGCATTATGCATCATTCATTATATAGCATGATTCCTATTTTAATTAACGGGCCACTTCATGTACCACAAACTAAAATAAATGGATAGGTTATGACGGGAGTTGGGTTCCTGTACATATTTATTTATAACTGCAGCAAATTGCAGAAATCACTGCAGCTATACGTCTTTGGTCCTATATCTGACTCTGGACATCCTCATGCATGTTAATGGTGATTGTGGTAGTGTAAAGGGGGTGAGTGTGACAGTGAGTGAGAAGGTGATTGTGGCAATGACAATGCGAGGGAAGTTGAGTGGGACAGGATTAGGTGGGATTAATGTGATAGGATGAGTGTGTCAGAGCGAGGGCAGGTGTGTTTAGTATAGTTGGACTGGATGAGAGTGACAGGATTAAAATGGGTTAATATGTGTGTAGCTGGATGAAGGGGGCTGACAGTGTGTAGGGCGTGCCACTGTGTGTAGGGCGTGCCAGTGTGTGTGTGCGCGCGCGCTTGTGTGTGTGTAAGGAGGGCACAATCTGTGTTTAGGGAGTGACAGTGTGCGTGGGGTGACAGTGTTGGTGATTGACAGTGTGTTTGTCTGGGGGGTGACAGTGTGTGTGTGGGTTGACAGTGTTTGGTTTGGTGCCAGTGTAGTGAGGTGACAATGTGTAAGTGTGTGTGGGAGGTAAGTTTGTGGGGGGATGATACTGTGTGCAATGACAGGTGGGAGGGAGTGACAGGTGAAAGGAGGGTGACACTACATTGTGTGGGGACGCTGTTTTAGTAAGCGGCCTCTCCACAAGAAGATACCTTTTTTAAGCAAATTCCATTCCCTGGTAGTCCGGTGGCCATGACATCTGATCTGCAGCTCCACCGGGTGCAGAGCTGCATACCATGTGTCTTGCGATCTCAACCAGTGTCAGAGCGTTGCCACAGTAACCCACGGCAACACTCTAAGTGGCCAGAAATCACGAGACACATGGTCTGAGGCTCTACACCTGGCAGAGCTGCAGACCAAAGCGTACTGCGTCCCCCCCTCGGCAGACGGAGCAGAGGGTCCCGCAACCGGCAGCACACAATGCAAGCTGCTGGACCCCTCTAGGTGTCACCGACCGTGGGCCCAACAGGTCAGTACAACCTTTGAATTAGGGGTGCACATGGGGGATCGGCCTGATGTAGCAACGCCGTTAGAAGTTCACTTTGAATTCTCACTTTAGTAAATAGCCCTGTAATTGAGTTGAGGTACAAACTGTATCTATGAGCATATTCAGCAATCAACTACTTATCTCATCTAATGAATGTAACTGCCACTGGGGACTGAAATATATCCCATATAGTCAGGGGCGTATTAGCCGCGAGGCAAACAAGGCATTTGCCTTGGGCGGCATTTTTCAGGGGGCGGCAAAAAACGCCGCCCCCCAAATGCCCAGGGCAAATGTCTAGTTAGCCTTGCGGCTAACTGACATCCCGAGCGGGCGGGCGGCTGGCGAGGGAGCACTTCCTATGAGCTGACTGCTCAGCTCCCTCGCGCGCCGCAAAGTGAGGCTGGGAGCTCTGCAGCCGGCGCGCGAGGGAGCTGAGCAGTCAGCTCATAGGAAGTGCTCCCTCGCCAGCCGCCCGCCTGCCAGCGCCACCTGCCCGACCTGCAGCCACTGGACCACCGGACCACCAGGGAGAGAGACCCCCCCAGCACTCCCAAAGGTAAGGAGGTTGGGGGGGGGATTTAAATTTAAAAAAAAGTTAATGTGTGTGTGTGTCTGACTGTGTGTGTTTGTGTCTGACTGTGTTTGTGAGTGTGTGTGTTTGTGTCTGACTGTGTTTGTGTATGTATGTGTGTGTGTGTGTGTTTGTGTCTGACTGTGTGTGTGTGTGACTGTGTGTGTGTTTGTGTCTGACTGTTTTTGTCTGTGTATGTGTCTGACTGTGTGTGTGTATGTGTCTGACTGTGTGTTTGTCTGTGTGTGTGTGTGTGTGTTTGTGTCTGACTGTGTGTGTGTGTGTGTGTGTGTGTGTGTGTGCCTGACTGTGTTTGTGGTGTGTGTGTGTGTCTGACTGTGTTTGTGAGGTGTGTGTTTGTGTCTGACTGTGTTTGTGTATGTGTGTGCTTGTGTCTGACTGTGTGTGTGTGTGCTGTGTGTTTGTGTCTGACTGTGTGTGTGTGTGTGTCTGACTGTGTGTGTGTATGTGTCTGACTGTGTGTGTGTGTCTGTGTGTGTGTGTGTGTGTGTGTGTGTGTCTGACTGTGTGTTGTGGGTCTGTGTGTTTGTGGAGTGTGTGTGTGTCTGACTGTGTGTGTGTGTGTGTCTGACTGTGTCTCTGACTGTGTGTGTTGTGTCTGACTGTGTTTGTGTCTGTGTATGTGTCTGACGTGTGTGTCTGACTGTGTGTTGTGTTTGTGTCTGACTGTGTTTGTGAGTGTGTGTCTGACTGTGTATGTGTGTGTGTGTGTGTGTCTGACTGTGTGTGTGTGTGTGTGTTTGTGTCTGACTGTGTGTGTGTTTGTGTCTGACTGTGTCTCTGACTGTGTGTGTGTGTGTCTGACTGTGTTTGTGTCTGTGTATGTGTCTGACTGTGTGTGTGTGTCTGTGTGTGTGTGTGTATTTAGAAGGTGGGGCGGTGGGAAGGGTTGGGTGGGGGTGGCGCGGGGGGAGGGGGGCACCTGAGTTTTGTCCTGCCTAGGGCAGCACAAAACCAGGATACACCACTGCATATAGTGCTGGTGGATAGGGTTTATGGACTATATTCTGACTACACAGATTGGCTGAGCCACCCCCGTCTGTGCACAACTCACAGCTGCTTGCTGGAGATTTGCAGCATCTGCAGGAATTTTAAAGCTGTATTTATGTTGTTGTGTTTGTTTATGTTGTCTATTATTTCTTTATTTGCATTTCCAAGGTTTGATTTCCTATCTCCAGGAATGTGCTTCTACTTACAACTTCATGTGCAGCTAACATATTTTTCTCTTTCTATCCAAGAACTCATAAGGGCTGTGGACACCCTGGGAATGACCCTGTACAGTGATTATTGTTAAAGTGTAACTTCAGCTATCACTGAAATGGTTTAATACACACACACACACACATGCAGTCACTCAGTCAATGCTCGTGTTTCTCTTACACAACCCTTGCATTATATAACATGTCTGTTTTTTTCTGTGTCCTCATTGGCTCATAGTGCAGTGTAACAAAACTAGGTCAGCCTGCCATCTCCCAGCAGGGATCCTGTCCCCTCCTAGACTATGGGCTGGTAACACAGTTACAGTCAGCTATCAGTCTCAGGATCTGTGTACACTCTGCTCACTCACTGGCAACAATGTCCAAAGAAGACAGCGTCAAGGGATACTTGGATATCCCAGAAATGCTCAAATCACTCCTGGACTACCCCCTCCCTCGGCAAGGGACAGGTAAACCCCAATCAATGCATGCGATTTTATTGTTTTGGGTTCTGAACAGTAATTGGGTATCATGCTTAGTTGTGAACATTATAAACAGTTTGGCCATGCAGACCCGCTGGAAAAGTGCTATCTGTTATATTTATATGCAACAGGAGGAAAATTGGTTAACTGATCAAGGCAGTTTATTTTGTGAAATCCATCATTAATTTTATAGCCAATTGTAGTGAATTGTAAAAACAGATTGCAAAACGTAGGCTAATATCGCCAGACTGTGACTATAGCAGAATTGGAAAATGTGACTAAATTAGACATTTTAGAACTCACTGTGTTTAGTGAACTAACCCCATAGTTATTCTTCAGTCTGCAGACCCTGGCAGGGCAGTCCATAGTGTCTGCAGTACTAAAGGATCACTACCTCTTTGTTCCTTGTTTGCAATCTGCATGGCTGTGAACTCTAACCACCATTATTCTCGGCCAGATAATTACATTCTGCTACACCAGGACCACATCCACAGTGTCTGAAGTGCAAAAGGTTCACTGTTTTTGCATGCCTCATGTTTGCACTAGGCTTTATAATGTCTTACTTATCAGACTAGGAGTGATGGCAGTCTCAGTCCATGTTATTTTTTATGTGCTAAATATTCTATTTGTAGAAACAGGGGTTAGAAGGCAGCTATGAATGGTTGCATTCCAGCTATAGACTCCTGCAGTCCATATTATCTAACACCGAGAACAAACTTGAACCATGGTTGTACACCACTAAGTGGATAGAAAGAAGTCAAATACAAAACTTATAAAATAACTGCAGTAGTAAAAATATTCGTCTGGGTCTTCTAAGCAAACACATATACAATCTACCCAAAGGAACTGCAATAGCATAATATTGTATGATACCATAAAAATGGAGTGAGAATATATTGCACTCACAAAATTAAAATTTATAGTAGGCACATCAAAGGAACCTTCTTTTTTCCAAATCAATATATGTGGGAAAAGAAGCAAGACATCCACATAATGTAGCAGTAAAACAATACACACTATTTTAGTAACATGTCTGTAAGTCCACCTATTGTACAGCGCTACAGAATTTGTTGGCGCTTTCTAAAAAATTTTTTACTAAAAAAAACCAGTGGACTTGCTGACAGGTCTCCGCCATTTCCTGGTCCATTGCAGAAATCAGAGGCCAGAGATTTACTGCAAACTAAAGCCCTTAAAAGTTAAGTGTATTTTTGCGTTATCACCATGTTGCTTTACAAAGTCTGGGTGCCCCATAACAAGGGTAAAAAAACTGTTCATGTTTTGTGTATACATACATGTTGGAATGCTGGGCTGAGAGTGCAACCAAAAGCATTTGCTGCACCCTTAAGTTCTGTGAAATATGATAATAATGAACCTGTTTCGCAGATGCACTCATTGACCTCTTCGCTACGAGGAGGCCTTTATTGTTCTGTAAGTTAAAGGTTTTTACTTGCTATGGGGCTTTAGGTCTTATTTGTCTTTCACTACATCGGGTATTCTTCAGGAGACCTATTTAATGTTTATTGAATAGCATTTATACATAATGTTCAAACCTCCATGAGACTTAAAGGGACGTTCCAACTACCTGAAAAACTTGCGTTCCCGTTAAAGCTTAAGGTAAAATAACTTACCTTGCTTAGTGTGCATTCTGTAATTGTGCACATTTTCAGAAAAATCTTTGGAATTGGGTACTACCACTGGCTTTTGCTTCCAGCAACAACAAAGAAAAAAGCAGTCTGCTGAAGGCAGGTGTTACCATGCTTGGTAGAACCATGAATGCTTGCACTTGCAACCACAGTGAGGGTTCCCTACAGTATTGTACATTCTACAAGGCATTCATTAGGAAAGTGTTAAGATTGCCACTGCGTGAATGTGATCAGTACATGCACATTTATATGGTGCCATATTAGTTGCGTGCATGCTCCTGGCGATACAGGCTTGCATGCTTAGCGTTGCTCCAATATATTTGGATGAGAAACACTCCAGGCTGAAGTACTCATACTGACTGCACTGGAATCTCAACACAACATTCTGTTTGTGGAGTCTCAACGTCATGTGGTTCTGCAGTATACAGCAATTTTATTTATCACGTAAGAAGGAACTTATGCATAAAGTTATAGCTGTGTGACTGTGGTTGCACTGCTGACTACTGCGTCCACATTTTTTTTTGGAGTCAAGCCATAAGGTATAATTGTTTGTTTGCACCTTTTCGTTGTTCGTGGTTAGACAAGAAGTAGACTATTATTAGAGAAAGGGATTTATTTGAGCAGGCAGAGGGAGAGGTATATTTTCCTACTCAGATGTCAGGTACACAAGGAACCGACTACAGGGATACTTTTATTTGTTCTCTTGCATATGGATGCAGTTATAGGTAACTGTAAGCAGGGTATCCTTACACCATAACCTAAGCAAGCAGCAAACGGTATTATATTATTAAATGCTCACCCAGTCTCCACTGCTTCAAAAAAATCATTAAAAACCCACTTCTTCTTAAAAGCGTATCAATTAAACTGTTAATAGCTCCCGACTGATTCCTGTTCTGCAACTGTCACTAGTCTAATACTATCCTTACCTTTTTGTGTCATTTTACCCCACTCCCTCTAGCATGTAAGCTCATTGAGCAGGGCCCTCAACCCCTCTGTTCCTGTGTGTCCAACTTGTCTGGTTACAACTACATGTCTGTTCGTCCACCCATTGTAAAGCGCTGCGGAATTTGATGGCGCTATATAAACATAATAACAATAATAATAGTCCTTGAAGTGTCATTTGGGAAAAAAATTTAAATGGCAACCCTATGTTTGGAATGTAGTTTATAAACACAATGATTGGGTGTAGCAGCTTATTCAGCTCAGTGGTACATCATAAGTTGTGGGGCAAGTTTCTAGTTAATCTACTTCCATCTAATTAAACTAATTTAAGTCTGTTCCAGGTGTGATATTGAAGAACAGGGAGGGTACAGTACGGGGGTGGAAATTGCTTTGGAATCAGTGCCAGTTGCCTAATGAAACGCTTGAGGCACTAAATGTACAAAAATGCATCAGGTAAAATGTCACGCAAATAATTATCCTGACTTTGCCAACTTTTAGCATGTATGTAAAACTAGGTCAGTTATATTACCAGGAATTATTGTTCAGGTGCCTCCTGCCTAGAGTCCCATTTTACATAATACAGATTAACAACACACACATAAAAATACCGTTTTACATTTTATAATGCAGATTAAAATCACCTCTCAGCAAACAAATATGGGGATTTGGTTCCACCTTATGGCCATATTGTATTAAGCCCACCACTACACCACAGTACCCCAATATCAGTGGGTCCTACACTAATTCCAACGTCGGAGCTAAATTAAATAGTGCTAAATAAGCAAAAGTGTATTTGAGACAGGGGATTTAAAGTAGCCTTATTAAATTTACAAATGTGTTTTATGTGTGTGCTGTTCCTTAATCTGTATTATGTATATATTTTGGTCTCTAAGGCAGCATCGTGCATGTTCTGGCTGTGCCCCCAATTCCTTTGTCTTTACTCTGCAGTGCCTTTTTAAAGGGACACTGTAGGCACCCAGACCACTTCAGCTAATTGAAGAGGTCTGAGTTCAGTGTCTCTATGGCACTTAGCGCTTAGTTCCAAAGAAACTACAATGTTTGCATTGCAGCACTAAATCTGCAATGTACTAAATCTGCAGCACTAAATATGCCTCCAGTGGCTGTCTCCCAGACAGCCACTAGTGGGCTTCCTGAATTTAAACTGACCTTTGGTCTGGTATCTGACGCTGAGCATGAGGACACCCGTCAGATATTTCCCCCCATATAGGGAGGTCTAATGCACATGCATTTTGCGCCTACTCGTCGCAGGATGTTGGATGGGGCGGAGCGTCGACAAGGTAAGTAAATAAAGAGTTGTTAACCCTTTATTTACCAGGGAGAGGGGGCGCGAGGGAGGGGAGATGCAGGGGGAGCAACTGTGCTAGGAATACAGCGAGTGCAGAATTATTAGGCAAATGAGTATTTTGACCACATCATCCTCTTTATGCATGTTGTCTTACTCCAAGCTGTATAGGCTCGAAAGCCTACTACCAATTAAGCATATTAGGTGATGTGCATCTCTGTAATGAGAAGGGGTGTGGTCTAATGACATCAACACCCTATATCAGGTGTGCATAATTATTAGGCAACTTCCTTTCCTTTGGCAAAATGGGTCAAAAGAAGGACTTGACAGGCTCAGAAAAGTCAAAAATAGTGAGATATCTTGCAGAGGGATGCAGCACTCTTAAAATTGCAAAGCTTCTGAAGCGTGATCATCGAACAATCAAGCGTTTCATTCAAAATAGTCAACAGGGTCACAAGAAGCGTGTGGAAAAACCAAGGCGCAAAATAACTGCCCATGAACTGAGAAAAGTCAAGCGTGCAGCTGCCACGATGCCACATGCCACCAGTTTGGCCATATTTCAGAGCTGCAACATCACTGGAGTGCCCAAAAGCACAAGGTGTGCAATACTCAGAGACATGGCCAAGGTAAGAAAGGCTGAAAGACGACCACCACTGAACAAGACACACAAGCTGAAACGTCAAGACTGGGCCAAGAAATATCTCAAGACTGATTTTTCTAAGGTTTTATGGACTGATGAAATGAGAGTGAGTCTTGATGGGCCAGATGGATGGGCCCGTGGCTGGATTGGTAAAGGGCAGAGAGCTCCAGTCCGACTCAGACGCCAGCAAGGTGGAGGTGGAGTACTGGTTTGGGCTGGTATCATCAAAGATGAGCTTGTGGGGCCTTTTCGGGTTGAGGATGGAGTCAAGCTCAACTCCCAGTCCTACTGCCAGTTCTGGAAGACACCTTCTTCAAGCAGTGGTACAGGAAGAAGTCTGCATCCTTCAAGAAAAACATGATTTTCATGCAGGACAATGCTCCATCACACGCGTCCAAGTACTCCACAGCGTGGCTGGCAAGAAAGGGTATAAAAGTACAAAATCTAATGACATGGCCTCCTTGTTCACCTGATCTGAACCCCATTGAGAACCTGTGGTCCATCATCAAATGTGAGATTTACAAGGAGGGAAAACAGTACACCTCTCTGAACAGTGTCTGGGAGGCTGTGGTTGCTGCTGCACGCAATGTTGATGGTGAACAGATCAAAACACTGACAGAATCCATGGATGGCAGGCTTTTGAGTGTCCTTGCAAAGAAAGGTGGCTATATTGGTCACTGATTTGTTTTTGTTTTGTTTTTGAATGTCAGAAATGTATATTTGTGAATGTTGAGATGTTATATTGGTTTCACTGGTAATAATAAATAATTGAAATGGGTATATATTTGTTTTTTGTTAAGTTGCCTAATAATTATGCACAGTAATAGTCACCTGCACACACAGATATCCCCCTAACATAGCTATAACTAAAAACTACTTCCAAAAATATTCAGCTTTGATATTAATGAGTTTTTTGGGTTCATTGAGAACATGGTTGTTGTTCAATAATAAAATGAATCCTCAAAAATACAACTTGCCTAATAATTCTGCACTCCCTGTAGTATCCGTTTAAGCATAAAAAAGAACAAATCTGGAGATTGTGGAAAAAATACTATTCAATAGGTTTTAGTATTAAGGTACATTCCAGGCTTGGGCTGGGCTCCATTTTAATGGATTATGTATTCATAATTCCACTAATAATGTATATAAAGTAAGCAAACCCAAGATAGTCCACCAAACATATAGAAGGGCAACAAGAACACCCCCTCTCCCCCCGCGCAACTCCCTTGGTTAAGAGTACCTTTCACCCAAGGCATAGAATACAATCATCAACTTACATTGCCACAAGAAGGAGAAGCTACAACCGATTATCTACACACCTCAGAGGTCACACAAATGTGTCCACTCACCTCTATGCTCACAAACACTCTCACTTTACATATATTTACACCCAAGTGTGCAATAACCACCTCCTATTTAGCCCCCCAGCACACGGGACTACGATGCAAGGACTGACTAAGCGACCCACACCAATAACCAAACAAGTAACACGTATAGCAGGACCTAGGTCCACGTTTACAGCATGTAAAAAATGTTAAAATGGTGCAGTTACACAATGTTATCTACCCATGCAATGTTATATATCGAAACCTCTATTACGCAAAATACTGTTTTATGTATGGTTCATGCAACGCACTGCAAAAATAAAGCATTAAAAAAGAAAAAAAACATTGCAGTTCCAGCTGAGAGCTCTGTTCAGACTACGAACCAGCTTCTAACTGTTATAATGGCTGGTAACTGTTGATACCCCTCTCATTATTTTCAATGTGAGTACTGAGTATATCCCATAATTTGTTGCTGAGCAAGGATTTATGGGATACATTGTTCAGCACTAGACAGCAGAGCCATTCTTAAGAAAACATGAGTGAACATGTAATCCAAGTTGAGTTGTGTTACTGCTGACGTCCCAAGAATGCAGAATAGACCTTTCACTTGACAGATCACATGATGTCAGTAAGATCTCCTCCACTAGCCACTGCTCGCACATGTCTACAATGTTAGACACAAGTAGGAACATAATGACAGGGGAAACTGGTTGCACCACATTATGCACTAGGACAGTGTTTATGGTGCAAATAGGCTGAGTGCTGACTCCCTATTTTTTACTAAACCATTGTCAAGCGGAATGACCAAAAACAGGCTTTTTTGCTACCAAAGGCCTGCCACACAGGTAAATTGATAGTGCTTTGCTAGGTGTATTGCTGAATAGTTGGAGAGATGTTGGAGATAAGAGGCGCAACCATTCTGCAAATGGGTACAAACAGTGAGAGTGGTAAATCAGGATGTTATTCTGTATGCTCCGTTGTCAATCTTATTGATGGTTTTGCAGAACCTGGACGCACTGATTGCCCCCTGTGAGAATCATATTTGTGTCCCTAAGTTGGTTCCATGCAGCAGTAGAGACAAATCTGACGGAGATGGGAGGTGTTGGAATCCAGAGTGATGCTGGTGGTCCACCTTCAATGAGAGCACTTGCATCCTAGATTTACTTGTTGCTACAGCTTGAACACAATATCTCTTTTTCAGTAAAAAAATAAATGTCCATCTGCCACATATTTTCTACACAGTCAAAAGAAGAGATTATGTGGTGGGTGTTTTTAGAGGCAGGTAATTCTATGATATACAGCAAATTCTTTCCTATACACAAGGGTAGTTTTAGACATGCAATAGGCCTTTCAAAGCCCAGTTTGCCAACTGTGTGAAAGTTACATGGTTGGCATTGTATTGGCTCAAATCCATAGAGGAAAGACTGGTGACACACAATGTACATGCAGAAGATGTAGCAGACTACTGTAATAGTGAAAGTTATGTTTTGGCTGTATTGTGGAGTTCTGAGCACTGGGAATAGTGGTATGATTGGTAAGTCTTTTTAAAGACTTGAGAAGAGGAGAGAGAGAGTGTTACGGGTCATGTGGAATTCGCATATCATGTGGTATCCTTTCAATACTCATTACTGATGTGAATTTGTGCCAGTATACTACAGTCATACCACCGGAAACAAAATATTAATGTGCATATTAAATGTCTCCTGTCCTACTTCAAGAGAGGAATTGGAGTAGTGAAAGAACTCTCTTGACTTTTGTTCCACTTTTGATGGGTGTGCAATTGTGATCAATGCATGTGATTTTACTGTATGAAAGGCTTATTGCTTACAGATGTGGGGTGGTGACATGCATGGTTAAAATAGCTAAATATGCAAACATTCCTAAATTTACAGTAATTTTGACATCTAATTATTCAAAGAACCAAATGTTTATTAAAATAGCTAATAATAAAAAGTGCAATGTAACAGTGATTGAGCTGTTAAAATCCTTAAAGGAACAATCTGGGCACTGTAAGGTCACTGGCAGAATTTTAAGGGTTAAATGATTCTCAGATGGTTTAATCCCAAAGTCTGTGTTGCAGTGCAGGATCACTCTGCCCCTTTGTCCTTCAGCTTGCTGAAATACTGGTAAATAAAATTGTAGGGACACAAGCACCAAGAAAAATGTAAATTTCTTAAGCTATTTTTATGAATGGGGAGCCACTGATTGGCTGAGAGCATCATCGGACCACTCTCAGCCAGTCGGCGGCACCCCTCCCCGCGGCAGCCTTACGCTTCTGGTTTCCAATATTTCACCAAGTGGAATGACAGAGGGACAGGGAGATGCAACATTGGTAGATTTTTAATAAAGTTGTTATAGTGCCCAGAGGGTGTTTAACTTTTAGAAACTGTTTAAGAACCACATTATAGTGACACTCCTTGCGAGAAGTAACTCAGATTTGTTTTTAAATACATTAAGTCTATGAACATAATTTAAAAATAAAATTTTGCAAACCATTTTTGACTTTTTCTCTGGCACCATCACCCACTTCATCCATATCAATAATATGGGAACACCACACTTGCATTATTGAGCGCAATTCCATCCATCCTGTTATAGACAGAGTACTAGGGGGTGTTAGACTATTGTTTACAGACATAAAAATATATATTTTTTTTACTAATAAAATATTTATATTATATTCTATTGTTGTCTACTCAGGTGGTAGAAGGATCAGTGCTGTGGGAATTGCATGCTAAAGTAATGCAGATATGACCTCATACATATATGAAGACTCTAATTATCATAATTGAGTGCATACACTGTAGAGTTCAGTGTTTTCCAATGGCAAGCACTGGGCATGCATTGTTGTAAGGAAGCGTTTGTACAGAGGTTAATGCAAGTTTACCCTGCACTACCATACATATGTATTCTCAGGAATTTGATTGACATGGGTGTACTCACACATACAGTGAGGGAAAAACGTATTTGATCCCCGGCTGATTTTGAATGTTTGGCCACTGACAAAGAAATGATCAGTCTATAATTTTAATGGTAGGTGTATTTTAGCAGTGAGAGACAATAAAAAAATAAAATAAAATCCAGAAAAACGCATGTCAAAAAAGTAATAAAATTGATTTGCATGCCAATGAGTGAAATAAGTATTTGATCCCCTATCAGTCAGCAAGATTTCTGTCTCCCAGGCGTCTTTTATATAAGTAACGAGCTAAGATTAGGAGCACTCTAAAAAAGGGAGTGCTCCTAATCTCAGCTTGTTACCTGTATAAAAAAAATTAAATAAAAATTACCTGTACATAGAAGCAATCAGATTCCAAACTCTCCACCCTGGCCAAGACCAAAGAGCTGTGCAAGGATGTCAGGGACAAGATTGTGGACCTACACAAGGCTGGAATGGGCTACAAAACCATCGCCAACAGCTTGGTGAGAAGGTGACAACAGTTGGTGCGATTATTGGCAAATGGAAGAAACACAAAATAACTGTCAGTCTCCCTCGGCTGGTGCTCCACGCAAGATCTCACCTCATGGAGTTTAAATGATCATGAGAATGGTGAGGAATCTGCCCAGAACTACACAGGAGGATCTTGTTAATGATCTCAAGGCAGCTTGGACCATAGTCACCAAGAAAACAATTGGCAACACACTACGCCGTGAAGGACTGAAATCCTGCAGCGCCCACAAGGTCCCTTTGCTCAAGAAAGTACATGTACAGACCCGTCTAACGTTTCACTCATTGACATGCAAATCAAATGTATAACTTTTTTGAAATGCTTTTTTTCTGGATTTTTTGTTGATGGTATTCTGTCTCTCACAGTTAAAATACACCTACCATTAAAATTATAGACTGGTTATTTCTTTGTCAGTGAGCAAAGGTTCAAAATCAGCAGGGGATCAAATACACTTTTTCCCTTTACTGTACATCTGATTGCATGGCTGTGCAGCATCTCTCTGTTTACCAAACTAAGCTGTAACAGGGCTGTATCCTGAGCAGCTGCAATATAGATCACCAACTGGAATTTGGAATCTTGCTTTGGAACGCCTACCTACACTACTGATAACACCAGTGTCCAGCTTATTTTGCAGTTGCAGCTATATAAAGCTTTGCCTTAGTTAAATGAATGTCAAATACCATTTTGATACAGGTTCTTAAGGCTGTTTGCTAAGACATTATTACATCATTGGTGCTCAAGGGACTAAGGAATAATTTAAAGGGACAGGCCATGGATTACTTTATATGCATATTAAAGCTGAGGTTGTCATGTTACCTTGCTTAACATGCTGAATGTTGTTCAGTTTTTGATAAGATGGGAATGAACTAGTTATGGTGCCAGGAAATCCCTGGCGCCAGCATACCTTTGGGGATTAAACGGTTAATGAAAGGTTAATCCCCAAAGTCTTGAATCCATGGTCCAACCCTTTCCGAATCAACTCAGGGAAAAGCAGAAAAGTGGGGCAGAGCAACACGGCACTGGATTGAAGACTTTGGCATTAGACCATTCATTAACAGTTTAACTCCTAAAAGGTAAACTGGCGATGAAACGGTTATGACGAGTATTTATTGAAGCATTTTAAAAAAAACTTTGATAATCTTTATGAAATACTCATTGACTGTATTGGGATTTAATCCAAGTAAAGAGATATACTGAGACAAGGTAGGGATTACTTTTTGTCTTTAAGTTTCCTAAGATACTGGACAGAGCTACTGCCATCTAGATGTGTGTCATCCATCATTAGTGATGGCTGTAGGGAATGGACTTTACCTATGGTGGATGATATCAAAAGTCCTCAGACAGTGTCACTAAGTTATGACCTGCTTGTTTGTGTGTGTGTGGGGCTAGCACATTTTTGGAGCATGTAGTTTTGTCCTAACCATAAGTTTTAACATGCATGTAAGCTATGTGGTTTGTGTCATTTTAAAATAGTTCCATACCAATATATTAAAGGACCACTATAGTGCCAGGAAAACACTTGTTTTCCTGTCACTATAGTGCCCTGAGGGTGCCCCCACCCTCAGGGTCCCCTTCCCGCCGGGCTGGATTGAGAGGAAGGAGTTAAACTTACCTTTTTCTCCAGTGCCGGGAGGGGAGCTCTCCTCCTCCTCTTCAGCTGAATGCACATGCGCGGCAAGAGCCAAGCACACATTCAGCCAGTCCATAGGAAAGCATTGCTGGCGTCTTCTCACTGTGAAAATCACAGTGAGAAGTGCAGAAGCCCTCTAGCGGCTGTCAATGAGAGTTTCTCTGAAACTGCTATGTTTACAGCAAGCAGGGTTAATCCTAGGTGGACCTGGCACCCAGACCACCTCATTAAGCTGAAGTGGTCTGGGTGCCTATAGTGGTCCTGTAACTCCTTAAGGACACATGACATGTGTTGACAGGTCATGATTCCTGTTTATTCCAGAAGTTTGGCCCTTAAGGGGTTAATGGTGGGCATTCCTGGACAAAATTCCAAATAAAACGGAAAATCACGTGACCTGCCTGCTGCACGTGCAACGGCCTTGTGACAGCTTGAGTTAGTAAATAAGGGGCGGGGCATACCGTAGCAGCCATCCAATCAGAAGTAGGTATACGTATTTACGCCCATGTCAATCAAGTTAATTCTTTACCGTCATTTGCGGTCTACTGAAGGGGGCGTGGATTCCGAACAAATCTGACTGGAGACCTCGTGATTCCGGAAATACCCGACTTAACATTCATTCAGCTTCGACAGCCAATGATCAACCACGTCTTATGCGTTCTATTACTGTAAAGTGGAGCGACGCGGCTAACGATTGGCTATGTCCTTGGCAGTTTCCTGTCAGGTCGTTCTACGAGCGCGCGCTGCCGTCACTCACGTCACAGCTTGGAAGCGCTCGGCCATTGGCTGGGTGTCAAGAGCTCACGCGCTGAGGCAGAGTTTATTTACATTGTCGCCCCGCGCGCGACCAATCAGCGTTCGAGGATCGAGGGCAGCGCGTGCGGCGGCCCCCGGATTGCGCACTTGTGCTGTGTGTCTCCTGTGCAGGGCTCCGCCATGTCTGCCGCCCAGCCTCCGGCGGAGATATCGCCTCCTTCACCCACGGGACCCACTCTCGGCGGCTCGTCGTTCCCTCTGGTGCTCAGGAAGCTGATCGAGAACCCGCCCAGCAGCTTTCTGGATACAGGAGAGACCGGTGAGCGATAACCCCGGGCCCCGCCCCTTTAACTCCCTCACTGCCGGAGCAGGGCATGCTGGGATGGCAATGCTGTGTGTGTGATATACAGTGCTCCCCGCCCACTTTAACCCTCTCACTGCCGGAGCAGGGCATGCTGGGATGGCAATGCTGTGTGTGAGATATACAGTGCTCCCCGCCCCTTTAACCCTCTCACTGCCGGAGAAGGGCATGCTGGGATGGCAATGCTGTGTGTGAGATATACAGTGCTCCCCGCCCACTTTAACCCTCTCACTGCCGGAGAAGGGCATGCTGGGATGGAAATGCTGTGTGTGTGATATACATTGCTCCCCGCCCACTTTAACCCTCTCACTGCCGGAGAAGGGCATGCTGGGATGGAAATGCTGTGTGTGTGATATACATTGCTCCCCGCCCACTTTAACCCTCTCACTGCTGGAGAAGGGCATGCTGGGATGGAAATGCTGTGTGTGTGATATACATTGCTCCCCGCCCACTTTAACCCTCTCACTGCCGGAGAAGGGCATGCTGGGATGGAAATGCTGTGTGTGTGATATACATTGCTCCCCGCCCACTTTAACCCTCTCACTGCTGGAGAAGGGCATGCTGGGATGGCAATGCTGTGTGTGTGATATACAGTGCTCCCCGCCCCTTTAACCCTCTCACTGCCGGAGCAGAGCATGCTGGGATGGCAATGCTGTGTGTGTGATATACAGTGCTCCCCGCCCACTTTAACCCCCTCACTGCCGGAGCAGGGCATGCTGGGATGGCAATGCTGTGTGTGTGTGATATACAGTGCTCCCCGCCCACTTTAACCCTCTCACTGCCGGAGAAGGGCATGCTGGGATGGAAATGCTGTGTGTGTGATATACATTGCTCCCCGCCCACTTTAACCCTCTCACTGCCGGAGAAGGGCATGCTGGGATGGAAATGCTGTGTGTGTGATATACATTGCTCCCCGCCCACTTTAACCCTCTCACTGCTGGAGAAGGGCATGCTGGGATGGAAATGCTGTGTGTGTGATATACATTGCTCCCCGCCCACTTTAACCCTCTCACTGCCGGAGAAGGGCATGCTGGGATGGAAATGCTGTGTGTGTGATATACATTGCTCCCCGCCCACTTTAACCCTCTCACTGCTGGAGAAGGGCATGCTGGGATGGAAATGCTGTGTGTGTGATATACAGTGCTCCCCGCCCCTTTAACCCTCTCACTGCCGGAGCAGAGCATGCTGGGATGGCAATGCTGTGTGTGTGATATACAGTGCTCCCCGCCCACTTTAACCCCCTCACTGCCGGAGCAGGGCATGCTGGGATGGCAATGCTGTGTGTGTGTGATATACAGTGCTCCCCGCCCACTTTAACCCTCTCACTGCCGGAGAAGGGCATGCTGGGATGGCAATGCGGTGTGTGTGATATACAGTGCTCCCCGCCCCTTTAACCCTCTCAGTGCCGGAGCAGAGCATGCTGGGATGGCAATGCTGTGTGTGTGATATACAGTGCTCCCCGCCCACTTTAACCCCCTCACTGCCGGAGCAGGGCATGCTGGGATGGCAATGCTGTGTGTGTGTGTGATATACATTGCTCCCCGCCCACTTTAACCCTCTCACTGCCGGAGAAGGGCATGCTGGGATGGAAATGCGGTGTGTGTGATATACATTGCTCCCCGCCCACTTTAACCCTCTCACTGCCGGAGAAGGGCATGCTGGGATGGAAATGCGGTGTGTGTGATATACAGTGCTCCCCGCCCCTTTAACCCTCTCACTGCCGGAGCAGGGCATGCTGGGATGGCAATGCTGTGTGTGTGATATACAGTGCTCCCCGCCCCTTTAACCCTCTCACTGCCGGAGCAGGGCATGCTGGGATGGCAATGCTGTGTGTGTGATATACAGTGCTCCCCGCCCCTTTAACCCCCTCACTGCCGGAGCAGGGCATGCTGGGATGGCAATGCGGTGTGTGTGATATACAGTGCTCCCCGCCCCTTTAACCCTCTCACTGCCGGAGCAGGGCATGCTGGGATGGAAATGCGGTGTGTGTGATATACAGTGCTCCCCGCCCCTTTAACCCTCTCACTGCCGGAGCAGGGCATGCTGGGATGGCAATGCGGTGTGTGTGATATACAGTGCTCCCCGCCCCTTTAACCCTCTCACTGCCGGAGCAGGGCATGCTGGGATGGAAATGCGGTGTGTGTGATATACAGTGCTCCCCGCCCCTTTAACCCTCTCACTGCCTGAGCAGGGCATGCTGGGATGGAAATGCGGTGTGTGATATACAGTGCTCCCCGCCACTTTAACCCTCTCACTGCCTGAGCAGGGCATGCTGGGATGGAAATGCGGTGTGTGTGATATACAGTGCTCCCCGCCACTTTAACCCTCTCACTGCCGGAGCAGGGCATGCTGAGATGGCAAAGCTGTGTGTGTGTGAAATACAGTGCTCCCCGCCCACTTTAACCCTCTCACTGCCAGAGCAGGGCATGCTGGGATGACAGTGCTGCCTGGTGTCCCTGCTCAGTGTGTGATAGAGGACACTCAGTGCTATCTATAGCAGGTCAAGGGTTACTCTCTGAGTAATGGATATACATGGTTAAGACTTTTGGGCCGAAACGATGTATTATTCTTATTATTATTTTTGTCTTTTTAATTGAGTAAACACTTTTTCGATATCTTGCAAGTTTTTTGTGCAGCTTATACTTTTTCTTATTTTTTATTGTATTTTATTTTTTATAATGCATTTTAATTTGAATTGCAGAGTTGTAGTGTATAACTAGCTGATTTGGGGGTAATTCTTCACTCATAGATTGGCTGATTAATCTTTATGTTGAAAATCAGATTTGGTTGGTCTCAAATTTGAATCTTAATTTTTTTTACTGCACAATCACTGAAGTGATCCTGTTAGAGTATCATTTAAAGGGGCACTGTAGTGTCAAGAACAAAGCGTGTATTCCTGACATTAAAGTTCTCAAACCACTATTTAATTGTCGTAACTCCCCCTTACCTTAGGTTAAAAGGTGACTTTCCTTGTTCTAGTGCTGTGCAGGTTTCTTGCCCCGCCCCCCAATCTGCTTCCTTGACTGACAAAATTAGAATTGATAATCTAAGCCAATCACAATGCTTTTCCATGGGAAAGTAGGGAATCATAGGTAAGCCACATAACGCCCTCTTTGCAGTTCTTTGGATCCTGTTACTACCATCAGGCATTTCTCAGGCCTGCCTGTGTCACCAAGCAGGGCCAATTGCAGGACACAGGAGGACTGCAGTGTAGGGTGTGTTTTACAATCGTCTTCCAAAGCACAATAATATTGAAAAATGTATCCTTATTGCGATTTCTCTTCCCGAACATAGGCCATGCCAGCACTGATTATAGGGCTAGCTCTCCCCCCATCAAGTTAGACAGAAATTTATTACAAATGATTAATAACTATCCTCCCTTTGGTTTCCTTAGTCTGGTACAAAGCCTGTCCCCAGGGTGGGAATGTAGTGCTGTCATGGCCTATGACCAGGAAAACAAAATAACAATAAATAGAGATCACTTTTCTAGTTTCTAGGCCATATAAATGGCAGCACTGACTACAAGGAAAATTCAAAGAATTTGAACAAGGGATTGAGAATAAACAACAGAAAGACATAATATAATGCCAGAGAAAAGTAAATTTATTTGACTATAAACACCATAAACCAGATTAATATATAGCTGGATGAAGTATTTTGTAGGCATACTCCTCAATAACTCTTCCACTGACATCCGTTTAATTGGAGGCAGAATCTTCAACACTGCAAAAAGGAAGAGATATATATCTTTATTCAAGACGCATTTGATGCCAAGCAAAACTAAGATAGCAGAAATTTGAGTTTTTAAGGAATTCCTGCCTTTTCCTTTATCTAAGCCTTTGCAAAAAGAATGTTGCCAGTTGAAAAATAGAAAAAAAACAGACCCTTTGTTATTACCCATTAGCAGAGCACACTCTAGGACTAGGTCCTATGATATGCTGCCAAGTTGAGTTTTTCCTAGTTTAAAGAAGGGAGGCACCACTGAAGAGACAAACCCTTTAGCTTCCGGCTTTGCTTTCTCAATTTCCTTGCATCAAAAGGGGATAGGATCTGGATGTTCTGGCCTTTCATTGGTGGTTCCAGTGCCATTTTCCTCAGCAGAGTAGCAAAGGCTTTCATGGCCAACAAAAGATCACCACAATCATCAGCACCATTTCCCTGCAAATTGTTTTGACAGAGGGAGAATCAAGACCGTTGGAAGGAAAGCCTGCCCAAACTAAGGACTCCACCTGCAAGTCCAAGCTTCCATTCCCTTTACCGAGTGAGATGTCTAGTACCCATAATGTCCATTTGTGGCAAGCTATATTTCAACACTACTTGATTGAATATCTTTGAGGACAAGGATAATTCCCCCACCTCTACCACCTTCACGTTTTGCCTTTATGGAAAAGATATTGTCTATGGAGGAACCTGCTAGGTTCTCCATAGAACATGCCGCTTTCCATAAAGACGTGGGCTCCTGGAAGATGAAACATGGCTTCAATGGACAGGTTTAAGTAAAGCTCACATTCCTCTGCACCACTCAGCCAGTGGACACCAAACAGAGGCGTACCTGTGGGAAGGTCTTTGCAAAATATGCGAAGACTGCAGATGGTGACAGAGCCGCTTTTAAGGAGTCTCACGGATAAGAGTGTGGCAAACTGCAAATAAAGGTCTCTTGTAAAGGCTTCTTGCACATTTTTTCTATTCCCCTGTTTCTCAAATTACTTGCACCCTTCTGTTCATTCACCTGAATGTATCATTATTTTCATGATTTGGTGTGAGACCACTATCCACATGGGTGAATTCTAACAAGCAGCCACCTTCACCGAATAAACTGTGTGTTCCAAACAAGTAATTTTTCTTCTAAGACTAAATATGAAACAAAAGACAAAATGATCTACAATACAATAATAACAGAGAACAACATAGTATAATACTGTTTTAGAAATTTAAAAATAAAAGGTTGGTGTAGTAGTTGCACTCACAAACCAAAATTGATTGTAGGCATATCATCAGATTAATTGAAGACTCAAAATTCGCAGGACATCATGGCCAATATGTAGAAGGAAAGGAAAATAATAGTAATAGTGCAGAGTATCATAATAAAGATAAATATTTTAATGTAAAAATACACTTACAAAATTGAAGTGAAATACAGGCACATCACACACTGTCAGTTTGATCACAGGGTCCCAATAAAATGGAGCACCAGAAGGAACAGCAATGTTGACAAATAAAATAAAATTACAAATAACTAAATAAAATAATACTAAAAGTCTGCACTAATAGAAAAAGCCCTACGCGTTTCGTTCAAATAATTGAACTTCCTCAGGGGCAAATAAAGCTTCCTTCTAACCAGCATTGATGTCTCTAAACTCTGAGTCCTCTTTTAAATCTTTCAATTTTGGCGCGCCGGATGGTCGGGCCTGTTGGCAGCGCACTTCCGGGTTCGTCATAACAAATACTTCCAGATGTATTCAATCCTTCCTGGAGTACAATTCAAGCCTCGTTTCCAAAATGAAGCTAAAGATGATGACGCACGACAGACTTCCGGGTTCGTCGTAATAAGTACTTCCGGATGTATTTAGCTCTTCCGGAAATGTGGTTCAAGCCTCGTTTTCAAAATGAGGCCAATGATAACGCACCGATGTGCGTTCCACTTGACAATTTGCATACCACCATAGAAACAAAAGAATCACAAAATAAATTGATACAACATCTTTTCGAGATTGATTATACATTCATAAAGATTCCAACAATAAATTTGTCTCAACCTTCACCCAAGAATAGTAATCCAGAAACATCAATCAAAATAACAAAATATAATAATGTGAAAAAATATAAGGAAAAGATAAATTAAAATAAAATAAAAAGATAAGATAATGTATAAAATAAAAGTGAAAATGAAATAGAATGGAAACATAAAAAGGGAATAAAAATATAATTAAAATAAAAATATGAAAATGAACAAATGAATAATAATATTGAAATAAAAAAACTTATTAAAGAAAACAAATCAAAATCAACATTAAGTCCCTTTGGCTGCATAGTTTGTAAAGTGTGAATCCAATATCCCTCTCTCTTTCTCAACAACAACCCTAAATCACCACCTCTCTCATCTAGAGCTACCTGTTTGACCACGATACATTGGAGAGTATTAAAATTAAAAGAAGGGCACTTATTACAGTGCACTGGCACTGAATGAGTTAACATATATTTTCTGATGTTATTTCAATGCTCCTGAAATCTAATTTTAGCTTTTCTTCCCGTCCTCCCCACATATTGCAACCCACATCCACATGTCAGAAGGTATACAACATGTGTGGAAGAACAGGAAACTAAACTTTTTATTTTAAATGTCTTTTTGGTTTGGGTACTACTGAAATTAGTGACAATTTTGTGTCGGTGATTACAATTAACACAATTTCCACAGGTATGAAAACCTTCTTTGGCCTAATTCCGAGAGGCCTTAGACTTGAAAAAAGACCTGCAAATGGGCTAGAAAAATCTAAACATATTGAACGATGGGATTCAGCATTAGAGAAATGCTCAATTATTCTTATGGAGATTATTGTTGATTTTGAAAAAGAGAATTTAAAAGATGTTTCTAACGAAATGAGCAAATTAACTGAGTCAAATAATTTAGATAGAGATTCTCCTGAATTTAAAACAAAGGAGAAAATACTTTTTGAAAGGATAGAAAAGTTAGATGACAACATTGCACAAACTAAAAATAAAAAATACCTAAGAGATAAAAATGACAAAGTTAATAATGCTCATTCTACTCTTAACAAAATAGACAGAAAAATTAGATATAGAGAAAGTGGTAGATCCAATTATAAGAATGCTAACAGAGAAATAACATTTTTGGAAAGAAATCAATCGGGTTCACGTCCACGATGACATACATCTTCATCTGATCGTTTTGCCAATAAATCCTCCTTTAGGATAAAAAATGATAAATTTACTCAACCCCCCTTGACCTCCAGGTCTAGACCAGATTCTTCCCCTATAGAAAGAACAACTACCTCACCCCAGGTTTATGACAACCAATCTAAGAGGGATTTTTTAGGGAAGGGGCGAGACCGAAGAAAGGGAGAAATAACAGAGTTCTTTCCCCCCAGGTCTCAAGAACTACCCCTAACCAATCGATTCATGCCATTAAGAGAGAGAAATACCCCAGGGAATAGGAGATTGAGTGGAGGGACAATGGGGGTCTGATACTTACTCAATTAGAGGAAGAAAAATTGGGTGTTTTCACTATTTCCAAATTTGACATAACTTCTCAAGAAATTCTTCTTTTAAGCAAAGGTCTGAAGTTGGTTCCAGAAGAACCACCAATTTTTTTTCAGTTATTTATAGATGCTCAAAAGTTCATTAGAAAAATGTCAATTAAGAGATTTTTTATAAAGAAAAATATGGAAGGTTATACAAATGATGCATCTAATACAGATAAAATTGTACACAAGTTTAAACCTAAATCCAAATTTTGTCCAAATGAAAAAGGGAGTCAGATTGAGGCATTTAACAAAATGATAATTAGAGATTTTGAGAGACTTGGAAAGAAAAATAATAAGGGATCTAAATGTAAAATCTTGAGAGACTTGAAAAATAGGAAGGAATTGACCATCAAGAGTGCCGATACGGGAGGTGGCATTGTAATCATGTCAACCGATTATTATATGACTGAGATCTATAGATTACTTGAGGACCACCTTACCTATAAAAAGCTAACCTACAACCCGAACTTCAAGTTTAATCAAGAACTTAAGATCCTTTTAAATAAGGCTAAATTGTCAGGTGCCCTTGATGAACTTACTTACTCCTTTATTTTTTTTGAATTCCCCCAAGGTACCCACTCTATATTTTCTTCCGAAAATCCACAAATGTAAAGAAAGACCACCTGGTAGGCCGATCATTAGCGGCATAGATTCTCTGACATCGAAGCTCTCTGAGTATATTGATTTCCATCTACAGAAATATGCTCAGGGAGCGATGTCATACCTTAGAGATACCAAACATCTGATCCAGGAATTAAAATCAATTAAGTGGATGGATGGATATGTTTGGGTTACCCTAGATGTAACCTCTCTCTACACCGTTATCGATCATGATCTCGGTGTTAAGGCAGTTAAGAATAATCTAGACAACGACATCAATCTTACACCCCTATTCCGTACTTTTTTGGAAGAAGCTATTCATTTTATTTTAACTCACAATTTTTTTTAGTTTTAATAAAGAATTTTTCCTCCAAACTAAGGGTACAGCAATGGGCACCAAGTTTGCACCTAGTTATGCCAACGTATTTATGGACTACTGGGAGAGATTGTCTATTTGGTCCAACAATCCCTATGGTGCAAACTTGGTGCTCTGGAAGCGCTATACTGACGACATTTTGGTCACTTGGTGCGGTCCCTTGGATGAATTGGAGGATTTTTTTCAAATATATTAATCTCAACTCTCTATCTTTAGTATTTACCCCCCAGGTGGGCATCTCCAATATCGATTTTCTAGATTTATCCATTTTCATTGAAAATGGGGACATCAAAACGAAAACCTTTTTCAAGATTACCGACACGAACAGCTTCATTGACACTGCAAGTGGACACCATCCAAACTGGCTTAGGGGTGTTCCCAAAAGCCAGTTCATTAGGATGCGCAGAAACTGCAGTGATTTAGATATGTTTTATTCCCAAGCGAATATTTTGAAAAGTCGGTTTCTAGAGAAAGGTTATTGTCCGGAACTTCTAGATGCTGAGATAATAAGAGTAGGGAATATTAATAGAGATGACTTTTTGGTTAATAAAAATAAAACGGATGTTAGAAACCCTATGTTCGATTTCTCTTTCAATACCCAATATAGTTCCAGAGCCTTCGACGTACAGAATATCATTAAGAAACATTGGGGGCTACTTATTGAGGATGACTACTTAAACACCCAGATTCCACAGGTTCCTAAAATTATCTTTAGGAAGGGAGTGAATTTTAAACAAATTCTTGCACCTAGTACCTTCTGGTCAGGGAATGAAACAGCTAAAACCAAAGAAGGTTTTCGTACCTGTGGAAATTGTGTTAGTTGTAATCACCGACACAAAATTTTCACTAATTTCAGTAGTAACCAAACCAAAAAGACATTTAAAATAAAAAGTTTAGTTTCCTGTTCTTCCACACATGTTGTATACCTTCTGACATGTGGATGTGGGTTGCAATATGTGGGGAGGACGGGAAGAAAAGCTAAAATTAGATTTCAGGAGCATCGAAATAACATCAGAAAATATATGTTAACTCATTCAGTGCCAGTGCACTGTAATAAGTGCCCTTATTTTAATACTCTCCAATGTATCGTGATCGAACAGGTAGCTCTAGATGAGAAAGGTGGTGATTTTAGGGTTGTTGTTGAGAAAGAGAGAGGGATATTGAATTCACACTTTACAAACTATGCAGCCAAAGGGACTTAATGTTGATTTTGATTTGGTTTGTTTTCTTTAATAAGTTTATTATTTCAATATTATTATTATTATTTGTATTATTATTCATTTGTTCATTTTCATATTTTTATTTATATTTATTTTTATTAAAAATTTTTTATTTTAATTATATTTTTATTTTAATTATATTTTTATTCCCTTTTTCTTTTCTTTTTATGTTTCCATTCTATTTCATTTTTATTTTTATTTTATACATTATCTTATCTTTTTATTTTAATTTATCTTTTCCTTATATTTTTTCACATTATTATATTTTGTTATTTTGATTGATGTTGTTTCTGGATCACTATTCTTGGGTGAAGGTTGAGACAAATTTATTGTTGGAATCTTTATGAATGTATAATCAATCTCGAAAAGATGTTGTATCAATTTCTTTTGTGATTCTTTTGTTTCTATGGTGGTATGCAAATTGTCAAGTGGAACGCACATCGGTGCGTTATCATTGGCCTCATTTTGAAAACGAGGATTGAACCACATTTCCGGAAGAGCTAAATACATTCGGAAGTAGTTATTACGATGAACCCGGAAGTCCGTCATGCGTCATCATCTTTGGCCTCATTTTGGAAACGAGGCTTGAATTGTACTCCAGGAAGGATTGAATACATCTGGAAGTATTTGTTATGACGAACCCGGATGTGCGCTGCCGATAGGCCCGACCATCCGGTGTGCCAAAATTTAAAGATTTAAAAGAGGACTCAGAGTTTAGAGACATCAATGCTGGTTAGAAGGAAGCTTTATTTGCTCCTGAGGAAGTTCAATTATTTGAACGAAACGCGTAGGGCTTTTTCTATTAGTGCAGACTTTTAGTATTTTATTTAGTTATTTGTAATTTTATTTTATTTTGTTTTATTTGTCAACATTGCTGTTCCTTCTGGTGCTCCATTTTATTGGGACCCTGTGATCAAACTGACAGTGTGTGATGTGCCTGTATTTCACTTCAATTTTGTAAGTGTATTTTTACATTATAATATTTATCTTTATTATGATACTCTGCACTATTACTATTATTTTCCTTTCCTTCTACATATTGGCCATGATGTCCTGCGAATTTTGAGTCTTCAATTAATCTGATGATATGCCTACAATCAATTTTGGTTTGTGAGTGCAACTACTACACCAACTTTTTATTTTTAAATTTCTAAAACCGTATTATACTATGTTGTTCTCTGTTATTATTGTATTGTAGATCCTTTTGTCTTTTGCACTATTTTGAGGACCTTGAGGAGTCCTTATCTACAGTACTTATAGTACAAGGGTAACTGTGTTTAGGATTTCTCCTATCTGTTGCCCACTAAGTGTGTGCTCTATCCACGTTTTGGTGTATCTGTACAGTTTCTGTATTTTTTTAAATATGAAGCAAGTTGTAATACTCAAACAATAACAAGTAAGCACTATAAATGCTAGTGTAACAGCTTCATTTTTTTTTTTTCTGACTAAAGTTCCGCAAATATTAATATTGGCAGATCAGATTTGTAGTTGTGTTTTTTTTGTTATTTTGTTTTGTTTGTGTTCATGCATTGTAATGATTGGGCAGTGATCATATTGAAAACCATTATTCCTACAGTACTAAAACACCATTAATGTCACCATTGAAAATGTTGTCAAATAATATAAACATTTTTATTCATTCGTCTAATTGACCCTCTCTTATGTGACAGAAAAAGACAAAAAGAAATTGGATAAGAATGATGACTTTGATGGAAACTCTCTGTTGGCTTCTGCTGCGCTTATGCCCCCCATCTGGGATAAAACCATTCCTTATGATGGTGAATCCTTTCATTTGGAGTACATGGACCTGGATGAGTTCTTACTGGAGAATGGGATACCATCCAGCCCAACACATTTGGCCAAGAGTATCCAGAACTCCCTCATATCTGTAGCTGAACTGGAAAATGAAGAAGAATCCGCATCCACATCTTCTTCGTCACCTGTATCACCCTCTGTGCTGTTGCAGCAGTCTGAAGAAAAAGGTAACATTACAGGGAGGCCATTGAAAAATATTATGATGCATGATAGATAGTTTTGACAGCGTAAATTTATTTATTTTTTTAAATTGCCAAATGTATTATTTATATGTGTGTATTTGTCGTTTCTGCTCATAACAAAAAGGGGTTGCTCCAGCAAAGACCTTGGATATCTAATACAAAAGGGTTTTATTTTATAAGGTAATTTGACAGTGTTGGTGTTAGAGTAAGCAATTGCAACACTACAACTCCAATGAGAAGGTTAGAATTTTAATTGCAAACAAATCTGATTTAAAAACTCTACATAGTTGCAGCTGGTATGTGTAGTCTTTACATGATTGAAATCACTTCAGAGTGCTGAACTACATATATGTTCAGTTTCTTATTATACATTGCAGGTTAATGGATTTTGAATACCTGGTGTGAAACCAGATGTTGCATCCCATGCCATTTTACTGGCTTCCTTATGGTTAAAAGTGCGCGTATTAGTCAGGATCTAGATAGCTCTAGTGTATATTGATTATTAAAGCAGCACCTACTACCCCAGTGCAATGGAGTCCTCTTTAACACTAAGAAAAACCTATGAAGGTATAGGGAGCTAGATTTGTGCAGAAATTAATACTCATTTGAGGTTGACATTTTGCATTTTTAAAACGCTAAACAAAGTTAACTGACATTTCAGAAACTGAAATAAAGAATGAGGATGATCCTCCAAGCCCAATAGATCCAGATAAAGTGGAAGTGGAAGTAAACTTCAATCCAGACCCAACAGACCTGGTTCTTTCCAGTGTCCCGGGAGGGGAGCTCTTTGACCCCAGGAAGCACCGTTTTGCTGAAGAGGAGCTTAAACCGCAGCCCATGATCAAGAAAGCAAAGAAAATCTACGTACCAAATGAAATGAAGGTACATGCAACATCTAAGTGGGACATGTATGACCCACTTTTAAGCTGTTTTAATTTTTTTTGTAAAACCTTTGCCTTTAAAATGACCACATTGAACAGTTATTTTTATTGCGGTGTCTTATTGGTTTACAGTGTAAACCTGGGAGGAATGAATAATTTTTTGCATGTTAATTCTCTCAGCTCATTTTATTTGGGGGTTTAACCAAACTGCAATATTGCTCTCAAAGCTTGATATAGGTTTAATCAGCTCATTGTATATTTTTCTGCTTAATTTGCTATAGGATGAAAAATACTGGAACCGACGGAACAAGAACAATGTGGCAGCCAAACGTTCCCGTGATGCAAGACGGCTGAAAGAGAATCAAATCACTGTCCGAGCAGCATTTCTGGAAAAAGAGAATACCGCGCTACGTATGGAAGTGGCAGAACTGCGCAAGGAGTTGGGAAAATGCAAGAACATAATATCCAAATACGAAAGCCAGTATGGACATGTGTAAGCATCCTCCATTTTATTAACCCCTTTCCTTCCTTGGGCAATACCAAACACATGATTACAGCCCATAATAATATGGAAGCATATTATCTTATTTACAAACAGACTGTTAAAGAGCACTTAGCTGGGAGGAAGACCTAATGGATCTCATTCAAATGGAGACTATTTTTGCAGTTTTAAAGACACAAACGCAGTTTTAAAGACACAAACATTTTATTTATCTTTTTTAAAGTGAAAAATAAAATTGGAAAATAAACATGGATTGTTTAATGTATACATACATCAGCCATCATTTATGCCAATCCTGGCTTATACGGTTAATATAATCGCATGCACAAGACTGGGTTTACCAGGAGAATATATAATTGATTTACTTATTAATGCCACATGCTTCTTAGAACAGTGGTAATTCAATAGTACTAGATACATGCAGGCCAGTGCTCTTTGTGTCTGAGCCCTGCGATATAACACAACCTGTAAGGACTGTGTATCCGGGCATAGAAGAAAACAATTTGGCTTGAAAATGCATCCGTTGGAGTTTAACCTTGATACAGGTATGTGTGGATTGCCCTTTCCACAATACTTTGCCTTTCTTTTAGACTGGCTGAGTGAGTAGGGAGTTGTCAGACATCTGCGCATGGCAAGATTAGCTGACTTTTGTGGACTGTATTTCCTTTAATGCTCTTTCTTTTTTTAACCTTGCAGTGCATTAGTGGACATTTAGTCCACACACATATGCAGTGCCAAGGCCAATCATTTTATGTAACGCTAACATATTCTGCAGTACTGTACAATAGGTAAATAAGATAAACCCTAAATTCAAACAAAATATGATTGGCATTATTGAACAGTAGGTGAAGAGTGGCTCTGCCCAAACAATCTAAAATCTTAGGGTTGCTATTGTTCGCCTTTAGACTTGCCAATCATTATAGGAAATGCAGTCGGTAAACATCTGCAGTACAAGGCTAACCACTGCATAAGTGCTGGTTTTCTTTCTTTAAAAAAAATTAAAAAAAATAAATAAAAATATATATATATATATATATATATATATATATATATATATTTTTTTTTTTTTATATTTTTTTTGTGCATTGAAAATACAAGACTGATGTGCGGCATAAGACAGAAAAAAACAAACATGAGAACTCAAACAGTGAAGTATAGATAGAGATAGATATAGATATATCTATATATAATCAAGCTAATCGGTCATGTCTAACAGTGAGGCAATTTTAGAGCTAAGCATAGTTTGGTATGGTATATATGTCTAGGTCAGAATCTAAATCGACGCTCAGGGTTTCATTAAACTAGCTAGACATGAGATTATAAAAATTGTAGGAATTCTAGTAAGTTAGGTTAGCTGGCTGGCTAATGCTTGATATTCCACTGGAGCTCGCCAGAACACTGCAATATACAAACTTTAAATGCAGCTGAGATCATTTAAAAAAAAAAAAAAAAGAGAGAAAATAAACCAAACACAGCAATAACTATAAAACCGGAGCATTAGTAGGGATCAAGATGGCTTCTAGCATCAAAAGAAAGAGGCTAAATGGGAACGTTAGAGTTGCCCAAACGGATTTTTGAATTTTATTTATAAAAACTAAAAATAATGTATTTAGTGCTGGATAGGAGTTAGAGGTGCACAAAGAGTTGTAAATCCAGCTTTGGGTATGTACAAAGCTTTTCTAGGATTCTAAAATAGACAGGTGTGTTTGTTTTGGAATAAAACCATGCAATTTATTAAAAAAGCTTTGAATTATTCATTTCGCCAGAAACTGTCTGCTAGTAAAGTAAGCTATTTCTTTTGCTTAAACTCATCTGTCAGTTTTTACATTTAGGTCCTTTTGTAGATATAGCCAGTGACAAATATCTGGATTTCTTGTAATTTTGTAGCTTCCTCTTTGACATATGCTTGTGAGAATAAGTATAAAAAAAAATCTGTTTTATATTAAATGTCCTTCATTTCAATTGCTCTAATTTAACTGAAATTTGATCTATAGCTTTCAAAGATTTGCATTAAACTAAAACTTGTCTGAATTAAGATGAATTGTATTTGGTTGATGCTTCTGTTGTCTGTTTCTTTAACTCCTACTGACTCTGTTTTGCTTTTATTTAAAGTGACTTCTCAGATTCAGAGTGACAGCTTTCAATATTTTTATTTTTTTATTTTAACAAAACAAAAAACATTTTCACAATAAAGTAGCAATTTTCTTGGACATGGTAACTGTGGATAGAACATTTGAACAGATGAATATTTCTGCAGATCCTGCCAATCATCGGAAAGCAACTTCGATACACATAAGAAGACTCACTTTTTGGAAAATGCATTGTTGGACAAAAAGGAATATTTTATAAATTTCATATAGGGTTTGCTTTATGTTTTTATATATATATCACCTCTCTTCCTTTATCCCATCTCTTTGTATTTAACAGTTAGTAACCAGAGTTTTGTTTAAAATGAATACTTTGCTTTCAGTGATGAAGTAGCTCTTGGCGAGAATGTGTCAAATTTGTACCCTACAGAAATATTATTTTTAGATGTGATTTTCTTTATCTTATCAAAGCTATTTAGATAGTTATGTGTATTAAAACTTTTTTTGTGTGTGTGGAATGTGTTTGTAGAAAAAAATAAACATTTTTTTTTGTAAATTTTTAATTTTTGTTGCTCATATAAGCACCACTGCATCAAAATAGATCTCAGGGATATTTCATTTCATGTTAATTTTATTGAGTTTGATACAAATGATTTTTGAGAATGTGATCATTTATTTACTTCCCTGCCCTCCCTGTGAGCATCATGGAAGTGAAACTGATTATCTGTAGTGTGTTAAGCTCACATGAGTTGACAAGTATCCTTTGTAAGAAATGATAATGTAATCGTAAAAGTTTTTTTAAGTATCAACAAATACAATAAATGTATGCCAAGTCTTCAAAGTTCTTTTTGTTAAAAATAAATTGTATATACAAATAAACAATACAAAAGTGTGCATAAAGTCAATTTAATGTATGTAATTAGATTTCCATCCTTAACATATGGATAGAAGTCATTTTACACTTGGCATGATTTAAAAATGGCATGAATGTAAAAAATGAAAAAGAAAACCATGAATTTCCAAGCGGGATATTTTGCTTTAAATCAATATCGTTCTATATTCCCTCGCTCTTTTTAATTGGTTTAAATGTAACGGCTATGTTGTCAGTATACACATGAATATTGGGAGATGCCATGTGTGCAGTTGATCCATTTCCTAACAGCAAAGCAATATCACACAATTCCTTCAATTCATGCATCTGATCTGTAAGAATAGTGGGATCCAGACACTATGGCCAAAATTTTAATATTTTTGGATATGCTTTTCAAATTATACTATGACCTATATATGTATGTATTTGTGTAAAACAAAAACAGAATTTAAAAGAGGGTGTACTTTTTTTCCCATGGATTTATATTCGTATGAAACAAAGTTTGTCTGCACTCACGATCTTTCAACAATGTAGTCTCTTTATTCAAAATACATACATATTTTGAGCGGCTGGCTCAATTGCCAATTGAACGAATAGCTGCAAAGGAGGGCAGGGCTTAATACACATGCTACATGTGTATCTAGCTGTCACGATTACTGTGTGACCCAACACGCAGAACTATATTAACACAAACTACATATACCGGACCTTAGAATGGCCGGACTTAACGTAAAAGAGAATGGTCAAAGAACAAGCCAAGGTCAGGGAAATTAGAAGGAGACAATACGAATAACTAGCCAAGGGTCAGAATACCAGAAGAAGGGAAAGTCAATAACCCCAAAAAATATACCAAGATCGCGCTCACTGACAACCAACAAGTGGAAACCACGACAGGGCCCTGAGAAAAGGCATTACAGGGTTTAAATATGCCGCTTAGTGCTGTGATTGGTTAGTACATGGCCTTTGACCCCCAAAGTGCGTGTGCGTCGATAACGTGACGTCAAATGCACGCTGGTGCCATCTTTAATGTGGGCAATGTGCCCTTAGAACGCTGCACCAGCGGCACTCCGACGTGATCCAGGTAAGTAATTTTTTTCTTTTTCGGTGTGACTGCCCTGCTCATGTGCGGCCGTGCCGATCAGGGACTTACTTTTATCTGAAGTATAGGGGCGGCCGCACTGATCAGGCGTGACTGTGTTGATACAGACCCCCTGCGCTGTGACACTAGCTTATGGGAGGGGAAAAGCTTGTAACTGGAAAGGCAGAGGGAAATAGGGATAGGTCGCCTCAGGTCATGTGACTACTTGTAGTGGCCATATTACAAGGGAAAATGTAAAACAGAGAATTGCTGAATAAATAGTGGTATGTAAAATCGCCCATAATTGTTAAAGGGACTCTCCAGTGCAAGGAAAACAATCCGTTTTCCTGGCACTGCAGGTCCCCTCTCCCTCCCACCCCCTGTTCCCGGTTGCTGAAGGGATGAGAACCCCTTCAGTCACTTACGTGAGACCCCCACCGATGTTCCTCGGCGGTGGTTTCGGGTTGCTGATGCTCCTCATTACGTCAGCCGGCGGGGGAGACCGATCCCGCCCACCGGCTGAGGAGACCTAATGTGCTGCCACGCATGCGCATTAGAGCTCTCCATAGGAAAGCATTGAAAATGCTTTTCAATGCATTCCTATGGGGAATTATGGGACACTGGAGGTCCTCACACAGCGTGAGGACGTCCAGCAACGCTTTAGCACAGGAAGTGCCCTCTAGTGGCTGTCTAGTAGACAGCCACTAGGGGAGGACTTAACCCTGCAATGTAATTATTGCAGTTTATGGAAACTGCAATAATTACAGCTGCAGGGTTAAGTCCCTGCAATAATAGACAGGTGCTGCAATAATTACAGCTGCATTGGAGTTGGCACCCAGACCACTCCAATGGGCATAAGTGGTCTGGGGGCCTGGAGTGTCCCTTTAACACACACCTGAACTCTCCAAACTAGCCAACGGCTAAAACATTGACTTTTGTAGAGGGGGTCACACTTGCTGATGTTCAATTAATCAAGGGTATTGATTAGCAGCACCTGTCTACTAACTAGCCTCTTAATTCCCATGCACATAATACTTAGTTTTTCACACATGGCTTCTCCATTTTGGCTTTATTTTTGTTAAATAAATCGTGACACAGTGTAATGTCATTTGTGCATCTGAGGTTGTAGTTATACCTAATTTTAAGATCTGATAAAGAACAGCTGAAAATGTCCTGATTTGTAAAACCATAGAATTCAAAGAGGGGTCCTTTCTTTTTCTCGTGTGTGTATGTATGCATGTGTGGTCAGGGACAATAAGCCGAGTTTATAGTAGTGGTGGTGTAAATCGGTTGTGGTGTGCCAAAACCGACATGCAGGTAGGCATGTAAAAAGTTGAACACTTTAATACTAGAGATGTCGCGAACTTCTCGCGAACGGTTCACCGCGAACTCCGGTCAGCTGACACGTCCCGGCCAATCTCCAGCAGACCCTCCCTCCCAGACCCTTCTACTTCCTGGACCATGCTGTCCAGTAAGTAGGAGGGTCTAGGAGGGAGGGTCTGCTGGAGATTGGCCGGGACGTGTCAGCTGACCTGAGTTCGTGGCGAACCGTTCGCGAGAAGTTCGCGACATCTCTATTTAATACATGTTGACGTTACATAACCAATATTTTAAATGACTGCCTCAATTCCCTCTTGAGTTGAGGGATGCATTTGCTGTATGCAGATGATCTCCCCCTTCCCAGCCATCAATTACATTTACTGGGATATTCCACTAGAGAATGCAGAAACTGTTCCTTTTCTAAAATAATGATCTGGAAATGTTGAAGGTTGTATCCAGGTAGTTTTATTGTGTTCTGAGCTAATTTAAGGTTTAGGTGGCAAAAGCATGTGAACGCCAGCATGATATTGATTGATTATGGATTGACGATTATAAATTCTGAAGTTAATTTATTAAAAATGTTCAGAGCTCTAATAAATGAACGGTTGATATTGGTGTTGAATTGAGTTCGATAGAACATAAATCTGTGAAATGAGCGTTGGAGCAGCCAAAAAGCACAAGAGAGTGGTTTAATGCCTGCGAAGTGATTAGTTCTGCCTAATAGGCTCTGATCTGAAGGGTGTTGAATTGAGCCAAAGCCACGGCTGACGTGGCCTAAAAAAATTAGCATTAGTCATAGAATATATAACCATCATACTCGTGCCCCAGGTCCACCATTTTATATAAAAAGGAGATCTAGGTCTTCCCTATAGTGTGGGAACGTGTAACAGGTGACGTCTCTATATAGACCAAAGGGAATAGAAACGTACTGAATTAATAGAAAGTATATTTGTTCATACATACATACATACCTTGCCCACATAGTGTGCGGTTGAGCTTGAGAATAGAATATCAGAGAGAAGAACCTAAAGACACAATAGGAACGCTAATGAGAATATGTCCAGGATGGTGTTCGTGCTAACCAGAGTAAAGAGTATAATGTACCGGTGTTGTGGTTAACGATTAAAACGCCAACAAAAGGATAAGTAGGGATAGTAGAAACCAAGATAATAATAGAACTTATGATTATGAGCATAAACCTAGGCCAATCAATATGGATATGAAAGAGATATACTTAGTAGTGCTGCATCTAATTATGAGTTCCCACGAGAAGGACCTGAAGTATGTATGAGAAAGATGGAAACATCTCTAGTTTACTTGCAGGAAGCAAAACATGTGAGATCTAGTAAGTACCTGTGACAGGAGTAGTGGATTAGATAAGGCTTAGGTAAAACCGTGACAGACCGAGGAGGCCTGAGGTTCTCAGGAGGTCAAAGAGAGTGTCGTCTAAGAAAAAAAGTGTGTGAGCCTAACAAGGCCGAGAGGAATAATCAAACGTAGTATGATACGGAATTGTCACATTTAATTGTCCAAATGAGGGGCCGAAATTGTCTCGTAGTGGATTGCCCAGGGATGGCCATATGTAATCTATGGAGTGAAGGCCTAGTGTGGGCCGCGTGTAGTGGTTTTGCAGCGGAAATGGGAGAGTGCTAAATGTAAGTCTTATGTTGTATGTAATAGCCCAAATAAGGGGCCGGGATGTGTTATAGTGGAGTGATACAAAAAGATATGGAAGGGCTGCGCCAAATAAGGGTAGATAGTCCAGTAAAGTATTGCTAGGGTGCCAATAGACGGTCTAGGATACTTGATAGAGTTCCTCTGTGGATGCATCTAGTGTAGACCGTTCCGTATATGTAAATACAAGAGAGGTAGAGGCGACTAATGGTATAGTATGAAAGTTCAGGGTGTGATAGGTAACAAAAAGTAGAGAACTCACATTCAAGAGAGCTATGGCCAGCTCTGGTGTGGATTGCGTACAGCTGTATAATCCCCACTTATGGGATATGTAGGGAGGGGGTCTCCGTCAACACCGTCTGGTAGTCCAGAACTCGGAAAAGAAAGACAGAAAGCGACAATAGTGCTCTCAGTTTTGATGTGGTTCAATGTGCAGATAAGAAGAGGTAAAAAAATCACATTTGAGGGAGCTATGGCCAGCTCTGGTGTGGATAGCGTACAGCGGTATAATCCCCGCTTATAGGATATGTAGCGGCGATACGTCCGTCAGCACCGTCTGATGATCCAAGGCTCCAATATAGAAGAATAAAAAGCAGCAATAGTGCTCTCAATTGTGATAGGTTAAGAGAGTAGTAGAGAAAATAAAATAATACTCACAAAGAGAGAGCAGAGGTACTGCTCTATGGATAGGCGCTAGTGGTATGATCCCCACCTAGGATTTCTTGGAGTACTGGAACTTTAAAATTGCCAGTGGAAGTAAAAGTAACCAGGAAAGGTTAAAATGCCAGGAATAGGTAAAAAAAATTGTTTAAAGTGCATAAAGAGTGCAATAAAAAGAGGATTGGTACAATAAAGTAGCCAAAAAACTTTTATTCATCTAAAATACACAGTAAAATACAGAATTAATAACCATAAACGCGTTTCACCATAAGGGGCTTCTTCAGAATGGGAAGATTCGTGATATTCCGTGTCAAAATGACCTGATCCCTGGGAGATACCTGTATGTGGTAGCTTTCTCGCATCATATACGTGTGATGTTGTGTAGGGGTCAAGTGCGTGCTGTCATGTTCCCCTTCAAGGCTCGTAGTCGAGGCTCGAGGGTTGTGGGGAGGGAAAGAGAGAATAAGGGTAGAGAAACCTGGTGAGGATAATAGTTGTGTCCCTGGTGAAGTTCGTCTCTGTCGGGGTCGTCTGAGGGTAGGGAATCTTGTCCTGGGTCATGTGCAGTCGTGTGATGCGTTGGTGTAACGTATGAGTGGCGAGCAGGCTCTGCTGCTCTCAGTGGCAGAGGTTGTGTGTGTCCTGACTTATGTTAGCCTCTCTTCGCATTAGGCTAAGGGGGTTGTGGAAGTGGCTTCTGTGTTGATAAGTAGGTACGCCACATCTCGGCAATAGATGGGCTTAGCTTCCCAATTTTCAGTTGGTTCCACATTTGGAGTTCATAGTCCACTGTCGTCGACAACAAAGTTGTAATTTCCTGGATTGAGGGAAGAGTAGCTATTAGAGTGGAGACTGTGCTCAATATGAGATATATAATTTTTTTTGCTGGTTTGGGGGTGGTATCAAGGAGTGATCGTAGTAGGATCGTTTTTGGTTCGTGAGGCAGGGTACATTCTGTAGTTTCTTGGATCATTCGTTCCATTGTTTTCCAAAGTTCGTTTACAGTGTGGCAGGTCCACCACACATGTAACATTGTGCCTCTGTGCGAGTTGCAGCGCCAACATATGTCCGTCGTTTCAGGGTATATGGTGTGCAAACGTGAGGGTACCATGTACCACCTATAAAGCAGTTTGCGTGATGTTTCGAAGTGGGCCGCGCAGGAGGACAAACCCTTGTGCGCCGTGAAGATTTTCTTCCATTCTCGTGGGGAAATAGTTTCTTAGAGGTCTTCCTGCCAGTCGTTCATGAATTTCCATGTGTCGTCTGTTTTGAGGTTTGCTAGGCTGTCATAGCAGGTGGATAGCACTTTTTTCGGGGTTGTTGCTGACATGCATTGCATTTCGAACTTCGTCACTGTGGTTCGTAATGTCTGTCTTCTGTTGTGGATCGAGTTGTCTTTCAGTAGGGCTTTTAATTGTAGGTATGCAAACGTGAAGTTCGACGGGAGTGAAAACTCGGTTTGGAGGTCTGGGAAGTGTATCAGGCCTTCAGACGTGTAGAGGGGGTACATATGTGTGATGCCTCTTTCTTCCCATTTTTGGTGCGGGAATGTGCCATTACAGTGATGCAGAGTTTTGATTGGGGCAGCTAGTGCCCATGGGTGAGCTGAGCATAACTTTTCCCTGCAATTATCCCATGTGGATAGTAAGAGTTTGGTGGTGGGCAACATGTCCGTGGTTCTTGGTCTTTCGTGTTTGGGAGTCCATAGAGTGGAAGATAGGTCATTGTTGGTGCAGAGCTGGTTTTCTAACACTACCCATTGTGGAGGTTGTTTCGTTGTGTGTGCGTTGATGACACTTGTGAGTAGGGCTGCGTAGTAGTATGATTTTAGGTTAGGAAATCCCATTTCACCTTGTTTTATGTGTCTGAAGAGCTTTAGGTACCCTGGGGTGCTTTCCACTCCAGCAGAAACGAAGGAGGATTGCTTGCAGGCTCATCAAGTAGCTCTGTGGGATCTTGATTTGCAGGGACCGGAAAAGATACAGGAGTTTAGGAAGTATTGTCATTTTGATAGCCGCTATCTTTCCGACCCATGATAAGAATACATTTTTCCAGCTGTGTAGCTGTTTTTCAATTTCCCGTAGCAGTTTTGTATAGTTCGCTGTGAAGAGATCAGTGGGTTTGTTGGTTATCCTGATGCCTAGGAACGTTAGATGATCAACTCTCCAGTCGTATTCGTGGGCAGATTTTAGGACGTTTTCAGTGGCTCTGGGTACATTGAGGCACATCGCTTGTGTCTTGGTGATGTTGAGTTTGTAGTAGGATTGTTGGCTGTATGTGTGTAATTCTTCGTGTAATGAAGGGAGAGAAATGAGTGGTTGGGTGAGCGTGAGTAGTATGTCGTCCGCGAATAGATTGAGTTTGTACTCCTGTTGGCCAAGTGGCACTCCATGTATGTTGTTGTTCTTGCGGATGGCTATTGCCAGTGGCTCTAGGGCTCGGACGTACAGGAGGGGAGACAGAGGGCATCCTTGGCGGGTGCCGTTGGTTATCGGGAAGGGTTGAGAGCAGAACCCTGAAGTCAGTACTGCCGCTGTGGGGTTGCTGTATAGGGAATGTATGACAGACAGGAAGGGCGGTGGAAAGCCGTAGAGGGTCAGGGCTTCGTGAAGGAAGTGCCAGTTTAGGCGATCAAACGCCTTTTCGGCGTCTAGCGAGAGCATAATGCTCTCTATTTTAGTCCGTTTTAGGAGGTGGTGTATGTTAAGGACCTTTCTGGTGTTTTCTGGGCCCTGTCTGCCTGCTACGAAACCTACTTGGTCTGTATGAATAAGGGAAGGTAGTATTGTTTTAAGGCGGTCAGCATGAATTTTTGCGTAAAGTTTAGCATCTGCATTAAGCAGCGAGATTGGCCTGAAATTTTGGCATATAGTTGGAGGCTTTCCTGGTTTGGGTATTGTGATTACGTGAGCTGACATATGTATAACTTTTTTGACATGCATTTTCTGGATTTTTTATTTTGTTATTCTGTCTCTCAGTGTTAAAATACACCTACCATTAAAATTATAGACTGATCATTTCTTTGTCAGTGGACAAACGTTCAAAATCAGCAGGGGATCAAATACTTTTTTCCCTCACTGTATTCATGTTTCTCTCATACCTCCCTGTCTCGTCTTTCTTCCAAGCTATACATATTAAGATATTTTAACCTTTTCTGGCAAGTTTTACCATTTTTTAAATCCATGAACCAGTTTTGTAGCTCTTCTCTGAACTCTCTCTTTATTAAGTACTAATATGCTTCTAAAGATACGATCTTCAGTACTGCGTACAATACTCCTATTGAGGTCTCACCAGTGTTCTGTACAATGGCATGAGCACTTCCCTCTCTCTGCTGCTAATACCTCTCCCTACACAACCAAGCATTCTGCTAGCTTGATAAAGATACGGTAGGGTCGAAACATTGCTGTTTTTGCCCTAATAAACTGCTATTTTTGTTATCCTGGAGTGCCTGAACCGTTATTTATTCTGCATATCTTAGACATAGGAACCTTTGTAAAGTGTCTTTCTGTTCCCAGTGATGGTAACAATTGTACATACACAGGAAGTTGTACATAATCAATTATATATAATTGCCACACAGCACTTTGTGGTCTTCAAATTTTATGTTTAGTGTTATGTTTGTTTTTGGTTTTCATGTGGAATTTGTGTGCAATATATGCTTTTCTATGTAAAAAAAAAAGAAAAGAAATAAAGAATATTATAAACAAAAGATGCCGCTGGGCCAGACGCAGCTGTGCCCCTTGAGCTTCGAGGGAGGCGGCAGTTCTTTACCCAAGTCAGGTAAAGAACCAAAAGTGACAAACCAATGATAGACAAACTTAGTATATCAATAAACAGTGTGCTTGCATTATGTAAAACATAGAATCTTTAAATGTTGTTCTGTAAATAATCAAATAAACATTTTTAGTGCAGACCATCTGGTTAATCTTATATATACACAATATAAAGTGCAGGGAGTATCTGGGCTTAAACTCACATTTTCCAGAGCCTAATCACCTATGGCTCTGGGTTTTAAAAATGCAGCTTCATAGGGATACTTCCCACAACAGTATAGATATTGTCAACTCTCAGGTATGTTCAGCCAGACATGTTCTTCTTTATAAATAGGAGACAAGCAGAGAGGCCAGGAACTTAATTGAACAGTATCCAAATCTTTATCATAATAAAACAAGTTAAACACTCTTACTTAAATTGTGGGTGGTATTGCCAGAAAGATACCGACAACAGAGCATGTAAAACAAGTGCTTTTACAGCACTGTAACTTCACAAAATAGCGTCTATGTCATACATTGGGCATATTGTTTTACTCAGAAGATGTAAGGAATTTTATCACAATGGCACATTCAAGTATACAAAATACCCAGCAGAAATGCAATGTGTATGTAATAAATTCCATTGTTTACTTCACCACAAACATTGACATAAATTGGTGATAAAATGGTGGCAAGTTAAGGCACAATATACACCATATAAGATACCCTGGAGTGTCTGCTTTCTCAAATGGAAGGCCTCTGTGAGGTTATTTGTACAGCCAAACTGCTATAATGCCCCAAAATGAGAAATAGGCCCATCAAAATCCGTCAATGAAAATTCTAACTATAGAAATTGAAATAGCTTTGTCTTTTATATGGCATTGTATCAGATCAGGACACTGGTGGATCCAAAGTCTTATCTCGGGAGGGGCACTCATACAATCTAGGCACAGTAACCACTACAGCTCTCTGTAGTGGTTATGGTGCCAGGAGTGCCGTGGCGCCCTCCCAGAGTAAATAGTCAAACGGTTTAAAAACAGTTTGACAATTTACCTGGGGTCTGCCAGGATAGGGGCTGTAGTAGGGGATAGAGGTTCCAGTAGTGTGTGTGTGTGAGAGTAGGTAGTGTGTATGGGAGGCACTGAGTGTGTGAAGGATGCAGGGTGGGTATGGGAGACAGTGTGTGAGGGGTGCAGAGTGTGTGTGTGTGTGTTTGTGTGTACGGGAGGCAGTGCATGTGGGCCAGTGTGTGTATAGGGGTGCAGTGGGAGCACTATGTGTAGGAGGGACAGTGTGTGTTTGTGTGAGGGATGTAGTGTGTGCATGGGAGTGCAGTGGAAGCACTGTGTGTATGGGGCCAGTGTGTGTATGGGAGTGCAGTTGGGGAAGTGTGTGTATGGGGGTGCAGTGTTTGTATGGGGAGCACTGTGTGTATGTGGGTGCAGTGTTTGTATGGGGAGCACTGTGTATATGTGGGGTACAGTGTTTGTATGGGGAGAAGTGTGTGTGTGTGTGGGGTGCAGTGTTTGTATGGGGAGCACTGTGTGTATGTGGAGAAGTGTGTGTGTGGGGTGCAGTGTTTGTATGGGGAGCACTCAGGGCCGGATTAACATAGGGGCTGACAGAGCTGCAGCTCCAGGCCCAGGCCCAGGCCCATGGAATAGGCCCATTGATTTAAAAAAAAAAAATAAAAAATCTTTTTTACATTTTTTTTTTCACACACTACTCTTAGGCATTTCACCTGGCTTTTATTTTATTGGAACAGCCAGTATTTGAGGCTGCCTGGCTGGTGCCAATATTGCAGTGATACTGGCAATACAAATGCTGGTATTTTTCTCAGTTTAACCCCTTAAGGACGGAGCCAAATGTACACGTTGTGAACGAAACAAAATGTAAACAAAACCTGGCATTTGCGCTACACGTCTGTCCAACCGTAATTCACCTATTTCATATTAAATGCACCAACCCTTATTATATATCATTTTATTCAGGGGAAACAGGGCTTTCATTTAATATCAAATATTTAGCTGTGAAACATAATTTGATATGAAAAAAAATTGGAGAAAATAAGATTTTTTTTGATTTTTTTAGTTCTACATGACATTTTAACTGTCAATGTCATAATACAGTTTGCTTTTACTGCAATAAAATACACAGATTTGTATTCAGCAAAGTCTTACGTGTAAAACAGTACCCCCTATGTACAGGTTTTATGGCGTTTTAGGAAGTTACAGGGTCAAATATAGCACGTTACATTTGAAATTGAAATTCGCCAGATTGGTTACGTTGCCTTTGGGACTTTATAGTAGCCTAGGAATGACATTTACACCCATAATGGCATACCATTTGCAATAGTAGACAACCCAATGTATTACAAATGGGGTATGTCCAATCTTTTTTAGTAGCCATTTGGTCACAAACACTGGCCAAAGCTAGCGTTAGTATTTGTTTGTGTGAAAAATGCAAAAAACGCCAATTTTGGCCAGTGTTTGTGACTAAGTGGCTACTAAAAAAGACTGGACATACCCCGTTTGCAATACTTTGGGTTGTCTACTATTGCAAATGGTATGCCATCATAGGGGTAATTTTCATTCTTGGGCTACCATAGGGTCTCAAAGGCAACGTAACCAATCTGGCGAATTTTAATGTGAAAAAATGAAACGCAAGCCTTATATTTGACGCTGTAACTTTTGAAAACACCATAAAACCTGTACATGAGGGGTACTGTTGTACTCGGGAGACTTCGCTGAACACAAATATTTGTGTTTCAAAACAGTAAAAAGTATCACAGCAATAATATCGTCCGTGTAAGTGCTGTTTGTGCGTGAAAAATGCAAAAAACATCACTTTTACTGGCGATATCATCGTTGTAATACATTTTACTGTTTTGAAACACTAATATTTGTGTTCAGCGAAGTCTCCCGAGTAGAACAGTACCCCCCATGTACAGGTTTTATGGTGTCTTGGAAAGTTATAGGGTTAAATATAGTGCTAGCAAATTAAATTCCCTTTACTTTCGGCATGGGTTGTCAGGCAGGTCCCGCTAATTGTAATTAATTAAGATACCTAATTATGTAAAAATATTACATAAATATATATGTAGAATTAATATATGTATATATATACGTATGTGAATCTATATGTGTATATATATATATATTTTTAAAAAATATTTTTATTTATATATAGGTATATATATAGTGATATATACGTATATATTTATGTATGTAGATATATATATTATTTCGTTCTACGTGTATTTTGATATAAATATATATATATTAATATCACAATACAGTTACAACGAAATAACACACATCTATACATTTTTTTATTTTTTTTATTATTTTTTAATTTTATTTTTTAACGTATTTACATATTTTTTTTTATATTATATATAAATATATATATATATAACAATAATTATATATATATTTAATCAGTATCAGTCTATGTGTAATTTGATATTAATATATATATATAATTAGTGTGTGTATGTATATGTGTACATATATACTTAGATCATATATATATAATCTAAGTATATATATATTTTTTTTACACTTAATTAATTTTATTTTATTTCATTTCCAGCCAGCAAGGGGACCACCTGTCATTACAGGCAGCCCCCCTGCTGGCAATACTGAAGCCAGCTATACCGGCCATGTGATTGTGGGGTCTTTGCAAGGACCCCACTCTCACATGGCCGGGGGGGCTTCCAGGGGGTCGGACGTGCTGCGGGGGGCTGCCGGCGACCGGATAAGTAATGAAAGACCGGAGGGCGTACTATTATGCCCGGCGGCATTTAGAGCCGCCTAAAATAGGGCGTAATTGTACGCCCTCCCGTCTTAAGGGGTTAAACAAGAGATTACTATGCAATACCAGCACTGGCCAGTAGGGGTCACTGTATGTGGAGACAGGCAGGGATAGGAAGTTCCAGCATATCCCTCCCTGCCTATCTATACTCACTGATCTGCAGGGGTGCAGCTACAGAGTCCAGACAGCAACTCCCACCCTGCAGAGACAGCCTACAGCTCAGGGAAGTAAGGGATGGGGGAAAGGCTGCAAGGAGACATACACTGAGACACTAAGGGACATTGGGAGACATTATGACACAGACACATGTCTCCCAGCCAGTATCCCTGGTGTCTCAGTGCCCCCTAGTCTCCCAGTGCCCCCAGTCTGCCAGTGGCTCACTGTCCCCATGTCTCCTAGTGCCTCCATGTCTCTCAGTGCCTCAAGTGTCACAATGTCCCCAAGCTAGTGTCCCTAGTGTCTGTGGCCCTGGTGTCTCAGTCCCCCCATGTCTCCCAGTCCCCCCATGTCTCAATGTCCCCATGTCCCCCAGCCAGTGTCTCTGGTGTCTGTGTCCCTGGTGTCTGTGTCCCCATGTCTTCAAGTGTCCCCTATTTTTCCATTGTCCCCATGTGTCCCAGCCAGAGTCCCCTAGTCTCCCAGTGTCACTGGTGTCTCCGTGTCCCTAGGTCTCCCCTTGTCCCCAGGTCTCCCCGTCTTCCTAGTGTCCTAGTGACATGGGGACCCTGGGATACATGGGGACACAGGGAGACATGGAGCATTCAGACACTGTGATACATAGGATCACTGGGAGACCTGGGGACATGACACTAGGGGACACTGGGAGACATGGGGCACTGAGACACTGATACATAGGAACACTGAGACCTGGAGTAATCGACACATGAGGGCACTGAGTCATGAGGGCACTGGGAGACATGGGGGCACTGGGAGGAATCCATCTATACAGCAGAATCAAACTAAGTAGTTTTTTGGTGATTATACAGCATTTTCTCTTATGTCACTCCTTGTGATTTACATCATGTGATGTCACCCATACATATTTAATTATGTAAATTAGTAAGGCCGGTATGTTTTTCCAAGAAAGGTGGCAACTCTAACTACATTTCACATACTCTTACTTAAGTATGGAAACTTAAGAGGGATGTATGGGAACAAAACTTGTGTGGACTGGCTGACAATGAATATAGTTAAAGGGACACTATAGTCACCAGAACAACTACAGCTTATTCAATTTGTTCTGGTGAGTAGAATTATTACCGTCAGGCTTTTTGCTGTAAACACTGTCTTTTCAGAGAAAATGCAGTCTTTACATTACAGCCTAGTGATAACTTCACTGGCCACTCCTTAGATGGCTGTTAGAGATCCTTCCTGGGTCATGGCTGCCTAAAATGCATCCAAACATTCAGTGACTCCTCCCTCTGCATACAGACACTGAACTTTCCTCATAGAGATTCATTAATTCAATTCATCTCTATAAGGAGATGTTGATTGGCCAGGGCTGTGTTTGAATCATGCTCGCTCAGACCCTGATCTGCCTTTTTGTCAGTGTCAGCCAATCCTATGGGGAAGCACTATGATTGGATCAGGCCACCACTTCTAATGATGTCAGCAGACTGCTTGTTTTTATGAGTCTAACAGCATGCAGAGTTACAGCTGCAGGCTTAAATATAGTAAGAGTTTGCTATATTTATGGAGACATGAGGGGCCCAGGGGGGGCTAGATGGTGGTGTTAACACTATAGGGTCATGAATTCATGTTTGTGTTCCTGACCCTATAGT